CTATCTCTTTCTTGGTCTTCCTCTCGCCTTCCTCCCAGTTGCTGAAAAAAGTCTCATATGCAGTTTGGTCTGGCTGCATTCTCACTATATGGCTGAACAATTTGATACTTTATCTGTCAGTATAACTCAGTCATGGTCTTATTCCAACTTTCTCTTTAATGCTGGTTTTTCGTAACCTTGTCTCTTCTTGTGTTGTTAGTGACCTTGCGGAGACAGTACATTTCATATGTAGTTATTTTCTGTTTTAGTGCTCTATTCTTTGTCCATGCTTAGCACTGATAACATAAAGAATGGATAAAGATGCTATTAATCATTTGCTGTTTTGCTGAAAGGGGGTAATTTTGATGTCCATCAATAGGGCTAACTGGTAGGTGACAGCATTTGTCTTCTGTACTCTGCTTCTATCTCTCTATCCATTCTACCATCCTCCGTAAATATGCTTCTTAGATGTTTGAATTCTCGTAGTTGTTTGATTGTAGTATCGTTAACATGAACGTTTATATGTTTCCTGCCTATCCTCATTACCTCACTTTTCGCTGTGTTAATTTTCATATCATACTTTGTGCAGGTTTGGAGTTAAGGAGTCGATATGGTGCTGTTAATTTTTTTTTTTTTTTTTTTTTTTTTGGCGGTGTGTTAAACATGGATCGTCTGCAAAAAGAAGCTCATTGTTTTCTTCAGTGTCTGTGCTTCCTGCAATTTTGGCTGGATACTCACACAAATTTGCTCCACACGACTCGCTCCATCACCTCTCTAGAAATGGACAGTGTATCATACTCAGACTAAGGGCAGGGCACAACACTAACATATGTTCAAGTTGTTCGTTGTAGGAAACACGCGTTGTAGGAAACACGGAAATGCATCTCTGCAACTTGGCACGTGAAAATGATAGCATATACCACAAAATTATCAAATGTGCGCTGCCAACAGAGAATTTTTCTAGCAAGTTCCAACATCAGTCCAGATGAAACGGTATGGTACATGGGTTGATTCGGACGGCACAATAGCTTTCATCCTCGAGGCGGGTGTGAAATTACTAAATAATCTGATTATACACACATACATAAATACACACACACACACACACACGGACACATACACACACAGACACACACACAGACACACACACACAGAGACACACAGACACACATACATACTAACAGACATCATCCCTGGTGCAGAGTGGATACCTGTGTCTCATGCGTTTATTTGCACATTTTCCTGTATTGCCACACTCAACAGGCGATGTAGAGAAGAGCATCCTGTTGCAGAGGTCAACGCTCTCATCAGTGACAATGCCGACGAAGCAGATGCACTAATCTACACGGACGGATCCGTTAAATGCCCCCCCCCCCCCAAAAAAAAGCGCATGGGTATTCATAGCACGTTATGCAGACAGAACGGTCAAAGAAGCCAACGGCGCCTTCTCCATGACAACCAGCAGCATGACGATGGAGGTGATGGCAGTAACGCAAGCGTTCGCCTGGCTTGAAACACACAACTACACCCGCGTATGTATGTATACTCAGTGATTCAATGAGTATGATCCGGAGGGTTCAGGCAGGTTTGACGCGAGGACAATGGCTTAAATCATTACAGAAGTCCACTGTGCGTGGAGTCACCTTTATTTTTGTTTTGGGAAACTCAGGCGTCGATGAAAATGAAAGAGCTGATAGGTTGGCTGGATCCGCTATTATTACCGACGGTCAGCATATGGATCATGCTGTTATTATTAATAACCTTAGAGAAATGGGAATGATAGAGGACTTTGGGGGCAGTGAATCCACATCACTCGCTAGAATGGCAGACTTGGGAATTAAGATCGGCATAGCAAAAAACAGACGCAGATCAGACGACTTTTAAATTAATATAGAACTAGTACTATTAGCCATCGGACTTTGGGGTTCATACGGAGGAGAGGATCTGAGTTCCTATGGACATGTCCGGAGTGCAATGATGATAACCCAACTAACTAATACTTCTAAATCTAAATTGCGAATTGGCCCTGGCAGGCACTGGTCAAGATGGCGTCTAAATCAAACAAGATTACTGCTATGGCCGGAGGAGGTAATTTCAAATGCAATATATGGAATTTATATAATTATTCTACCCTCGATGATTTTTTCTTTTACTTATTTGTTTAATATGTAAATAAAGCACACTGGATATATGTATATATATATATGATGATACTGACGGTGAAAGTTAAAACAAAGATTGTGTATAATAAAATAATAGGCTCTCCTCCGAACTTCGACCCGATTTTATTATGGCGGCCATAAAATATCCTTACGGGGCTCAGTTCTATTAAAAATATGCCGTCTCTGTATAATGAAACAAATTGTCTAACAGGGTCTCAGCGATATGTTACTTGCGGACCTGTTTCTGTGACTATGCCTCACCGCCAACCGTATCGCGTATCCCCCGTGCCGCTACGCGCAGCGCGGATAGGTTCTAAACTAGATGGTTGCGACTCACGAGCAGCAGCTACCGTATCTCCTGCAACTTCCTCCAATTAATTTGCTTGTGAGTCCCAGGCACCTAGTTTAGCCCCATCCGCGCATAGCGTAGCGGCGCGGGGGATACTGTCGGTGGTGAGTGTAACTGCGTTTTGCACATGTCGAAAAGTTTTAGGACAACAATGACGCTAATCTGCGTCGGCGCACGTGGTCTTCCCGCCATGTCGCTTTTATCATCAGTAATGTTGCTGTCTCGAAATTGTAAATGGTCGCTATTATCGTCTGCTACTATCGTCTGCAATGTTGTGTCTCTTGAAATTGCCAAGTAATCCTAGTTTTGTCGCTATTTGTTCCTTGGCAGAAAGTCCGCATTTTACATATGCCTGAGCCCGTAAGGATATTTTATGGCCGCCATAATATCGGGTAGAAGTTCGGAGGAGAGCCTATTATTATATTAACATTTTAGTTTTAGTGGCGGATACCACAATACTAATCACTAGTCAATAGTAAATAAATTATAGTGGAATATTACAAAAAAGATGCATTCTAGGGTGCAGCCCAGTAAAGTTTAGGGTTGAAATGACTATATGTTTGCATTTTATGGCAATAACTATTTTGTTTCTTAACATTTTCGCTGCTATGGACGAGATAACTTGTATGCCTGGTAGACTGCTAAGGACGAGCTAACTCGTCTTAGACTTTTCATACAGATTTCTAAGAACTGTAATTCTCGAGTGAAATGGCAATATACATTACCTAAATCTGATCAAACTAAACACATTCCCCCCCCCCCCCCCAAAAAAAAAAAAACCACATATCACGTTCGTTTAGGTGTATTTATATGCATTTTAAGTTATCCTGTTGTTTTGTTACCATAGAAGCATGGTCAGTGAACGGTATATTTTTTCCTGAAATATATTTCTGGTTTTGCGCTAGTCTACTTTAAAAAAAAATACAAAATAACAAGAAAATTGGTTAATTAAAGTTGATGAAGAATAAATGGAGTTTTTTTCAAGGAGTAATAGTAGGGATCACTTTGAAACGTGTGAGTTATATGAGCTGGGTTATCTTCGCGGCATGCCGGCGGACACTTGCACTTCTGGCCGTGAGAAAGACTGACCATATGACCAAGCTAGCTACATTGACTGGATTTGAAATGGATCTCCAATAATCAAAATGAAGATATGGTCATGTACTGACATGTTGATTAATACTAATGTTTCTCATATACTATACAACTGACATAAATGTGTCTGTCTATCAAAGTGTACAATACTGGTTCTATTTCCAGTGCTAATTTTCATATGAATTTCTAGTGTAGTTGGTACCATGTCTGCCTTACAATTGAAAGGTCCTGCGTTCAATCCCTTTTCAACATGCCGCTTTTTTTTTAAACTTTAAATATTTTAAAATTATGCTCTTAGCACTTTTGGCAACAGATCACAAAAGTAATAATTAATTAAACATAGGTGGATTTAGATGGGTTACATGTTATCCTGTTCCTTTTTGAAGCGTGGTTGGTGTACTGTGCATTTGTGGGAAAAAACACTCCTGTTGCCAAATTTAACTCAACCTTAGTAAGAGAAATTCTACAGAAATATTGCAAGGAAAAGAGAAAAAAAAGTGTAGGAGGACAAAAAAGTGAAGATCTGCCACTTCGTTTAGTTCAAAGGCATATCCCTTCAATCCGTAACATCACAGAAGAAATTCCCAACAAGAAAGTGTGTGGTATGCGCAAAAAGCAAAAAACTATGGGAAACTAGATACATGTGCAAGGACTGTGGTTTGGCATTGTATGTCGCACCTTGTTTTAAAAATATTTCACACGAAAAAATGTTATTAATAATAATAAAAACCATGTATTTGCTTACTAGTGTTTTGTTTTTGCTTTATAAGTTTGTAGTACTTTCTTTTTGTTAATGAGTTTTCATGGCGTAGCCATAGTGCTTCTGACTTGTCAGCGCAAAGGTCAACTATACGCCTTTAAAGAGTTTTTATTTTAGGTGTAACATTTTTACCCCATGCCGCAAGCGCGTCTTCTGCTTTTGTAGGGAAAAAAGGTATTCAGCACAAGAGGAAGGATTAGCGTTCGCCTGGCTTAGCACAGTGGTTGGTGGAGGGCGCAGCAGCGAAAGGGTTAAAGAATCCCTTAGAAACTATATATCATTGCAGTCATGATAGTGAGGCCTATCTGTATATCATGGAGGGCTATCCTCCAAATAACTGCCGCATATTATGGTGGCCAAAAACACACCCTGACAGGGTGATGACTGAAATATAACCAAAGCGCCTTATATCAGGTCTACATTTATGGAAGGCTCCTTGGATGGCAGGAAATGCTCATGTTCTATCTCTGCAGTGTCCCAAGAAACTAATTAGGAGGGCTAACCCCGGCAACAAATACCTAAAGAAGTGGAATGTGTTGGTCGAAAAGTATGTGTATATTGCAGCCATGCTGCAGACGGGATGATGCAGTTATGACCGCGAATGAACGAAGAAGAAGTATACAGAAATTAACTAGTGGTCATTTTTCATCCACAGAAGATGATAAATTGTTGAGTTTTGAGAAGCTGGACAGATCTTCGCCTGATTTGTGGCCAGAGAAAAGTAAGAAGCTCAAATGTCTCATGTCATCTTCAGGAATTTCCTAATGCAGCTCATTATATTAGTATTTTAATATTTGTCATTCAAAGATTTCTAAATGCAAATACCTCATCTGCTGTCCTGCTTTGACTGACTATGAAAAGCTCTGCAACTGTTCTATTCATACAATGTAGGAATTTCAGCATATCTAGACAAAACTTAAAGATAATAAACTGATTTGATTTGATTCAAGATAAAAAACTAGAAAACTATTGTTCTTTATTTATCATTGGGTGGAAAGGGGGGGGGGGGTATTTTTATTCTTCCACGTTTGCCTTTTAAGAAGACTGTTGGCATATTTTGTTGTGGTTTACAGCTAGGTCAAGATATCTGCACCTTTTGACCCAGCTCATCCAGTTTCAGCAAATTTTCAATTAGTAGTCTTTTATGATACGCTTGTTATGGGACGGTGAGTCTTATGGAAGTGTCCCTGGATGGCAGGGAATGCTCATGTTCTGCCCTGCTATCTCATCAGCTTGATCAACCTCTCTGATGTCCTGAACCCACACTAGAGAAAAAATGGGATTGGTGGGGGGGGGGGGGGGTGGGGATTCTTGAGCCTGAGGATTTAGGGCTCCATGGTTAGTCCTATTGCTGTGGACTTATGGACTTATATGTTAGAATTTTGTTATTTCCCAGACAGTTGTTAAAATGAACTGTTGCTTATTTTATTGTCTAGTTTATCTGTAAATTAATTGCATTCCATTATTACATTTTTAGGTTTACATATTTTTATGCCTTTATTAATTAGTGTTCTTTCCGTCTGTTGTTTTTATTTGCTAATTGAGTGCTTGTCACCACAGGGTTCTCCATTATTTGTGATTATGTTTATGTAGTATAGTCCACCCATCATTCTTGTTTTATCTGTTATTCACAGAATTGACAATGAATTTGTACATATTAGGTGATTATCAGTATTCGGTCGAATATGAATAACGTGACCAACTATTTGGCCGAATACGAAAAGTGCATAGTGTATAAAATAGATCTAAAAAAAACATTCATAGTGTCAAATGTACGCTGAACTTTTACTTCATCAAATGTAGTACAGAATAGTCGTCTACTTCTTCTTTAGCATTCCGAGCCCTTGAGGTTCACTGCTGCAGATATCACTCACCTCTATTCCTCTCTCTGGTTGGCCTTCTCTTTCCAGTTGGTGACACTGATTGTTTGCAGGTGTGCCTTGACATAATCTCTCCATCGTCTTTTTGGTTTGCCTCGTGGTCTACAACATTCCTCTTCCCTGTGTATACAGTTTTTACTTCTGTCTTCTGACATTCTTTTAATATGCTCCAACCATTTCAGTCTATTAGCTCTCATGATGCCAGTGATCAATGGTGATTTAAACAGATAATGAATTTCTCACTCTCCATTCCTCGCTGTTCCCATCTTTGATGGGTCCAAAGATTCGTCGCAAGACTCCGTTTTCGAAAACCTGTAATAAGGCTTCATCTCTTTTAGTTTTGCTCCAGGTTTCAGAGCTATATAAAATGTTTGATCTTATCAACATTTTATATATTTTGATCTTGATGTTGCGAGACAGACACTCTAACTTAAGCAGATATTGATGGACATAGAATACTTTATTTCCAGATTGTATTCTAGATTGTATTTCTTCTCTCAGCATGTTGGAACAATTGAAGTTTGCACCCAAGTATTTAAATATTTCCGTTTGTTTGATTTTCATATTATCGACTTGTATGTTGCCGAATTTTATATTTTTTCCCTGTTCAGTTAATATTCGTACAGAATAGTAAACATTTAAAAACATGTATGTTTTGCATCCTTCAGTCAGTCTGTGGTAACTAATAATGAAAAATGAAAGTATTCTAAGTATTAAAAGAAGTAACTGAACTTGTAAATTGTCACTGACAGCTTAGTTAATGCATAGAAGCTGCATTAGCTTTCAACAAAACCAGCATTAAGGCCATGTATGCAGAAGGGGGTATAAGGTAACCATTATTCGTATTTCATCCAACCGCAAGTTTTTGGCCAAATACCGGATAGTTATTAGGTCCTCTATTCAGCCCCGATGCGAATATGAAGCGAATGTTCGGCACAGCTCCAATATTTACTGCATCATTTAGCACATTGTTTTTGTTGGCATCAGACGACAGTGTTATATTATGCTATTTTTGGGGGTGAGAGGGGGGGCCATGGGAACTACAGCCTGTGGCAATGGATTGGTTTGACTAGCAAGACCTACTCACATTAACTCTTTTGCTCCATAAGAATTAAAAAAAAATATTTTTTCAAAATATAATTAATATTGCAACACTAAGCACTACTATAAATGGCTGCCCTTTTATCTTTGTGTCAGGCTATGCTGGTTTTCAAGAGAATGAGTATGCAGATTATCTTGCTGACACTGTGGTTGCTATGGCTGACCCGTACTGGACAGAAGCAATGTTATCAATACCATGCGCGGCACTTACCGTGACGACGAGCATACCAAAGGTCATTACTGCACATCCCTGTCTAGGCTGATGGTAGTGGGGGTGCAGCCTGGAGCTGCAAGAAATGAACATTTCACTAAGGAGACAAGATGTTTCATCAACCAACACAGAACAGGGGTCCTCAGTCATTTTACACTTCTGGAGACTTTGAGGAGGAGATCAGAGCACCTGTGGATTTGTCCGGAGTGCTGTGTTGATAATCCTCACTAATCATTGATCACATCCTTATAATTCTCGAAAACTCTACCCTAAGAAATTAGAGGAAGGGAAAAAACAGCAAAAGAGATTTGGAGGAATGGTGGGTTTGTATAAAAATTCAGAGGGTTGTACTTTAGATTACCAAGCACACAGGACAACAAAAAGGCCAGAGCCTAAAAATATCGATTTAAAAAAATACCCACTTGAGGTAAATATTTCCGACAAAGATGACTTTTTTTTTTTTAATGCGCAAGAAAGTAATCACTAAATATGAATGGACCAAAGAATTAGCTACTTTCCTTCCATCTGACCATGATACGATGGTTTTGTTGACTTTCCCATGTGGAGCAAGGTGTCCTCATAGTGAGATTATTAGGATGTACCAATGATGTCACAATAAAAAAAAAAAAAAGGTTTTTTCGACCCAAAATATCTTAATTTTTTTCTTCTGGTAAATATAACCACAGCCACTGCGTCTCCACACTGTAGTTGCAGCCAGTACCAGCGGTGTTATATAGGTACAGTGGTCACTGCCCAATGACTTCGTATAATCTAAAACCCCTAAATGCCAGAAAACTGGCTTTATCTGGGCGACAGGGTTAAAAAAAAAAGTATTCCACAGTTAGAGCATGGGATTTCAGGACCATTGTTGCCATTAACAAGTTAGTTGCATATCCTTTACAGGACACTGCAGAGCCAATCCCAGCATATTTTTGGCTGTTGTGGTTTTGCTAGGCAAATTTTACATTCAGTAGTTTGCCATTGCTTTCTGAATGGTCAGCTGTCAGTACCACTGTCAAAACCAATGCAAGACAAACCGTTTGCAGCTAGGATTGAACTCAGCACACCAACATTACGAAGCGCGTTCGCCAAAGCCACAGACGCTGACTTGTTGCCATTGCATTATTTAATTTTGCTTCTTCCCTGATGCTCAGCATCAACCTGTCGGCAATTATTTTTCCCCTGTCTCAGTATCACATAATTTATAATTAATGCGCTCGTATAGATCTGCCATACAGATAAGATTGTTGTTTGTTTATTCATACAGTTCCAGGTGTGACGGAGTATGAAGTAGGCAGAAGTGTGAGTTGGCTTTTGACTTTATTTTGTGTGTGTTATCAGTATACTTAGCTGACCTTTAATTAAGACTAATTTTAAGAGTGCATTTTTAGAAGAAGTGGTTGACCATCAGAATCCCCAGATTATTCTATGTATAATAAGTGGTAAGTTTAGCACTGCAAATAGACTTAATATAGTTATACATAGAAAAAAACAATTAGTTTAATAATATTTCTGCATCCTCTTCTTCTCTTCCTCCTAATTTTTCTGCTCCTGCTGCTACTTTTTCTAAGTTTAGCCTTAAATAGGTGGTTGACATATTGTATTGAGGTTAACAACTAGGTTGCAATATCTGTGCCTTTCTGATCAAACCCCAAGTTAGTTGCATTTTCCTACATGCATGTCAAGAGACTGTGGATCTGTCTCCCCCCCCCCCCCCCACACCCCTCCATACCCATATCTGGAACCCTAGAACTCTGTGGGGAACAGTTTCTTTTAATGTCAGAGAAAGAATGCAGGGTTGGTTATTTCTTACATCCTGATCATTAGTTACATGATTAGGTTTCCGAACTACATTCTTCATTAAAAGCATCCGCCTTTATTATATATACATGATGATTACAGACTTTAAATATGGGAGTAATAATTGTGTCAGTGAAAAACGTGGCATGAAATACACCCACTCATACACACACACCCTCATCCAGGGGGAGTTTTTAAGGCAGAAGGTAGTTCTGAAACCTTATTATAAGTATTTCAGGATCCTCGCTGGTGCTACGGAGTTCATGCACTGCGCTGAGATTCTTCAGACTCAGGCTTGAATTAGAAGTATAATGCAGCACTTGTGGGTTACTAACCTTGTGCCATGATGTTGATCCGTTGTATAAATCAAACTATAAACCAGTTATATATAACTAATGATCATGATGTAAGAAATAGCCAACCTGGTTTACTTTTTTCTCCAATCTTAAAAGGTGAAAAAAATGGGGGGAAAAGGGGGGGGGGGGGGGGGGAGGGTACCTGTGTCTCTTAACTTGCTTGTAGTAAAATATTATATTTTTATGATTTAAAAAAAAATGTCAAAGAATAGTAACACTGTAATCTATGTATGTCATAAGAGGGGTCTGATGGGAGCTGGCCTGAGGATGACTAGCTCATTGCGTAGAAAACTGAAACGGTAAAATTGAATCAATCATGAATACTTCTACAGAGGGTTTCATGTGAGATGGTTGAGGGCCTAACTCCATGGGGATATCTTCTTCTTAGCATTCACCGGCTGTAAACTCTGGAAAGTTCTGGTTGTTCGTCCCCATCTGGACTTTGGAGGCTTTGTTCAAGGATTTGCGTGTGCATTTGTTTTACACATTTGCCTTTTTGGTACGCATACTGTTGTTCCTAAAGTAGTGCACATTAATTTAAAAAAACAACGGCATGAGCAAAGTTGGAGATAAACATTTTACTGATATAACAGAGGAAAATAAAAGAATGGGATAAGATAAAGAGAATTAGAGAGAGGTAGATGTACTGATTTATGTATACATAGGTAGATAGATGGATAGATAGATCGATAGAACAAACTTTATTTTGAAATTAGAAAGATTAACAGACATATTGATTGATTGATAGGTTGATTGATAGACACACACCGACAACCCGACTCCCTACTGAGAGGACGTGTTTTTTCCTAGCTCTTACTATTTGGATTTTTAATTCTAATAGTGCCTGTGAACTAGCGACATTTTTACTATTGTTGTAATCGTTATTCCTTTAGACCTGCTGTGAAATATTGTTTTACACAATTAGATGTCATGATTGCATGCAAATGTGGTTTTTGTAGCATTCTCAAACATATTTTGAGCGGAAATGTGCCAATGATACAGACACATGAACCACGGACACGAAGGTCAGTGGGCGTTTTGTCCGCGTCACTGAGATTTATCACCACCCAGAACACTGGCTAACCGAGAGAGTGTCACACAATACAAACAAAACATGTGTGACTACGACAGGACTGAGCATTTTCAAAAGATAGTAATGCTAGGGAAATGAAGAGAAAAGAAAACGCTAGCTGCTGGACTCACTCACCGAACTATAGGCATCCGGACCATCCCATTCTCTAATGATACTACGTAGAACATTATACGCGCGGTATTTCCAACGGTTATTAAAGGCGACTTGCCTGCTACTATCTGTGTGAGACAGAAAAAGGACAATAAACCTTACACCAGTAAAACGTGGAATATGAAACTGTTTGAACACCAGGCCATCAACCGTTCCTTCGGACACCTAGACGCCGTTTAATGGAGCAACGTTTGTTCTGACGCAGGCGGGTTCACGAATGGAAGAAGAAATAATTACAGACACTCTGAATTCTCTTCTTTTAAATATTTCACTTTTCTTCGCGATGACATCTCATCAGGCTACACCAGAAACACCTGAGAACACGACATTCTCTAAGCACCCCATTTACCTGCAGGATTCAAGTCCACAAGCCTCTACCCTGCTACAACGGTTCCATCTGTGACCCCGTGGTTACCTGGAAATGAATGTAGAGACACAGCACTTCATTTTCTGTTCTCAGGCATTGATCGATGCACGCAAAAACTGTATGGTTGACAACAAGCCCGTTTGGATATCAAAACAGAAGACTCGTGAACGCTACACATTTGCTGTAATTAGCTACGCAGTGATTCCCCCCCCTCTCTCTCTCAATATCTCTCTCTTTCTGTCTACGCCGATTTATGTATGCATTGGCTGAGCTGTTAATGATTATTATTAGTGTATTACTATTGTTAGAACCTAGAAAATGTGATTGCAACCCCTGATGGCTTGCAGAATACATTGTTTAAGCAATGTTACCCTACCAAAAAGTATGCATCTCTTTCTGAAACTGTCCCTTGGGTGCACCTTTCTACAGTAGTCCTTTATTACAGCCAACTGTCTGTCACAGAAAGGACTGTGTCTAATCTGACTGAGCCATTTGAATTTACTGTCCCCTTCTTGGAGCCAGTCATGCCGACCTTGTGTGCATAGGGAATTCCCTGCGTCAGTGTCTTTCATATTTGTGGTCATTCTGCATGATTCTTCCCTTGTCTCACTCTCTCCCTCTCCTGATATATATATATATATATATGTAGTCAAGTGTGCTGCACCAGCAAGCAAGCGGGTGGCAGGTAACGAGTGTGTGTGTGTGTTTTGTTTGTTTGTTTAAACTACTGCGCGTTTGAGTAAGCGTGCTGAATTTTAGTAATACAGTGAGACAGTATTTTGGCTACGGGACACCAGTAGTGTAGGGAGTCGGCAGTCCGATACCCAAGTTCAAGGTGTCTCCTTCGTGCCAAAGAACTGCATGGCTGTTGGGTGAACAGTCGTTAACGAAGGCAGTCAGGTCGTTATTGGGGCGACGCTTGCTGGTGGATGTAATGTCCTAAATCCCTTCCCCAGCTAATAGTAGGGTACTGCTGGGGTGACAGTTTATTAACCTCACAAAATGCTTCAGGTTCAAATGAACACTAGGCACTGCCACTGTTTTGCTTCTGCCAGACTGACCGTTGCTTTTTTGCTCAATTTGTAGACTGGAAGTATATAGTTTCGTTACCCAGCTTCTGAGTTGAGTGCATGGCGTGACACTGTGAGCTGCGGATTTCATTTGGAATGTTTTTCGACTGACCAACGTGGTGGTGTGATTTGTAGATTCAGAAAATGGCGCGATGCCGGTTGTCGCAATTATTGGTGGGGCCATTATTTGATTAAAATTGATCGCGTGTGCAACTCTGATCTTTTGTGACTTCTGCTACCATCAATGATGAACTGCATTTCTAACGTCAGACTGTTTGTGTTAGCACTTCGGATGGCTACCATATGCTTTTAATGCGAGTGTATGCTAGATTTGATGACACAGCAGTTTGTATTTCCACAAGGAACTGTGATAAACATTCTGTGTGTTTTTCGTTGGCACAGGAGCGGAGCAAAGATGGGGTGACCTGTTTGCTATGAAGCTGAAATTAAAAAATTACCAGAATTACCAGAATATGGGGGGGGGGGGGGGGGGGGGTTAGTTAGATAATGAAGAAATAGATAGCCGACTTATCAAATCTTTAAACTGATAATTTTGGTAACATTTTCTTTACAGATAAAAAGTGTTGGTACACCAAGATGGCTGGCAGATTTGGAGAAAGATGATATAAATCTTTTGCAAGGTTATTTCTATAAAAATATTGTATTTCCTTTTATGCATAACATTGTTGCTATCAACATTCAGTTTCCAATTAGGGGCTTAATGTCTTTCTGCAAATCAGATGTGTATGGAATTATGCCAGATTTTAGAAGCTGCAGTCTTTTGTTTGGTCCACATCCAAGTTAAATTAAAGATGTGGTGGGGTATTTGACTGTTGTAATACCAGATTAGAAATGTTTTAGAATTAATGTATAGACATTTCAATATCTATGTAGTCATGGGGTAATGATCTAACTAGCCAGGGCAGCATTCACCATTCATTCTCCGTCAGGTTCCCCGTGTGGGTTCTGTGGCCCCACTGGGGAAATTGAGAATAGACTCACTGCCTCCCCAACAAGCATGTCATAGGAGTTGACTAATTGCATCTGCCTGAGCGGCAAGGAACAACCAGCTGCACATAACAAATAAGTTAGTAAAACGGATGAACACTTAAAACTAAGGTCCTGGCACTAAGCCAAAGTCCAAATGGACGAACAACCAGGATTTTCTGCATAAATTTACAGCCGGTAAACAAAGAATTCTTCATCATAGATAGGATTATTTGCTCCCGTTCAGCACAACTCTGATATTGACCCAGTCTTATAAGAATGAGTACCATACACTTTTTATTCATTTCTAGTAGTTTCCTGGGAAAAACTAGGCACCCTGCCTTATTCTGTCATTGCCTAGAATATGTGAACATCTAGCACTTCAGACTCCAGAGGCAAGATCTGCTGTTAAACTAACATTACCGTTTCATATTTAAAAAAATTGCACAGGTGCATGGCAACACTTTGTTGGAACATTAAAACAGATTCTTCCCTTCTGGGTTCCTGGACTCCATTGTTCTGAAAACAAGAATAGAGCCACTGCCTCCCCTTAAGAGCATGTCCTATGAGTCGACTAACTGGGGGCTTTGAAGTTGGAGTGCATCTCTGCTTGAGAGGCAAGGACCGACAGTCTGCATAAAAGTGAGCCGGATCTGTAAAATGGATGTGCATACAACACTTAGGTTCTGTAACACGATTAAATCCATGGGTGGACAAACCATTATAACTTTTTGCGGGTGTTTACAGCCAGTGAATGTGAAGAAGAAGAAACAGATTCAGGTTTTTAAAAAAATCAGAAAGTAGCATAAAAATTGGAAACCTATTTTCATTTAATAAAGGAATTGTAACATCACAAACTAATTGCAGTTCTTCCTGACGTCTGTGTTGTGTGGCATTGGTAATCATGTCTGTGAACATCATTGTGTCTCTTATGCTGTCGCCTGTTTCTAATACTTATGTTTTTTCACTGCCATGATGCCAAACTGTTCAGCATTTTCTCTCTTAGTCTCCTGCTTCTCTTCCTCTCGAACTTCCCTGTTGTTACTACATACTTCTGTTTTTCCTTGCTCAAAATGTGACCAAAGAATGTAGTTTGTCTCATTCTGATGTGGGTTTTCTTCAGAAAGGTTTCTTTTAAAACTGTTATGTTACATGAATCTGGGAATTCTTGAAAAAAAATCGTTGGAAAAAAACATTTTCAAACAGTTCATTAATGCATATCTTTTACACTCTGGATTTTAAACTATTTATTACTTCAGAATTTGGCAGCCTGACGTTGTCACAACTGATGGAAAAGGTACGGGGATTACAAAACTTGGCATACCAGCTGGGCCTAGAAGAGGGTGAGAAGGAAACTTGGTTGCATTCATTTATAGAATAATTTCTTTTTCTTCTTCCTCCTTCTCATCTTCTTCCTTTCCATCTCCTTCTTCATCTCCTTTTCCTTCTTCGTCCCCTTCTTCTTCTCTTTTATCTTCTTTTTTATCATCATCGTCTTACGGCTATTTATTTTGTCTTCTGCTTGATTTCCTTAAAATTTGATATATAAAATTAGATTTCCTGTTTTTTTTGCATAGCCTGCAGTAATTCCTTAGTTCTTCCGGTGAGTTTGAAATCTAAAGTTGTTGCTGCAGAATGATCATTTTTATTTTCTACCTTTTCCTTACATATGTCTCACAATTATCATGTCTCCTTTTATAAATAATTTTCATGAGGTAAAGGTGAGAGGATTGACTTCATTGCACCGGGTTTTTCCCCATATGGCTCAGTCTCTCTCAGCAGAACAGCTAGTTGCCTGCTGAGAGCGTCACACAGAGCCCCACCTCTGCAGCTCCGCTGATGATCCCCAGGCATCTCTGTAAAAATTGGAATTGTGAACTGAACGGCATCACCGTGGAGCGAACCATGACCCTCAGAGCGCGAGGCCAACTAATTTTTAATCAGAGATTTGATAACGCATTCCTTGGTTCCCAGGTCGACCTAGCCTAAAATGGCTATCAGGAGATGTTGCAGCAGGAAAAATTGGCCGATGAGATTTTGACCAGTCACCTGAGTGCCATTTGTTCTATAGAAGATAGGTCTATCATCATATGCTCAGCATACCGCTTGCTTCTGCCTCTTCCATCTCTTCTGTTGATATGCTCCACATTTTCAGTCTTTTTCTTATACATTTTATTAATGATCTCATAATTACATCCCAATCGTACCTAACCTCCTTTACTTTGACGTGAAACACTTGCAGCTCTCAATATGCCATCACTTGCTTCTGTCACTGTTTCTTCTCTTGATGTGCTTCAGATATTTGGTCTCATAAAAATTTTCTGAATGATCTTGTAACACTTGAGGCTGTCATTACACCCTAGTTGCACCTAACCTTCTTTATTTTTATCTGAAACACTTGTGGCATGGCACATGATGATCATACTTCTGGGGGGGGGGGGGGGGGGGGGGGGGGTGCACTGGACGATTTTTTCACACAAATTGGGGTGGTGGGTAAAAAAAAAAGTTTGGAAAACACTGTTCTAGACCTATATTTTTGAAAGACCAGTCGGCACTCAGTGGGTAATCATCATGCCAGCTACCTATACTTCCCAGGACTTTACCTGTTACCCATTTTTAGACTGGTTGACCTGTGAGAGACGACCATAAAAAAAAATATAAATATATATTTATATCAATGCGGATTTGAACCCTTAACCTTCGGGCTTGCAGGCAAGCATCTAGCGACTGTGCCTCAGCATCTCCTTCTAATTGCAGAAAAAGGGCATATCAAATTTATATTAAAATATGACTCTCATTTGTACAACTCGTAGCTTAGCATTCTTACTCTTCTGCATTGAAAAATGTCAATCGAAACAAGAAGTATAACTTGTTGGCTTCTCAGTTCCACATTCCTGAATGATCAGATGAATATTTCAGCCTAAGAGCTTTTATTGACATACAACACAAGTGGTCAGTGATACAGTTACAAACAGCATAACATAAATTCACTAATTTGTCACAAAATCTCCATAACATGCTTGAACAGTAGTAGACACATCTATGTATGCATGTTGTTATAGCTTATGAGTATCTTCTTATGCAATTAATTGCATGTGCAACTACTGACCTGTTATAACTGCTGCTTCCATTGATGATGAACTACCTTTCTAGTGTTGGACAATTTGTGTTGGTACTTCTGATGGCTGCCTTATGCATTTAATGTATGTATGTTTCGGCTATTGGATTTGCTGAGACAGCAGTCTTGGTCAGTTTTTCCCCACAAGGGATAGTAATAGACATTATTATGGTTGTCGTTGGCACATGAAAGGAGCAACTATAGGTCTGGCCTGTTTGCTATGAAATGGAAACTTCGTCTACCTGATTCGTATTCTTCTTATATTTCTGTTTCTTCTGCTTTTTATCTGGAAATGCATAGACAATCAAGCAACTCATGCACAGTTTAAATTTTTTTTTTTGGGGAAAAGGGGGGGGGGGGGGGGGGGGGGGGGCGCATCGTAAGCAACTCACCTCAAGAACACATCTTGTTCACTTCATTGTCTGATTCCCTTCTCTTTGTCTCTTGGTCTGCCTTAATTCCTTTGACTCTGTTTGTACCAGTGCAAAGACACTCTAGTTATATTGTTATTTATCAGATTTTCTAAATGTCTGTCCTATCATTCACCAGCAGCTGTTATTTATAACTATAACTCACCATTAGATATACATTGTCTCTACTTAGAACTATTCAAGTAATACCATTCAAATAAACAGTTAAATATATTCTTTCCAAACAGCACGGGAGATGACAAGAGGCAAGTTTCTGAATATATTAGGAAAACCTAAGCCACCCAGATAACATCATAGACAAGACATTTGATGCTCATCATATAAGGCAGAGACAAACTGTCACCACTCAGATTGATCCTGAGCAGTCCTATCGCCAGTTTTGCCCTTTGCGTAGCCTTGAGTTTGGAATCAAAGGTTCGCCTCCATGTGCCTATGGGCCTGCCTCTTCCTAGCCGTCCTTGTGGTGTCCATTTCATTGCCTGTCTCGGCCGGCTCTCTTTCTTCATTTTGATGACGTATCCAATCCACCCTGATCTTTTTTTTTTGTATTTCTAAATTCACTTCTTCTAAGTCTGTCATTGGTTGTAATCTAGAATTACTGATTTTTATCTTTCTGTGTGAACCCCAACAATCTTCTGAAAAGTCTTTCCTCAAAACCTCTGAGCATGCTCTCTATCTTTCTGTGTGTTTTCCAAGTTTCACATAGACTAAACATATATGTTATTTTTCTGGGCTCTAAGGTTGACGGCAAAACATAAATTAACATGAAATGTCCTGAGAAGTAAAGGCTGCCGGCATGATGTTGACCACATCATCTATCAAGTACTGATTAACTCTTTGAGCCCCAGAGGGTTTAGCATCACAGGCCCAAGGGGTAGTCAAAAGAGACTAAAATCGACGCATCATGCGTTCATTGGGCTTCTATGCAGTAACCTATGAACGTATGATGCGTTCCTAGGGACTCAAAGAGTTAAAGAGACCTTTTCCCACACAATTGTGCGTATTGACTGTATAGTGCTAGACCTACATTTTTTTTACCGATCGGCACTATGTGGGTAATGTGGCCAACAATGGCTGCCATTTCTTCCCAGGACCTTTCCTGTTACACATTTTAGGCTGGGTCCACATGAGAGCCAAGGTCATTATAAAAAAAAACATTCGGCTTGAACCTGTGTTCTTTGGGTCACAGAGGACCCTCTGACTACTACACCATGGCAAGTCCCAACTGCCGCTTAGTCCCTAAAAATAGAGGTTTAGCACCACATGCCCAGTGTGTCAGTGGCATTAAAAACGATCCTTTACCTTTGCTGCACCTTATTTTGTTATAAAAACGTTATGTTGTTTCCTGTGCCTTTTGACAAGCATGGCTGGGTTGTGTGATTTTAAACTGTCAGTGTTTTTGTCATTCGTAATTTTTTTGTATTCAACAACTGTATACTCCAATGGAAAGTTCTGGTTGTTCATCCACTTCTGGACTCTAGTGCTAGTCCTCTTCCAGAAACAGTGTTGCATGTACATTCTTTTCACAAGTCCGACTCGCTTGCAGACTGTTGGTTCCTTGCCTCTCAGGCAGATGCACTTCAACTTCGAAGGATGCTCCCAGTTAATTGACTCTTTCTACATGCTTTTAGGAGGCAGTGGGTCTGTTATTGTTTTCCTGCACAATGGGTGCCCTGAAACCCACATGGAGAATTTGTAATCTGATGAGACACTTTATGATGCTTATAGCTGTGTCACTGGACTCTTTGTTTTTGAAAGGCAGGTTTGAATCATCTTTGTGAGTCCTGATATGGTTTACTTCAGTAACTGTCAGAATTTAACGCCTCAAGAAGCCCCAAAACTGACACTTCCAGTTGGGGCTAGCTCCCTGGAAATGTGACTTTTTCTTACCTGTCTAGAGCCATATGGTTAATGCTATTGGATGTATTAATGTCTCAGCAAATATTTATGAGGTCAGGATGTGAATATATTAACTAAAGATGGCATGGAATAGGGGGTGGGGGTTCGTCAAACCAAATGGTTTATTTTAAGGCCAGGTTGAGTAAATATTTTCCTGTAAGCCTCTGTGATAGAGGTCAGGGTATCACTGCAGGAACCACCCCATTCATATATTTTTTTTTAGATCATGGTTGATTTTTTGTGTGCCAGAAAGTTAACGAGGAAGGGAAACTGACCTAAAATACATGAAAACGTAACATCCCAACAGCATTATTATGTTATCACAATTGATTTCACTGCACATTGGGCATTAGCATGCAAGCTCAGTCTTCTGATGCTGCAGCCACTCCAAGGTACCTCTACTGATTATTTCCATAATATGAACAAGCTGCAATCACCACAGGCAAGATGGTTTTTCTCACAGACTCACTGTCAGCCATACAGGCTCTTGAATTAAACCTAGTGACAGCACACTACAAAGTCTAACAAAGAAACTTGCTAGGTTGTCAAAAAAAAGCAAAAACTCACCTTCAGTGGATTCCATCTCACTGTGGCATCAAAGACAATGAAAGCGCTAATGCTTTAGTCAAGGAAGGCAGTAATAAACCACACATCTATCAGCCACTATCTTTTCTAGAAGGCAAAACTCTCATTAAGAGAAAATCAGAAACAGATTGGAAAACCAACACAGGTTATAACCATGGAAAAGATTTTCTCAAACATCTGAACAGAACAGACCAAGTCACAGTTTTTCGCTTATGCACTGGAGACTCAACAAACACTTATATAAATTAAGTATGAGCCAAACAGCTCTCTGCCAGTGTCTTCGTGCTGACTCCAGAACATGTCCTGCAAGATGCAAGATTGTCCTCGCTGCAGAGCAGCATATGGCAACACCCAGTTGACAACTAAGCTTCGGGGAAACCTAAGAGACCTTGAGATGATATCCCAGTTTATGGCCCACAGTGGATTATGCACATGACCAGAGATCGCTGAAGTAGAAGATTACTTCCATGAGAAGCTTGTTATAGTGTCTGTCTTGGCCTCAGAGGTGAAATAAATCTGCTTCACCATGCTCTACTTCCATGTCACACAATCATGTTAGTGTCAGAGATACGACAAGGAAAAGAAACACCAGATCATGATAGGACAGTATGCATTGGAGCAGGTCAACCAGTTCAGATACCTTGGAGTTGTAATAAACCAAAACAGAGGTATTAAGACTGAGCTGGCTACACGAAAAGCAGCTGTTGGGAGACTCTTCCAGACCATAAACCGAGTGTTCTTAGCAAAAGGGAAATTGGCAAGAGGAGGAAAATGGTTGTTTACCGCTCTACCTATGTGCCAGTCCTGAATCGGGTGTGAATCATGGGCAATGACAACAACTAACATAAGCCTGCTTCAGGCCTCAGAAATGATACTTGAGAAAGGTGGTCCAAGTGACAAGAAGGGACAAAGTCAGCAATCAGACAATACGTCAAGATCTTGATACCCAGTCCTTACAAACCCGAGTAGATCAGTCACAGTTAAGATGGTTTGGATGTGATGCAAAATAGGAGAAAATCGGCCACCATGGCATGCATGGGAGGCTAAGACCCAGGGAACCAGACCTCCAGGGCGACCCAAGGTCTGCTGGGAAGACAGCATCCGACAGTCCCTAACTGACAGAGAATTGGAATGGAACAAAGCCAGAAAGAAAACTGCTGATAGAGACGTCTGGCTATCTCTCTGGCAAACCTCTACACCCCAAAGTAGAAGAGTAGCAACTAAGTAAGTAAGTAAGTTAGTCAGAAATACGTCATTATCCACTAATTTAGTCCGAACAATGCTGATTATATCTGCTCAGTCCTGCTTCTTCTCACATGTGTTAATGCATTGCTTGTCACATGGTCATGCCGTCATGATCCAATTGTGTCTTTTCACTTGGTCATGCTGACATGGCCAGGTGTATAGATCCAATGGTGTCTTTTCACCTGGTCATGCCGACATGGCCAGGTGTATAGATCCAATGGTGTCTTTTCACCTGGTCATGCCGACATGGCCAGGTGTATAGATCCAATGGTGTCTTTTCACCTGGTCATGCCGACATGGCCAGGTGTATAGATCCAATGGTGTCTTTTCACTTAGTCATGCCGGCATGGCCAGGTGTATAGATCCAGCAGTGTCTCTTGTACAGCAGAGCTACAGACAGTGACATAGACAAATAGATCAGAATTGTATGTGCTACAAGAAAGTTGCTGAAATGAGCAGAAGGCTGTTAACAACTAAAGGACATAATCCAACATTCTATTTCACACACATCAAATTAACTTTCCTGTTTCGAAGTACTTTTGTTGGGGAAAAAGAATAGACCCACCCCCCCCCCCCCCCCCCCCCCCGCTCCCTTTCTTTTTCCTTTCACCCTAACTAAAGTGTCATAAAACTTGACTAATTAAGTGTTTTCCTTCAAAGTCGGAATGCATCTGCCAGAAAGGCGAGGAACCAGGAGTCTGTATACAGACTACATTTGTAAAATATGTATGCAACACTCTCAAGTTCTGGAACAAGATAAAAGTCAAATCTTTCTGCCGGAGTTTACAAAAAAAAAAAAAAGAAATTAACTAAAACACATTGAAACAAACAGAATAAAATATATATTGGTATTTTATCACAACATAAATTTTGTTATTATATTTTATTATTAACAATTTATTTCACACAAAATGAAATGAACCAGAACACTTTCAAATAGAGGGGTTGCTGTGGTGTAGCGGCTAGATGCTCGCCTATGGATCTGTGGGTAGTGGGTTCGGGTCCTGACGGAGGCGGACATTTTTTTCTTTTTTAAAAATGACCTTGGCTTCCAGATCAACCCAGCTTTAAATGGGTAAAAGGTATAGTCCTGGGAAGTAAATGCAGCAGGCTTAATGTTGACTGCATTACCCACATTGTGCCGATTGGTCTATAGTGCATATAGTTCTAGCCCAATATGTGTGGAAAAGAGGAACTTTACTTTCAAACAAACAAAATATATCGATATTTTGTCACAATACAGATTCAATACTGTTGATTTTATTTACATGTGTCTTGACCAGTGATTCACTTTTCAGGTAAATCTCTGCATAGATAAGAATAAAGGAAGACAGTAAAATCAGTAAATGCATTCTGTTTCTGCTATTACATTTATGCCGCATAATCTTTGTAATAAATTGTCATTACTGCCTTTATTATATTACACTATTGCATTTTTTTTTCTGAGGCAGGAGAAGGTTAGTTTGAGGATTTAAGGCTGCATGTTTACTGCAGTTGATTCAAATTGCAAGTTGTAAATATATTTTAAGCTGACATTTGAAAAAATGACATCACCTTATGAAGGATTTAAACTCAGGTCTCCTTAAAAAAAAAGTCCACATTCCAAACCCTTTACTAGAAGCTTCTTAACTTTTGTAATACACACAAATAAATTACTGAGAACCCCAATGAGGCTATTGAAACATAATACAAATCCAACTAAAGAACAATCTGACATACAAGTCTCTTATCAACAGAAAAAGATAATAAAAACAATCAGAAAGCAAGCAAAACCGCCACAAAACAATTACCATATTATGGACAGACATTATTATGGGGCAACTATGGGGTGACCCTTTTGCTATGAAGCTGAAAATAAGATTACCAAGTCATAATTCTATGCATTAGAACAGGGCACAATCGACTTTGCAGCCAAATGTACAGAAATTTTCAGATTGATGAATCAGCCATGTGCACACGTGGACTGGCACCTAAGGCAACAGATCACATCCTTCATGACAGTCCCAGATATATTTCCAGGCGAAACTTCTATCCAAGAAAGACACTGATGGAAGCCATACTTTACGGGCCGCTATGTGAAATACAAAAGACATTGAAGTTTCTTCTAGAGACAGCATTGCAGATATAGATAATTTATTTCAAGCGAATGAAAGAAGACAATAATAAAAGGAACTGACAAGCCCATTTGTGTATCATGAAATTAATTTTCTGAACTGTAATTAAGATGCTTATTGAAGGCAGAAAGAAAGGGGAGAAAGCACACAGAAACAATCTGACATTTCGATAGCAGTCTTTGTCAACAAAAGCCACAACAATATTGGGGGGGGGGGGGGGGTATTATCCTGGCCACAGAGGAGATATGTGAAAACTATAAACGTCAGTGTATTAGCTTGACTCCACAGTCACCCCTGAAGAAATAGCAGGGACTGAACTTTTAAAACACCTGGGAGTGAGTTTTGATCAAAACTAGCTGCAGTTTCCAAGTTAATACTATGATCAGTGAACAATGCCTAATTTATGCACACACTGTATCTCACAAAGGACATATCTTCATATCCTTTTGCTTTCAGGCATATGCATTGCTTTTTTTCGTATAAAATCTTCAGGATCAAAACACACATCAGTATTTAAACAGTCACTGAAAACACACACATTCGACATGTATAAAAAAAGTATGTCTTGTGATAATCATGTCTATCCTCTGCTGAACCAATCAAATGTCAACGGGTCTATAAGAAAAAATAGCTTTCATCAAACTCTAAAATACCACATCGAATAGTTCTTTACCATATTAAAAAAAAAAAAAAAAAAATACTCTACTACCATGATTTCTTCTTCTTCTTCAGCATTCAAAACCCTTGAGGTTCATTGCTGCAGATATCACCCGCCACCATTCATCTTTTTGGTTGGCCTTCTTTTTCTAGTTGGTGACACCAAGTGTTTGCAGGTTTGCCTGTACATTATCTCTCCATCATCTTCTTGGTCTGCCCCGTGGTCTACGACCATTCATCTCATTTGTGTATACAGTTTTCACTTCTTGGTCTGCCCCGTGGTCTACGACCATTCATCTCATTTGTGTACACAGTTTTCACTTCTTGGTCTGCCCCGTGGTCTACGACCATTCATCTCATTTGTGTATACAGTTTTCACTTCTGATTGCTATGATTTACTTATTTTAAAACACACACATTAAAAAGTTATTGCTTTACAGAAAGTTCAAAATACCCTTTCAAATTTTCATGTAAAATATATTTTCAGTGACTACACTTGCAATTTGTAATGATAATATATTTTTAATTACTAGAATTCTAAATTTGTGCAAAATACATACTTTAAATGAGTGCATTTTCAAACACACTTTGCTATTATAATATACAACACGGTTGTTTCTGTCTGTCAGTTGTACTAATCAACATGGAATTCATACATAACAGCTTTATATCCAAAATTTAAATTTAAAGAATGCTTGCATATCAGGATCATCCACAGATTTGTTGTTGACACCAGCATACACCTTCTTCAGCAGGTCATTCTTGTGTTTCTGCTCTAGTATCTTGGTGTAGTTATCAAGAACAACTAGTGAAAAAATAAAGAGTAGATGAACTCATTTAGGTCAACAGTTTTTAGCCACATGTTCATAAACAGTAAACTGTTTTACATACAGTTCAGGTTTCCCTGCAGGAAATTAGGTTGGCTTTGAGTTGAGAATCAGCATCACAGCACTCAAGACATTCCCATTGTATCCCCATCTTCAGCAGCGGACACAAAGTTCTTCTTACTTCGACGGCACCAGCAGCAGTTCAATAATTTGTCTGCATTGTCTTTCCTCTGAGTGTAGAATGTCAGCCGAATTCCCCTGGTGACTGCCCGCTGCACTATATTGTGCTGTTCACGGTAACCGTGACGTGTAATATAGGTTACGCACTGCGCGCCGTTTCATTCATAAATCATTGGACTGCTCTGGGGCATAGGGGTGTGAGCTAATTCTAGATAATTTCAGGGACACTGCCGGCGATATTGCGGGTGAAGAAGGCAGGGGTTAATTGTCGCAGCCAGCCAGGCAACCTTTCATTATGTCGAGTCGCAGTTCGCTCGAAACACAGACTGATGTCCTGCGGAATATACTCGCACACCCCTGTGACCCACAAGAGTCCAAGAAGCTATGAATGAAAAGTCAACGTCACGGTTACTGTGTACTGCATCCACCATTCTATTTAGAGGGAATGATCTGTCTGTGCAGTGATCACACGCTCTGAAAGTGCTTTGACCACGTCTAGCTTATCATGCTTCAGTTTACCACCAAATGGTGCCGAACCAGCCACTTTGTTCGATTCCCACAACACATGAATACTCTAGATAAAGTATCCAAAGAAGGCTAACTATCCATGCCCTCTGAAGCAATGCTTTCCAATAACGAGGAACTGCAGTAGTATAGGACGAAATACTTGCCTGCCCGCCTAAAGGTCTTGGATTTCAAACTGGATTTTTTTTTTTTCAAAATTGACCATGGCTTCCAGGTCAGTCTAGTCTAAAATGAGTACAATGTAATGCCCTGGGAAATAAAGGCAACTGGCATGATGTTGACCACAATGTTGAATTAAGAATCATCACCACAGCACTCAGGACACTCCCATAAGTGCTCCATTCCCATCTTCAGCAGCAAGCAAAGAGTTCCAATTTTGATGGCCCCAGTAACGGTCTGATTGTTGACCACATCATTAACTAAGTACCGATTTGTCTAAAAAGATAGTTTAGCATCATATGCCCTATGCACCACCGGCATAAAATATAGTTCTTTAGTAATGTTACTAACTCCACATGTTCCTAGTCTAGTGTATCTGGAATACATTATGTTAGTTTGGGTTTCAAGAGGCTTGTTTTATGGATAGGGAGCTGGCCTCATGCCCAGCCCTCCTCCTCTATTTTCCTGGCTTTTAACCGGCAATGGTGAAGATATCTTCAAGATCAGAATATCAACAGTTTTTATCTAAACTCTCACCTAATCCAAGCACCTTTCCATAGGCAATCATATTCTTGACCAGCCTCTCATCGTCAAACTTTTCGTTCTTTATCAGAATACGAACAACCTCTCCAAAAATGTAGGCATCATCATAAGTAGGGTTGTCAGAGATAGGAAACCGGCAGTATACATTGACAGCTTCCAGGGGATCAGTCTTGCTCAGCATTTCTGCACTTTCAATGTAGGCATCATGAACCTTTAGTAAACAGAGCAGGTAAAGTAGGGAAAAATTAACAACAGGGCTATCTAAACCCTTAGGATATAGAAAATAAGAGTAACTTTTTCTAATACCCCATGCTACATTGTGTGTGTCTTGTCTGTTAGCTTCCTTGAGTCTTTCCGCTCGAGCCTAGGGTGGCACATAGGGCAGAGATCATGGCTCACCATGTCTGGTGGTTCGTTGCCACCTGTTTTAGGTCTTGGATGTTTGTTAGGCCCATGGTTGAGCCTTCTCTGATTATGGTTATATACAGGGTTTCTCTTGGTCTTCCCAGGTTCTTTTCCTTTCTGGTGTCCATATGAGGACTTAATGGGGGAGTTTTGTCTTATCCATTCTGAGTGCATGGCCGAAGTAGTTGCAGCAGCACTTTCTTTTAAATTTGAATACATTGTCTTGCTTGTCTATTGTATTATTAGATTATTGGATCTGAAATCTGTCCACTGGAGATTTAGTATTCTTCTAAAACATGTGTTCTCAAAATTGGTTTAAAAAAAAAATTATTTTGAGCTACCGTTGTTTTCCAACTCTTGCATCCATAAGTTAGCACTGGAATCACACAAGAGTTGAAGATTTTAACTGATTGCTAGTACAGCTGATAATTTATTATTCAGATATTTCTCTCCCCATGTGGATTCCATGTGGGAAAATAAAACTAGACCCACTGGCTACCCGAAAGCACTGTCGTAAGAGTCGACTAATTGGGAGCTTTCTTTGAAGTCAGAGTGCATTTGCCTGAGAGGCAAGGAACTAACAGTCTGGGTGCAAACGAGTCAGATCTGTAAAATGGACGTACATGCCCCTCTCAGGTTCTGGAATAGGACCAGTGTCCAGAAGGGGATGAACAACCAAGACTTTATAGCCGGTAAATGTGAAGAAAAAAAGTTTCTTAGTTCTAAATGAATCTGTCTTTCTTCTTCTTTCTTGGCCTCCCCCTGCCTCTCTTTCCCTCAGTTTTATTTTTCATCACTGCTCTATATTGCAGTTTTCCATTTGTCATCACCTTCACTGACAAAAAACATTTTCACAGTTCATTTATTTCCCTAGTCAGGACAATTCAGTAAACTCTTTGGTATAAAAAGGGAAGAAAACACTATACTGAAGACTAACCTCTGGTGCCATGTCCATGACTTGAAAATAATACTTTTTGGCTTCATTTGGCTCATTCAATGCTCTTAGCACCCTGGCTAGGCCTAGTCTGGGCTGATAGGACGGGGCATTCACTTGAGCCACTTTCAGAGATGTTTGTATTTGTGGTTCTGTCCCTGAGTCTGTGGATGTAGAGTGACTCTCCTGCTTAGCTACATACAGTTAATTTCATTTATCAGATCAGAACATTCAGTTATACTTTTCATTTTTATTTTCTGCTGTTTGCTGATTTGCTTAAAGTTAAAACTAAAAAAAATCTGACTCAACATCTTCTTTCCTCTTTAAGAGAAGTCTTCTTCTTCTTCTTCTTCACATTCACCAGCTGTAAACTCTGGCAGAAAGTTCTGGTTGTTCATCCACTTTTGGACTGCAGTCGTGTTCCATAACCTGAGTGTTGCGTGGGCATCTGTTTTACAGATCTGACTTATTTGTATGCAGACTGCTGGTTCCTTGCTTCTCAGGTAGATGCACTCCAACTTAAAAGGAAGCTCCCAATTAGTTGACATGCTTCTGGGTAGGCAGTGGGTCTATTCTTGTTTTCCCTACAATAGGGCCCTGGAACCCACATAGAATTTCAAGAGAAGTATTCAAGAGGAGTTGTGCATCTCTACACTGACTGATCCCTCATTCGACATGTACAAAGTTGTGAGTTCACGCTTCTGGTTCAAGGGGAACCTGTAAAAGAAGATAGTGGGGTTAAAGAAGATAGTGGGGTTTTTGCTTTGACTACAAGTAGTTTGACCATGGAGGTGATGGCGGTAACAAAAGCAAAAATGCGGCTAGAGACACAGCATTTTTCCCATACGTGCTTTCTAAGTGATTCCATGAGATTGCTTTAAGAAGTTAGAGACAGAATGAATTAAAAGAAAATGGTTGGAGTTGCTAAGGAAATCTCGTCTGAAAGGAATTAAGTTCCATTTCTGTGCCAGGACACTCTGGGGTAAAAGGGGATGAACGAGTGGATTGGCTTGCTGGCAGGGCCACGATAGGTACAGGAAAAGCAATGGACCCGGCTGACATTCTCTATGCTCTTAAGGAGACAGAATAAGAAGATGGTTCAGGAGACAATGCTGAGTTGGCAAAACTTAAAAGACTACAAGATTTCACGTCAAAAGAGGTGTCACCAAACATGAAAACTATACAGGTAGCCAAAGAAGAATAGTAAACAAGCACAAAACTGGTGTTATCAGTTGGCATACGCTGAGAGATATACCTAATGTGGGATTTGAGCGCTTATGGACTTATCCCATGTGCAGTGAGGATAATCTGTCGATTAACTAATGACTAACTAACTGTGCATTTCTTTAATGTTTGGAGAGAGAGGCATAATTATCCATTCATTTCTAAAATTATTGTCAATAAGGCGGCAAACATGTTCGATGGCATCCTTAGTCGGACCCATCCAGGATTTGCCTCGTTTGAGTCTACTCTTTTTTTTTTTTGCTTGAATAATTCCTCATAAAGGGGGTGTCGATGGTCTGATTTCACTTTGAGAAAAGCGACAGCCCTGGATAGCTGTTTTAAAAGAGAAGAGAATGGATGTAATGACCTGGATAAAAGAGCTTCAAGTATGGCATACAACTGTGAGAAGTGAACGGATGTAACAACAGATAAAAGACCCTCTCCCTTGCCTACACTGCAAAAATAGCAGATTTTTTTTTCTTTAACGTATGAGATAAAATTATGAAAAGTGAATAAATGAAATATTGGCTGGAAAAGAAGGGCTTACATCAGGGCTTTTCATATTGGGGCCTATGGGGCTTACAGAGGCCCAGCAAAGTGGCCCATGAATCACCTGCCAACTGTGTTGTTTTAATGATCTTTCTATGCTAAGGCTCAGAAACCACTGGCCCGCAACAATGCCCAGGTACCAATAATTTGGCCCCAAAGTAAACTTAGTTGAATGACCCTGGCTTATATTATGGGATACAAGTATCTGACAGATGCTAAAGTAGATTCTACAAGCAATTGTTATTCTAAAAGACATGCACTTTGTAGACTTAACACAACAGCGTATTCCCATAGGCTCTTCAGTTGAACAGTCTGCCCTGCTGATTTGAGGTCAGTGTTCACTGTGTGGATTCTGAGGTCTATTTTTTGGAGGCTGGGGGGGGGGGGCGGGGGGGAATAGACCCACTGCCTTCCTACAAAGTTGGAGTGCATCTGCCTGAGAGGTGAGCAACCAGCAGTCTGCATACAAGTAAGTCATATCTGTAAAATGGATGTGCATGACAAATTAAAGATTTGGATCAGGTCACAGCTTTCATCAAGGCTACCTCCTAATGTAAGTTTACTGACAGAAACATAAAAGGGAAAAAAAAATCTCTTGGATAAAAGTAGTTACCTAATGGGGGAAAAAGTAGGAGAAGTAAAGAATGTAACCTGAAACAAAGAATTAACAGCAATGAAAATAATTCCATGGCAGTGTTTATCATAGTTTGATTACAATTATTCTGAAGAAAAAAAACTACAGAGGAATAAATGACAAGAGTTAATGTTCAACAGTTTATTTTTTACTTACCTGGTTTTGCACTGGGCTGTGCTGTTGATTCTTGCTCTGGTACTACAGCTGTAGCTACAGCTGGGGCAGATGGGGTCTTACCTCCCTAAACATAATATCAGTGAATTAATCAACTGAGATTTTAAAAGAAAAGTTCTTGGATATGGTGTGTCCAGATTTTAAAAGATGGCATGCTATTTCCGAGGGATGGTCTTTACAACCTGTATTCTCATATCCAAGAACAATGCATTTCAAATCTTTCACATTTCAAATAATAGCAGAATGCTAAGATTCCTTGAAGTCGCCGTGATTTGTTACCTCCGCCCTGAACTTTGAAAATAAAAGTTGTCTTTGCTGTCTGGATTTACCATCTATTAGGGTTTTCTAAGATAAGAGGGATCTTGAGCTAGAGGATTTACGGTTCCAGGGCTAGTGCAGATAAAACAGACTGCAGGTCAAGTTGTTATTTTTTTTCATCCAACAGAAAAAAATCACCATATAAAGGATTCAAATCTGAGATTCCCAAATGAGAGCCTGGCCTTCTTAACCGCTTGACCAGCCGCTCCTCCAATAAGCCTCTATATGCTGACTCATTCAGTATCAAACAGGTGCATGGTGAAAAAAAAAACTGATAAAAATACAACTATAATGTCACTGCGCTGGATCCCACAGGGTTGAAGTAATAAAGCAGACCAAAAAGCACACACAGAGAAGAGAATTAAAGTGAAGTGAAAAAAAGATGGGGGGGGGGGGGGGGGCACTGAGTGAGCTGCATGTGATTTCAAAAGATAGGGACTAGGTGTGAGTTGGTTGAGGGCTTATGCTCCATCAGTAAAACTGTTGTCATCATTGTCAACAGTGGTAGAGAGTCACACAGTGGAAGAGATTGGGGCCTCACCACTTAATATTTCCAAAGATGGCAGTGGGTACATCATAGCCAATCTTCGATGTGGAGACAACACAGTTCTATTTTATTTAAGCTCCACTGGGTAATATTGGCAGCAGAGACAAATAAGGTCAAAAGAAGTGTCGCCGAACATGAACACTATACAGGTGGCCAAAGAAAAACAGTAAACCAACACAGAAGTTTGTCAGTCACCACACGCTTAGGGATACACTGAAGATGGGTTCAGGGCACTTATGGACTTGTCCAATGTGCAACAAGGATAATCTGTTGATTAACTAACTAACTAACTAACTAACTAACTAACTAACTAACTAACTAACTAACTAACTAACTAACTAACTAACTAACTAACTAACTAACTAACTAACTAACTAACTAACTTTCATATATAATCAGTGTCTTGCCAAGAACTACTTTCCTTCCGCATTTAAAGTTGCAAAAGTTTATCCTCTGTATAAACCTGGCTCAACTGATAAAAGTTCTGTGGGTAATTATAGACCAATTTCTTTACAATCATCACTATCAAAACCATTAGAGAAACACATACATAAAATAATATTTCAGCATTTAAATAGCAACAATCTAATCATCGATAGTCAGTCAGGGTTCAGGCCTAAATACTCTTGTCATACTACCTTGACAAAAATGACAGACAACTGGCATGTTAACAGCAAGATGTGTGGAGCAGTTTTTGTTGATTTTAAGAAAACATTTGATATGGTTGATCATGATATTTTAATTAACAAGTTAATTACCTTAAAAGCTAACAACAATTTAGTTAATTTAATAAAGTCATTCTTGTCTGATTGACGACAAGTAGTTTCCTTTGAGAATTGCCTTTCAGATTCCACACAGCTAAATATTGGCGTTCCTCAGGGTTCAATACTTGGACCATTGCTTTTTGCCACATATATTAATGACCTTCCGTTACATCTTAGCATAACATGTGACTTATTTGCAGATGACTGTACTATATACACTAATAATGAGAACTATGATGAGTTAGGATGTTCATTACAGAATGAACTAGATAAGCTTTTTAAATGGAGTAATGCTAATCGCATGCAAATTAACATAACTAAAACTAAATCTATGGTAATAGCAACCAGACAAAAGTTACAGACGTTAGACTTAAACAAGCCTCCACTTGAGCTCTATGTTAACAGATTACTTATTACTAATGTTAATAAACACAAAACATTAGGTGTTATAATTGATAGCAATTTAACTTGGTGTTCTCATGTTCATGCCATAACCAAGAAAGTAGCACAAAAAGTTTATCAGTTAGCCAAAATTCAGCACTTTCTGGATCAGAGCACACGTAAACTATTTTATGTATCTTACATTCAAGCCCATATTGACTATTGTTCCACGGTTTGGGATGGTTGCTCCAAATCCAACTTAAAACGACTGTGTTCTCTACAAAATCGCGCTTTACACCTAGTCTCAGATAGAAAGCATGCTGACAAAAATCATCTCTATAGCCATTTAAGAATTCTTCCATTTAATAAATTTTTAATAAAGCCAAATTTGTTCATAAAATATTAGCTCAAAACACTGCAGATTATCTTTTCAGGTTAATTCACACCAACCCTAAGAACAGCAAATGCCTAAATTTATTGCATTTGCCAAAGCCTAGAATAGATCTATATAAAACAAGTTTGTCATATTCTGCTGCTCATTTATGGAATCACCTCCCACTCGATCTAAAAAATATGAGTATGTACTCATTTAACCGCAGCCTTTTTAAATTCATGCTTACTAGTGATTATATGCCACCATAGATGTAGCTAATAATTTACATGCATTATTATCTTACTTATATATATTATATAGGTGTGTGTGTGATTGTTAGTGTGTGTATGAATGTGTATATATGTATGTATTTTTAGGTTTGTAAGTAGGTGTGTATTTGTATGTACGTATGTTGTAAGTATGTGGGCGTATATATGTGCAACTGTATATGAGTGTATTTGTGATTGTAGGTGTGTGTGTGTATTATTTAACAAGTATGTATGTATGTATGTATGCAGGTGAGAATATATGTATGTGGGTGTCTGTATGTGTGATTGTATATGTATGAATGCATGTATGTGTGTAAAGATGTAGGTGTATGTATTGATGTGTGTATGTATATGTGTGTATGTATGTTTACATGTGAGTGTAAATGTGTGGTTGTGGGTGTCTGTACATGTGATTGTATGTGTGTGTATGCATGCATGTGTAGGTGTGTATGTATGGAATGTGTGTGTGCATATATGTATGTGTGTATCTTTTCTGTTTGTGTATATATGTAGATGTATATATGTATGTGTTAGGTATGTCTGTATATGAGTGTGCATGTATGAGAATGTGAGAGCAAATATATATATATATATATATATATATATATATATATATATATATATATATATATATATATATATATATATATGTGTGTGTGTGTGTGTGTGTGTGTGTGTGTGTGTGTGTGTGTGAGTGTGTAAGATTGTGTACACATGATGTATGTATTATATTCTATAATGTATATTTTTATTCTATGTCTATAACATGCATTTTAGATAACAGGCATTGGTACTCTGAAAAACGAGTGCTTAGAAGGGCCGAATGTCAGATGGGCCTGCGTGCCCAATTTGTAACCGTTTGAAAATAAAGTTTGTTCGTTCGTTCGTTCGTTCGCTAGCAGTTTGTAAGAATAAACTAATTAAGGGTTCTTCTTTGAAGTTGGCGTGCATCTACCTGAGAGGCAAGGAACCAATAGTCTGCAGAAAAATAAGATAGATCTGTAAAATGGATGTGCGTGCAAAACCCACGTTCTGGAACAAGACTAGTCTAGAAGTGGATAAACAACCAGAACTTTCTGCCACAGTTTACAGCTGGTGAGCGCAAAAAAAAAGAGATTCTCTCCGCCAGTGGTTTTCAGATGAGAAGGCCAGAGAGTCTCTAGAAAGCTATGGTTGTGGCTCATGTTATCTGATCCAACCAGCTTGGTTTCAATGAAATGCCAGTGGACTAGACCTGGGATCTCTCTACTGCATAAAGAGAATATACCTGCTGCGTATGTTCAACGCCATTTACTATTCCTAACCTTTTATCCCAAATCCAGTTTGTACATTAACCTAGCCTGTCCCAGTTTTTTTTTAATCCTTCTTTCCCCATGACATTATTATTTTTCTACTAGTGTGGGTTCTGGGGTCCCATTGTGGGGAAAAAAAGAATAGACCCACTGTCCCCTTCCCCCTCACTACAAGCATGTTGTAAGAGTCGACTAACTGGCGGCTTCCTTCAAAGTCGGAGTGCATCTGCCTGAGAGGCAACGAAACAGCAGTCTGCATTTAAATAAGCAAGACCTGTTAAACGGATGCACATGCAAAACGGTGGTCTTGGAACAAAGCCACAGGCCAGAAATTGATGAACAACTAGGTCTTTTCACTGGAGTTTACAGCCAGTGGGCGCAAACAAACAGCAACAATAACAACATTGTTATTTTAAATACTTCAGACTTAAACATGTTAACATTTTTCTAGAGTATAATGAGCTTAAGCAGCATCCACCCAGGATGTCAAAGAGTTAATAATTTCCCATAGGAATTAAAGTAAAATGTTCCAAATAGTGGGCTTTCAAAAATCTGAGTGGTGAAAATCACGGTGGTACTAGAACTAAATTAAGTCAAGCTGACACTAGAACTAAATTAACACAACACAAAATACACTACAGAATATATACTAGGGACAAACACACATACACATACAGACGCAAATAATTTTGTTATCAGTCCTTAATAACAAATTCAATTAAAAAAACTATTTAAAAAAACGACACTAATTAAAATCACAATAAAGAAACAAATAAAATTTATAGGGCATCTCAAAAGAAGAAGAAGATGAGAGAAGAGAAGGTCAGTGTCACTGTTAACATGTTTCATCTCATATGACTTGGTCTTTCTTCACAGGGCAACTAGTTGCGTGGTGAGAGTATGGTGCTGAGTACTCTGTGGCTGGTGCAACTCTCTGGGATTTCCAGAAAGAAAGAAACTGTGTTGTGAACCACAGCATGCAGTCTGAAATGACCTAATGACCATCAAAGCTTGAATAAGTCACCAGGAATACAAACTTTTACTGAAAGTTTAGGCCTCACTTTGGATAACACGCTTTGTACATTTAACATTTGGTTCATAAGTACAAACTCTAGACAGAAACACTGGTAACACCTACTCTAACACCTCCACGAGCAGCAGGTCCTCCTCTAGTGGCAGCAGTACCACCCCGAGCTGCAGGACTTAAAAAAACACAACACAATTGAATATATTAATCTGGACAGAATGATCACATTTATAAAGGGAACTTATAAAAGGCACATCTATTAGAGCTAGCTGCATATCCTTTACAAGATGTTGCAAAACCAACCCCCAGCATTTGTCGGCTGTTTATGGTTTTACTGGGCAGTTTTATGTTGAGCAGTCTGCCCTTGGTCCTGAATGCTGTAAGCTGAGGTTATGCTCTTAATGTTGCTGAATTGTCTGTTTACCAGACTGGCTTGAGGCTCACAAAGAAGAGATGCTGCTAATAACAGAGGAGAAAAAAATGCTCAATTAGCACATAAAAATCTACCAAATAATAGAAATTTACAATTACTTCTGAACCTTCAAACTAGAGCCCACAAAACTGAATGACACAGTGCAAATGATTACGGGATCAGACTTAAAAGATTCAGTCAGCAACCAACACTGGCAATATAAGGGCTTTGTATGAGGTCATCAAGAAGGTTATTGGACCAGTAAAAAGAAAAGTAGCTGCCCTCAAATCAGCCACTAGCGAGGTCAATAGGGATAGTACAAAGCAGCTGGCACGCTGGGTGAAGCATATCTCAGAACTCTCTACAAGCACCTAAGTGGACGCTGAGGCTTTAAATGCAGCTGGGTGTCTCCCACCATAGATGAACTAGACATGGAACCTACTATCACAGAAATTAGCAAAGCATTGGATGTGCCTACCTCAGGCAAGGCCCTGGGTGAGGATTGTATCCTGCCTGAGATTCTGAAATGCTCAAAGAAAGCTATCTTTCCTGAGCTGCTCAAGATTCTCTGCCAATGCTGGCAAGACAAATTGGTGCCCCAAGAACCGAGAGATGCCAACATTATAACATTCTATAAAAACAAGGAGGACAGAAGCAACTGTATTAACTAACATGGCATCTCTTTGATAAATTATACTGGCAGTCTTTGCTCACATGATCCTGAAGAGACTGCAGATTCTAGCAGATAATAACAGTGTGAGCAGAGCCCAGAGATCTTCTCCATCATGCAGCTACAAGAAAAGTGCAGGGAGCAAAAGAAGTCACTATTTATTGCCTTCATACATTTTACTAAGGCTTTTGATTATGTTAGCAGAGAATGGCCTGTTTAAGTCTTTCAGACAACATTTTTTTCTGGTGTTCAGATAGCAATAATTTTGAGCGCAATTTTTTTTACTGCAACAGGACAATGCAAAAAACCTTCCTGAAGCTCTGAAATTTTTTTTTTTTGGGGGGACAAATTTAAGAACAGATGTCTTAGAAGAATAGTAAATCTCTACCGGATAAATTTCAGATCCAGTACGCAAATAAGACAAGAGACCACTGAAGGGATATATCATAGTACAGGATCTGATGGCAATCCTTTTAGTTTGTCCAGGCTTCGTGCAAGGACTAAGGTGCAGACATGACGCCTCAGGGACTTTTCATTTATGGATGATGCAGCTATTACTGCATATATAGAAAAATGATCAGCAGTCTCAAGAATTCCTTTGCAAATGCATGCAAGGATTTCAGACTCACCATCAGTCTCAACAAAACACAAGTGATCCAAATGGATGTGGTAAACCCAGCAAGCAGCATTAGCAATTTTACAACCATGAGCTTTGACTGTACATAAGTTCGAGTACCTAGGCTCTTGAATTGCAGATGATATTTCCTGTGCAGAACTAAACAGGCCAATAGAACAGGCTTTCCCAGTGCTTTTCAAACTTAGCAAGAGTATGGTCAAACAAAAAGCCTACAGATAGGGCTGAAATTAAAGTTCATGAAGCTTGCGTTCCAAGTATGCTTCTTTACTATAGGCTCCTCAAAAAAAAAAAAAAAGCTTGAATAATTTCCACAGGCGTTGTATGAAATGTCGGTGCTTTATTAATATCCTATCCCAAACAGGGGAAATCAACAGGTCACGGAACAGTCTAATATTTCAGGGGGTGGTAGATAGGCTGCATGCAGTCGTGGGACCTAGGCTTCATGCAATCTTGGGACCTAGGCTGCACTCTCTCCAGGGACATAGGTGGGTTGGGGTTAGGGCCAGTTCTAAATGTTTTGGGGTCGTTAAAAGCATTGGAAAGCCAGGAAACCTAGTCTTACCACCCTCCGAAATGTTGGACTGTCCTGTGACGTCATCTGGGGTAGGATATTAATAAAGCACTGAAATGCCTTCTTGGTATATCATGGCAAGATCTTGTCCCCAACAAATGTGTACCCAAAAGAGCAGGAAGGCCAACAGTGTACTTTCTGCTGAAGCAAAGACATCTGCATTATTTGGGACATGGCTTTCACATGGGAGAAAGTCACATTCCAAAGGATCTCTTGTACAGCGAACTGGCAACAGTGATCAGATTTGAAGGAAGGACAATGCTGCACTACAAGGATGTGCCCAAATGTGACCAGAAAGATATCAACATTGACACAGTCATGGGAGAGATCAGCTGCAGACTGACTCCTTTAGAGGCAGACGTGAAAGACGAACTGTTGCAGTTTGCAAGTGACCAAACGTAGCAGGCTAGAGAGCGAAGAGGTCGAAAAGAAGCCAAGCCTCAGAACAATAGAGTATCAATGCTTTTATGTGGACTATGTAGACTCCCGCGTTGGACTTTACAGTTATAGCAAACATTGCCCCCAAAACCAGGGGCACAACTCCATAGTCCTCGGAGATATACAGCTGCCTACAGTTTGCCACTGCTTTCTGATTGGTTGGCTCTCCATACCCCTGCTGAAATCAACACAAAACATTCTGCTGCCAAATCGCCCACAGCTGGAATCTAACCGGGTTCCTTGGAATTACAAAGCGTGTTTGCAACACACAGAATGTGAGGGTGTGAAATGTTTCCCAGCCACATAAATTACCTCATTGAGTACCAAGTAATGCCTCATGCATTTGCTGGTTTCTACTGTCATAACAGTTTTTCTGTACTCCCAGGACATTAACCCCTTTTAATCCAGCTGGTACTTTAACCCCTCCTTGTCATAGTGTAATTACTTTGACTCCTTCAGATTCATATATTTATTACTTAACGTAACACCTTAGAATACAAGATAAAGTTAAGAAATTTAGTGTAAAGTGCTTCTGGACTGAAAGAGTTAACTAAGTTTAGCCAGTAAGCACGGGCACTGGGAGCTATAAGTGGACTAGATAAAAAACTGGGATCTAAGGATTTCTGAATATCCTGTAGGACATTCATGTCAAACATGCGGCCCTTTGCAAGCACACCCGAGGCCCTCATTAAAAAAAAATATTCTGCAATAATTTTTATTAAATGATTTCAGTTAGTTGTCATGTGTGGCCGTCACGACGGGCCAAATATGACCCATATGGCCCTCGGAGGACCCTCAGTCTGACATGCCAGCTGTAGGAAGTGGCTATCACCTTTCTCAAGATACTATCCCAATCTCTGTCCTCTACAATCTGGAACATGGAGCAAGCTGACCGGCTAACTTTCTTAGTACCTTCCTTCTCAGAATATTCTCTCTCTTTAAATTTCAATTTGGGTCAGTCCCAGAGTCATCATCAAGTGCCTTGTCCACTGGCGTGGGTGATCGTGCCTCTCCACAATCTGTGATCTTCAGCGGCATGTATCATTTCATGTGCCGACACCCTACATGCTATGAGAAAAGTCTGTCAATATTCTTTTCGATTTGTTTTCCTCAGTCTCTCTTTCCACAGATCTTTCTAGTACTCACAACACAGTATAGTTTCCTTCATCTTACTTTTTAAAATGTCTGTGCCATCTCCACAACGAAGGTTGTCTGCAGCGTACCACTGCTGTCTTTGGGAATATTAAGTGGTGAGGCACCAATCTCTTCAAAGGTGTGACTCCGGAACCAGTGTCTGAAAACCATGTGAACATCTTTTTTCTATCCACAGCAGGAAACGAACCCCATGAAATTGTTAACTGCATTTAGTAACCTCTAAGCCATGGAGATGCAGTCCTGGAAGTAAAGGCAGCCGGCGTGATGCTGACCACATTACCCATCTTGTGCCGATTGGTCTATAAAAAAAGTGCAGATCTAGCTCTATATACCCTATACGCCTAAAGGTGTGGAAAAGGGACCTTTATTTTTTTTTACTTACATAGATCTGCACTAACAGGACCCAAAGATTATGATACAAGTTAGCCAGATAGAGGACAAATTATTATACTGCTGCTGACTGCATGTTTTTACTTATCTGCTTTTGCTGGAGGGTTGGAGGATGAAGACTCCACTGGTTTGTTGTCTTTCACAGCAACACCTCTGCCACGACCAGCAGCAGCTGTAGAACCACCTCTTCCACCATTTGGTGCAGTGCCTGTTGGTGCAGATGGTAAAGCTGATCCTTTAGTGTCTTCAAGTGCAGCTGTTGCTGTCTTGCCAGCATTTTCTTTCTTTGTCAGTTCAGACCACCACTTTTGTTCTGCAAAGATGTTTTAAAATAAAAATGGGCAAATGACGCCTATTTAGTTGAACCCACTTTAAAACAATTCTTCTTCTTTTGCGTTCGCCCTCAAAAGGGCTGTTGGCACACCGTGTTGTGATTTAAATCTAGGCTATGATATCTGCACATTTTAGTCCAACACGTTCAGTTTTTAGACATGTAAAGATTCTAGAACAAGCAGTACTGATGACTTCTACTAGATCATTTATTAATTTTTATTTAGTGAAGGATTGCTATTTGCACTATTACACTGTTGTATCTGGTTGACATTTGTGAGAAGCATATTTGGTTGTATTATATGGTAATTGTGATATATAGCCCCCATTATGTTACTAGGCTGCTTCTTTACACGTATTTCAAGACAAGTTTTGTGCCAGTTAGTTTTGAATTTCATAATTTCCTATTCTGTCTCATGATTAAATTAGCTTCTAAAGGACATGATTGTTCTCTCCTAGGCCAAATTTTTTTTTAAAGTGTTTAACACAGATTAAAATATGGTCAGTTACATTTCCAGTTATATATACTTTTTCAAAATTAAATTCTTGTTATATCTGCATATAATGGAAAAAGTTAATTGTATCCTTTACAGGATATTGCAGAACTAGTCTCAGAATGTTTCTGGCTTTTTGGGAATTAACTAGTAAATTTTTAGGTTCAGTGGTTTGCCACTGCTTTCAAAACGATACCACTGTCAAAACCAATGTTGCCAATTGCCTGCAGCTGGGATAGAACCCAGCCCCTTGGAATTGTGAAGCATGTTTGCAATGCCCAAGCCACAGATGCTGACAATCATAACGGAAGCTTACATTAAAACCAGAGGCGTACATAAAAATATATGCACTTTTTTTTCCAGATGCACCTAAATTGTGAAAAAAATCCTTGAATTTACTTATTTATTTCACAGAGTGTGGAAAAAGTATTATAATAACCAGTGTTTTGACTTTGCATTTATAATGCTTGAAATACTGGCCTTTTGTTTCATAAAACTTAAGTATCATATTCAGGTGAAGAATAATCTTTGCAATCTGTCTTTGTCAAGTATGGTGAGAAAGAGAGTTCTCAAGAGCTATATACAAACAATCCTGATGTATGGAAGTGAATCAGTCAGCCGATTAGTGAAAGTTATGTAACAACTGCAGAGTGTGTTTTTGGAGCTGTGTAGTGTGAAAAAGAAAAAGAAAAAAAGAATGATAATAGACAAACCATGGACAAATTAAATGTAATGAGGATGTCTTGAAAGAAATTAATTCATTGGGGGGACTGATTATTCAAATAAGAAGGAGATAGTTTTTATTTATTGCTCTAATTTACAATAGAAGACATGGTTGGTGTTCACTGGTCGAGAGCCTATGCTGTATTGGCAGGTTAAAGGCAGGAGAAGAAGATATAAGATATATATGCCTTGACCTCAAGAATATAAGCTATTTGTGTGCATGTTTGTGTGCATGTGCTCGTGCATGTTTATGCATTATACAATATCCACAATATTAATGCTGTATTGTGTTGTTCACCCCCTCCAAGCTGCTACCTGAAGGTTTGACACCCTGGGATTACAAAATCAAAATCTGGAGGGCAGACATAAACTGCAAATTCTGGATACTCTCTTCGACTTCCAAAGAAGTTATAACTGGGGCACCTGTAATGGCCACATCAGCCTTGTGTAACCTGTGGTCTATATGTGTAAGGACGTAAGTATAAAAAGTTATTAAGGTCTTCTTCTTCACGTCTTCTTTGTGTCACTGGCTGTAAACTATGGTTGAAAGTTCTGGTTGTAGGTCCACTTCTGGACTTTAGTACTGTTTCAGAAATTAATGTAAACTTCTTCTTCAGCATTCAGAGCCCTTGAGGTTCACTGCTGCAGATATCACCAGTCCCATTTATCTCTCTGGCTGGCTTTTTCTTTCCAGTTGGTGACACCAAATGTCTGTAGGTCTGTCTGGATATTCTCTCATTATTAGCTGCTTGGTAATTACCCAGTACATTTTTGACGTGTGGTTTTAGCCTGTTTAGCAGTATTGCTAATAGTATCTTACAGATTGTAGACAATAATGATATTCCCTTAGAATTTTCATATTTATACTTATCACCTTGCTCAAAAATGGGTATTAATAAAGACTCTTTCCACTCATGGGGTAATTTCTCCGTCTTCCAAACTAGTTCTGTTAATTCATGTATCTTTAAATGTAATGCATGACCACCTTCTTCCATAAGTTCAGCAGCAATTCCATCACCACCAGTTGCTTTGTTGTTACATTAAAGTAAACAGTATTAAAAAATAATTTAAGGACCATTTTCCACGCCTTTAGGCATATCAGACATAAAGGGCTAGACCTATATTTTTATAGACCAATTGGCACAAGATGGATGATGTGGTAAGCATCATGCCGGCTGCATTTACATCCCGGGACTGTACCTGATACCCACTGGGAGCCAAGGCAATTTTTGAATAAAGTCCGGCTCCATATAGTTTAAGTATATAATAAATTCACTTCTTATACAAGACTCACTGATTATCACTTCAGGAGGACTTCCTTTGGTACTCTTTCCTTCTAATTCAATGCTGGCTTCAAAGGAAGCTTTAGCCTCTAATAGTTTCTCCTTAACTTTGTCTCCAGCAGGGCTGTTATCACACAGTGCCAGCTGGGCTGAGCCAAGTAGGAACAAGACATAACTGACACAAGGCTGAATTTTCACCAGTTTCTGACACGTCTGGAAAATGTAATAATGAATTAGTTGTCACTAAAATCCCAATTCTTCTTCTGCTCTTCGCATTCATTGGCTATAACCTCCAGCAGAAAGTCCTGGTTGTTTGTCCACTTCCGGACTTTGGTTTATATTTATGATGGAATTTGTAAGCACATCCATTTTACAGGTCTTGCTTATTTGTGTACAGGCTGTTGGTTCCTCACTCCCAGGCAGATGCATTTCAAATTTAAAGAAAATGATGCTCTCAACATAAGCCAGGACACTGGTTGGGAACCTGTTTCTATGACGACTACAGAGAGGTGCAGAGAGATCTTAGTATCTACCTTAGTCACCACAAATAGTTTAGCACCTCTGCTGAACTTGTACCTAACAAATGAAATATGAATGTGTCCACACAGCTTTTCATATTCCTGTTCTGTAGATGTTTAAAAAACAAGCTATTGAATAATCAGTGTGCCCATACATCTTTTCATATCCCTGTTCTGTAGATAATTAAAAACAAGCTATTAAATAATCAGTGTGCCCACACAGCTTTTCTGTAGTAGCTTATAAACTAGTTGCCCAGCCTCTGAGTTGAGTGCATGGCGTGACACTGTGAGCTGCGGATTTCATTTGGAATGTTTTTCGACTGACCAACGTGGTGGTGTGATTTGTAGATTCAGAAAATGGCGCAATGCCGGTTGTCGCAATATTGGTGGGGCCATTATTTGATTAAAATTGATCGCGTGTGCAACTGCTGATCTTTTAATGATTTCTGCTACCATCAATGATGAACTGCATTTCTAATGTTGGACTGTTTCTGTTAGCACTTCGGATGGCTACCATATGCTTTTAATGCGAGTGTATGCTAGATTTGCCGAGAGAGCAGTTTGTCAGTCTTTCCACAAGGGACTGTGATAAACATTCTGTGTGTTTTTCATTGGCACAGGAGCGGAGCAAGGATGGGGTGACCCGTTTGCTATGAAGCTGAAATTAAAAATTACCAAAATTACCAGATTACCAAACTAGCTTTTGAGATATAAATGTTCCTACACAGCTTTTATGTATCTGTTCTTGTTGTTATCAAGTGAGATATCTGTGCGCTTACACAACTTTTATATCTCTGTTCTGTAGATGTTTGAAAACTAGCTTTTAAAATATAAAAGTGCTCACACAGTTTTCATTTCCCTGTGCTGTAGCCAATAAATGAGATTTCAATGTGCTGACACAGCTTTCATATTTGTGTTCTGTAGATGTTTGTAAACTGGCAATTGAGACAACATTGTACCTACACAGCTTTCATTTCCCTGTTCTGTAGATTTTTGTACTTTAACAGTTTAGATGCTTAACTATTTTTCACATCAAGGCACCATACAGAGCCAATCATGCTTTATACACCTGGGGCCTGGATACCGAGTAGGGAAGTCACAAAACATGCGATGACAGCAGAAATGTTGTTTCTCAAGGAAATTGAAAAATGTCACTGAATGACCTAAATAATGAAATGAGTTTGTGAATAACATAGATTTTTACCTTTTCTTGTAGCCCATCTACAGCTTGGTCTTACCAGAAATAGTTGCACTGAATGTGGTTATTTGCAAATATGGTATTATGTGCAGATACAGTATTACTGTTGATACCTTGCAAAACAATGTTGAATTAATGGAATGAGATTGTGATTAAATAGATTTTTACCTTTTCTTGAAGTTCCAAAAGTCTGGCATTACCAGAAATGGTTGTACTAAATATAAGTGCTGACAGTCTCTGACATCTGAGTGCAATAAGATCTTCATTGCCTGCTGGTCTCTGTGTCAACAATTCTAGCAGCTGTGTGTGAGCATCAACCAATACCCACTCGACCTGCTTGTACAGGTCACCACGACAGATTTTTGGCAAGACTTGGGATGCTAGTAAAGCTGCTCTTGAAAATTTAAATTATGAGAAACTTTTAAAATTATCCATGTTGTTATCTTTAAGAGTTACTATATTTATCTCTTTTCTCACCAAGCACCGACCATTCATATATTGTTCTGTATACATTGCATGCATTTCTTGATTACTTCTTCTTCTTCTTCCTCTTCTTTGTTCACCACCTGTAACTATGGTGGAAAATCCTCGTTGTTTGTCCATCTGGACTTCGGCTTTGTGCCAGGGCATGAGTTTTGCATGTACATCCATTTTACTGGCTTATTTGGTTGCAGTTGCTTGTTCCTTGCAGCTCGAGCAGATACACTACTGACTTTGAAGGAAGACCCCAATTAGTCAACTACTACGACTTGCTTGTTGGGGAGGCAGTGGGTCAATTCTTGTTTTCCCCACAATGGGGCCCCAGAACCCGCATAGGGAGCATTCTGTTTCAGTTAACACCTTAACCCATTATTTTCAATAATTCTTTTACTATTACACACCAAGACTCAGTTTATATCTTTGAAGTACATACAGGTAAGAAATCTCTAAGACTGAATGAATTAAACCATGGTAACTGAAGTTAAAATAAACACATATTAAACACATATATTCTTAAACTTTCAGTGACTTTTATAGCGATGATATATGACTTACAATAATCCCAGGTGAGGTGATTATCTATACAGATGGCTCTGTGTTGAGAGGCAGACGAAGTACATGCGGATTCAAAGCAAAAACGAATGGACCTCACTTTGTGAAACAAAGCCTGGATATGAGATCACAACATCTAGTTTGAAAATAAAGGTGGAGGCAGTCACTGTAGCCTTCCGCTGGCTGGATAACCACATGTATATATGTTTTAATTGTAACTGACTAACTGAGCATGTCTAGAAAGGTAGAGACATGTATGCTCCTTGCAGAGTGGCAAGCACTGCTAAAGCTCATGTGTTGGGAAACACAAGCAGATAGACAGGCTAGTTCTGCACCACTTGGTGGTGAACTGATGCTTGTCAAGCTAGATGTTACAAGGGCCCTTTGGGAGTGAGCGAACAATGCGGAGGCACAAACAGATCATTCTGAGGAGAATGGCGCTGTGAGGAGTGACCAGGAGACTGACAGATGCTCAACACTCAACGGAAAGACAAAACTAATAAACAATCAGACTCTTGTTGATGCTACAGGACCTGGAACTCTGCACTTGCTGCTGAAGATGGGGATGAGGTACTCACAGGAATTTCCTGAAGGCTTTGATGTCAATTCCTAATTCAACATTCAATATAATAGTTTTGGTATCATTTTTATTGCTGTGATTTAAAAACTGTGTAAAATGTAGAGAAATGAATAAAAAATGCATGTAATATATGGGAGATAAGAATGGCTTTGAAGCTGCATAACTAAAAATAATTATGATGATACATTTTAGATGGAAAAAATATACAACCACACAAAGTATTAATTTGTTTAATGTTAAATCTGAATTTTAAAATGCAATTTGTATTCTTATAAAATTAAATCCTCTGAAATACTAGCTTCATTCTTTAGTGACCAAATAAGTTTATAATGTGACCATAGTTCCTAAAATTAGGAACAGTATAAAATGACCAAGCAATGGAAATGTAATATATTTGTCATCAACCAAATATGGTTTCTAAAATTTTTTTTTTTTTTTTTTAGTAAAGCTGATTAAACAGGTTTAAAAAAAAAAAAGCGCTTTTTCTTCTTCTTGTGATTGTTGTCTTTTTCTTTTCAAGTCCTTTTTTAACAAAAATAGTTCTTACGACAAAATTGACTGTTTTTGTTTGTTTTTGAAGGAACTCTTTAATTCCACACAATGATTGCAGTGCTAACTCATTCAGCTTACTCTGGCACCAAGATAAACTCAGAATTTAAGTGCTGTTTCAGTCTGTGATTGACAATTCTCTCCAAAGTCTTCCTTACAGAGTAAGGTTTATTGGTCGATAGCTTGAGGTGTAAGTCCTAAATATTTAATTTTGTTTTAGTATGGGTATTGTGGTGGCTTCTCTCCACACTAACCTAAATAAAATAACCTTCTTTTGAGGATGGAATACATTTTGTTAACCCTTCTTCTTCATTCATCTTGAACAAAATATTGTTAAAGCACTGAGCAATATTTGTGCTTTTTGGTTGCACATCATACTTCAGCAAGCCCTATTTTAGGACTAATTTAACTTCCCAGAAAAGAATTTTCTACGTTTGCCTTTAAAAAAGGCAGTTGACTTGCTGTATTGTGGTTTATAGCTAGGGTGCAATATCTGCAATTCCCGCACCATTCAGTTCAACACATCAGTTCATTTCAGTAAATCCTTAAGTATGTCACCCTTAATTACATGCTTTAAAGGGACAGTGGAAATAACCCCCTCTGAATTTTGTGTTTGTTTCATTTGTTTTGTTCTTAAAATATTACTAATATTATATAGATATTCCAATTTCTAGGGAATTAATTACACTTCATAAGCTCATAATCCTAAGGTTTATACTATGTAGTAGCAGGAATATTAAATCAACACAGCAGAATTTTAAATAATATGTAAAATCTTACGTATGGAAAACATCTGTTGGAGCCATTGCTTCCTTCACATCACTGTTATTCATCAACAAATTGCCAAGCTGGATGACTGATCGTAGCAGATGGACATTAGTAGCTCGGACTAAGTTCTCAGCAAACAGACTGGTTTTGATTCTTGTTAAATCATCAAAGAAACAAATGTGAAATAATTATATCTGTATAAAGCAACTGCATCATTATCATCATCATCATCATTAAGTTTATTTACTGACGTCATAGATGTTCATGTCTGTTCACAGATCTTGGTCTTTATTGTTCAGAATAAATTCTATTGAGGAATTTACTCTGGTTACGTCGCACGATTGTAAAGCTGGATATTTCCACTTTCTCTGTTTCCTGTATTTATTACATTGTCCCTGCTTTACTATCATTAACCAGGTACTATTCAGATCAAGGTGGTGGTAACAAAAGCAATGACTTGGCCATAGAAACAGATTTTCACCCCTGCATGCTTTCTGATTCGATGAACATGCTAAAAGACTGAGACAGGATGGGTTTGAAGACAGTGGTTGGAGTCTGAAGAAATCTCTTCTGATGGGAAGAGTTTCATTTGTGTGCCAGGACACACTAGTGTAAGAGTGAATGAATAAGCAGACTGGCTTGCTGGCAGACAGGGCCATGGCAGGTGTAGGAAAAGCAATGGAGAGGGCTGATGATTTAAAAAAAAATTGAATTCTTTTCAAGGAAGCAGGATGAGTAGATGATTCAGGAAAAGGCAGCCTTGAAAAAAATACCTGAATTTTAAGTCAAAAGAGGTGCTGCCAAACATGAACACTATGCAAGTAGCCAAAGAAGAATAGTAAACAAACACAGAAGTGGTGTTATCAGTCATAACAGTTTGGGTTGAGGATGATCAGTTGATTAACTCACTAAGTAGTTACTCAGATCAGATAATATTCATACATTTCTGTAAATTGCCCAGGAAGCAAAGGCAAAGAGGAAAGGAACTGACCACTCTGCCTAAAAGGTCATGGCCTAGAATATGTGAAGGTCTAACACTTCATACGCCATTTTGCAGTATTTGCTATGACTCCCTTAACCATTGTTAACTCAACTTTAAAGGTGACACATACTCCAGCCTGTACATGCTATGGTCCCAGCTTGGGCAAGAGGTCTTTATTGGTCAGCGTAGAAACATCTCTTTACTAGACATCGGCACTGGTAAAAAATGTCATAATGACAGACAGTGAGAGAGAGAGAGAGGTAGGCAGATACAGACACAGAGGGACAGTCATACAAAGGCAGACAGACAGATGACATACAGGAACATAAAGGCAGATAAAGACACTCATGCAGAGATGGAGACAGAAAGCTATACACAGACAGGGACATAGAGACAGACATATGGAGAGAGAGAGAGAGAGAGAGAGAGAGAGAGAGAGAGAGAGAGAGAGAGAGAGAGAGAGAGAGAGAGAGAGAGAGAGAGAGAGAGAGAGAGAGTGAATAAATGAACAAACTTTATTTTCAAAGGGTCACAAATGAGAGAGAGAGAGAGAGAGAGAGAGAGAGAGAGAGAGAGAGAGAGAGAGAGAGAGAGAGAGAGAGAGAGAGAGAGAGAGAGAGAGAGAGAGAGAGAGAGAGAGAGAGAGAGAGAGAGAGAGAGACTGAGAGACAGAGATAGTCAGACAGAAATATGTCATGTAGTGTTAGGGAATAGATGGTCTCTTAATGACCATAATTCATTATAGAATGCATACTCAAACATTACACATTAAAAGTAAAACAAATTTTAAATTTAAAAAAAACGTTCTTACACCAACTCCTCAGCCATATTTGCTTCCTTTGACAGTTCACATAACAGTATCTCCAGTCCTGCCAAAAGATACTTGATGGCCTCTTTGCTCCTTTTCTTCCATTCCACCTTGCTCAAGCTGATGGACAGACCCAGGTATAATCTGACCAAAGAAAAACAGCAACAATTTAAAATAAAATAAATAAAAGAGATCTATTATGTAATTTATCAGTTAACCCTTTCTGTCCCAAATATCACACCCTGTGGATTAACAACTGATCCACTATATTATAAAACACAATGTGTGGTAACATATGATTTATTTTTAGTCTGAATGTAGTCAAGAAATCCGGCACAGTATATGCCTATTTGAAAGTAATGTATTTATACATTCTTTCATGTTAGTTAGCATCCCACTGCAGCAAAATCTTCTCAGACTAAAAGAGTTAAAGCACGTCAAAGAGTTTAACATTTGGTTTCTTCAGATACAAACAATGCTGAGATCAAATGCACATGTGAGTTGGAAATACAGCTACATGTTTGAAATAACTATATAATTTGACTCTACTTTATACAGGGGATGGAAAACTGCTTGAGCTAATTAAGTGACTAAATATTGTTGTATCATAATGTATTATTTGTCTGAAGAATTGCATTTCCAACTGTCTCATTTCCATAACCTCCCTGTGTAGGTTCCGGGGCCCTATTATAGGAGGAAAAAAGAATAGACCCAGTGCCTACCCAAAAGCATGTCGTAAGAGTCAACTAATTGGGAGCTTCCTTCGAAGTCAGAGTGCATATGCCTGAGAGGCAAGGAACTAGCAGTCTGCATACAAATGAGTCAGATCTGTAAAATGGATGCACATGCAACACTCAGGTTCTGAAACAGGACTGCAGTCCAAAAGTGGATGAACAACCAGAACTTTCTGCCTGAGTTTACAGCTGTGAATGCGAAGAAGAAGAAGATTTCCATAACCATAGGGCTGTCATGTTATTTAACATGTGCAATAAAACATGTAGCTACATTTCTGGATCACTCTGTAGATGCACCAAAACAAACTAGGTCTTTGCCAAGATGTCACTAATTTGTTCTTCTGTATTTTATCTTCCAATGGAACAGTCTCTCAGATAATTCAGGTCAAGCCCTCCTATTCTCTGCCTTCCCCTCAGCTCTCCCCTCCTCCTGCATCCTCTCTGTATTGTTCATCTTTGTTTTAACCATCATCTAACCTTTCCTTTCTGTGGTAGGTTTTGTTTGTGTTCAAGGCCATGAGCATGCAGATTATTTTCCAGACACTGTGGTTGCTATGATGGTTGCAATACTGGACAGAAGTAATGTCATCAATGCCATGTGTAGAACATAGTGCTAAGATGAATATAGCGAATGATAAGACTCCATATCCTTATTTAGGCTGATGGACATTGAGGTGCTACCTGCAGTTGCAAGAAATGATTTCCACCAAGTGCACAAGATGTTTGATCAGACAACACAGAACGGGCATACTTTCTCTGTCCCTCTCTCTTCCCCCCCCCCTCTCTCTCATCTTGATCCCCTTGTATCTTGCAGTGTCGAGGTGAAGCATAACTTACAGGAAAGAACCTGTTTGTGTGCTTCATAAATTGGGATACCCATGGACTCTATAATTCCCTCTGTCCTTCGCTTGCATGGCTGGCCTCTTCTTTGCTTCCTACCTGGTCTGTACATCACTGCTGGCTGTGGTATACTGTCTGCTATAATCCATGTTATATGGCCAAACCATTTTACCTGTTGTTTTCTAATAAAATCCAGAGCTGCTGCCCTCATTTTCCTTTGGATTAATCGTTTTATTCTTGTCATATTGACAGCCCTTCACTCTTTTCTCTTTTTTCTTTATGTCACTGTCCTGGTCTGGCCCTAATAACACAGAGTTCGCAAGAAGATTGTGCCATAGAGTGCTCTTTTGATTCCTACCGATATGTTTGGTTCTTAGTATTGGTGCCATTTGCCCAATGAGTCGGTTTGCTTTGTTACATCTGTCATCAATCTCATCTTCTGTTTTTACAGCTGATGATTTTATGCTTCCTAAGTATTTGAAGTTTTTGGTTTGTTTCAGAGGGTGTTCTGTAAGCTGGATATAATTTGTTTTGTCTACTTTGGCTATGGTCATGACCTCTGTTTTGTTGTCCTTAATTTTCATATTATACTCTTTGCAAATCTGGTTTCAATAATTTATATGATCTTGCAGTTCGGTTTCTCAATTAGCAATTATTGCTTGGTCATCTGCAAAAAGTAGTTCTTTGATGAAACTGTATGGCTTTGGATCTTCCTCTACTTGGTGTTTAAAGTCCTTGTCAGGTTGGTTTCTTTAAAGATATTATAATGTAAGTTATGAAGAAAAGTGAAGGCAGAACACAGCCCTGCCATACTACAGATTTTATGGTGAATGGTTCTGAGTTTCCTCTGTTTTCTAACAGTACATTCACCATATTAGTAATTTTATGTTTATGGAACTACTGAGGAGATAGGAACATCTTTGGATCTTGTCCAGAGTGGAGTGCTGTGATGACAATCCTCACTAATCACTAACATGTACCTACTTCTTCTCTGTGTGTTTTTAAGCCTCCTTCTATTATGTTTGCTCTGTGGGTTCCAGAGAAACATCATTCTTATGATTTGTCAGGTCCCAAACTCTTTCAACATGGCTCCTTGCAATTGTTATTGTTCAACAAGCTCAAAAATACCAATGGAAGGGACCTGATTGCAGTCATGAGTAGACATCATGTGGAGAATGATGGCTAAGTTATCCTTCCATTCCAAAGAGGTCTTTCTCAATAGCTGTAAACGATGGTGGGACCACAGGAAGAAATTTATGCAGTCCCAAGGAGAGTTCTTTGATGGGGGATTAGGGTTTAGAGCTCCAGGTAAGTAACTGTAATTGTTTCCAGTGCCAGGTCAGCAACTGTCTGAACAGACCTCCAGGTAAGTAACTGTAATTGTTTCCAGTGCCAGGTCAGCAACTGTTTGAACAGACCTCCAGGTAAGTAACTGTAATTGTTTCCAGTGCCAGGTCAGCAACTATTTGAACAGACCTCCAGGTAAGTAACTGTAATTGTTTCCAGTGCCAGGTCAGCAACTGTTTGAACAGACCTCCAGGTAAGTAACTGTAATTGTTTCCAGTGCCAGGTCAGCAACTGTTTGAACAGACCTCCAGGTAAGTAACTGTAATTGTTTCCAGTGCCAGGTCAGCAACTGTTTGAACAGACCTCCAGGTAAGTAACTGTAATTGTTTCCAGTGCCAGGTCAGCAACTGTTTGAACAGACCTCCAGGTAAGTAACTGTAATTGTTTCCAGTGCCAGGTCAGCAACTGTCTGAACAGACCTCCAGTGGACAAAAGTATTTCAGTTTCCATTCATTACCAAAACATGATACTGTTTATGAGTAAATTCTCTTAGATATTAAAATCTTGTTAAGTGTCATTATTTGTTTCTTTTTGAGAAATGACATAGTAAAAATTTTCCTTGCCTCATTTAAGCTCAAATGCTTCATTTGTCTTTTTTAGTGATCCGAAATGGTCCACAATTCACATCTACCAAACTCCACTGTCATGAAACTTTAAGGATCTTACCTTGCCATTTCATGTTTGGAATTTTTCGAAAGTGCAGCCTGTAATCTTGTTATAGCATCCTCATAGTTCCCCATTATGACCAACATGCGGCCCACATGAAAGTTGTAGTCAGCGTTCGACTCCTCCAGACAAAGAGCATCCAGGTACTTTTGGTAAGCTTGACCAAGTGGAGACTGGTGATCTTCAGCCTTGTGGGCAGCAGCTCCTTCCTGGCAACAGCACAGTAAGACAAGATTTGTTTTTGATTCTTTTGTCTAGCACATAGTAAGTTTCTTCACTGAAACATTCTACCAAATATAGGTTCACACATAAGTCAATTATATATGGTCTTACTTCTTCCTCTTCCTACAGTCCATGCTGTGTGGCATTGGTAGTCATGTCTATCCATAATCTTCTGTCTCGTATACTTTCAATAAATTCTGACACAGATGATCTTCCATGCCATTATGTCAAACTGTCCAGATTTTCTTTCTGTCTTCCTCTACTTCTTTTACCATTCAACTTTCTCTCCATCAAGATGTACTCAAGTTTTCTCCTTCTCATGACATGACCAACGAATGTAGACCTTCTTTTTCTGGTCTCACTTAAACAAAGTTAAAGTCAAGAAGATTTACATCAATGCACCTGGTGTTATTACATGTGGCTCAGTCTCTCTCCACAAAATGGCTAGCTGCTTACTGAGAGTGCCACACAAAGCATGAACTCTAGCTTCAGCAATAATCCCCAGGGTATCCATAAAAAATACACTTATGAATGGTATAACATGTTTATGAAATTAACCCACAACCTTCCAGGCATGAGGCTTATGGCTAGACCATCTTGCCACAGGGAACTCTTGCTTATAAAAATCTTTGAGAAATGAAGTAAGAAACAAAATTGCTAAGAGCTATCTAGTGCCAATTTGGATTTATAAACAGATTATTTTTTTTTTAAACCCCAAAAAAGAAAAAAAACGTGGAAACTGCAGATTTGGTTTTATAGAAGAACAATGAAAACCCTATAGACAGATGTTTTATAAGCTAGTTTTATAAACTAATCAGCACTTGGTGGGTGATGTGGTCAGCATCACGCCAGCCACCTTTACTTCCCAGGACTGTACCTGGTACCTACTCAAGGCTGGGTCAACCTGGAAGTCAAAGCCATCTTTGAAAAATGTCTGGCTCCATCAGGACGCAAACCTTCTGATCCGCAGGCAGGCGTTTAGTCGCCAACGCCACTGTGACTCCCAACTCACAATGTGAATTTGTAATTTAGCAAAAGTAGACGATGTAAATTCTTTAGACATGTTACAAGAATGAGTAAACTGAAAAATGACAGTACGATAGGCAAGTTGGAAGAGAAAAGGCACCACTATGGGTGGCTCACCACTCAGGCAGATGCACTCTTGACTTTGAAGACTATGTCGATCTAATCTACTCAAAATAATGTTTTCCAGTAATGAATTCAAATAATGCAGGCACAAACAATACATTGCATAATTTACTGTCAGGCATATTTCACTGTAACTCGTCAAATTTTTTTACTAAAGAGTTACATCAACAGATGATGAAGCATAAAACCTTACTGAACACCATTGAAATACAAACAGTCTCTCTCCATACATGCTTTTTCTAATCACGGGAAATTCATGATAGAAACATGATGTACCAGAACAACTTTAAATATATAATGAATTCCTTCTATTAAAATAAGAGGAAAAAAAAGGGGGGGAGGGGAGATAGTTCATTTTTATTGTTAAAGCCTCAGATAGTCTCAGCATTCACGTGTTCACTGTGTGGTAAATAACACAGAAAACACTGTCACTGCCCCCGATCAGGAATCAGTTTCTAGGATGACTGCTGTACTGTCTTGACCAGTTTGCGCCCTGGCACAACCACCATGTGTGTTCAGCACCTTTGCATCTCATAAAAAGAATGAGAAAAAGATTAAGAAATTGCAGATGGTAACAATATGCTTAACCTGGGATACTTTCTTGCTGTACCACACATACAGATTCTGCACATGATCAGCTTTTGCACTTTGCTGGGTGTCCAGGAGATGATGATATTCTGCATCGAGGGCTTGCAGTTGATGGCTAACAGGAGCTGACGGGTCCACCCCTTTTAGTTTACAGATTGCAAACACCTCTTCCTCTTTAGAACTCTCCTTAGCTTGGAGGTTCAATGATGGTGCTTCAACTTTTTCCTGAGAAAATAGATTTAAATGACGATTTCATGAATTGTGCTGCTACAGTTCAGAGTATTTAAATAATGTGGACAATACAGTGCACAATTTATTGCTTGGCACATTTTGCTGCATCTCATCAGGTGTATTACTACAAAGTTATATCAACATATGAAGAAGCTAAAAAACTGAAATCTTTCCACCAAGATACACAAATCACATTGTCTTCTCTAGATGCACTCTTCATCTCGCCATCGGAAGTTAAAGATAGGCATGTGACTACCAGGGCAAATTCAAATTTACCACATGTTCTTTTTGTTTAAATAAAGCAGGATGGTTCATTTTTATTGCTGCTGCTTCAGCTAGTTTTAGGAACCCTGGTTTCAGTGTGTGGTAATAACCACTGATTTGACAGACTTTACCTTTAGTTAGGTTAGCATCAGAGACTTGTTATTATCCAACAGGTTAATCTTCTTCTTCTGCCCGTTATTCCCCAGTGGAGCATAGGCCCTTAACCAGCTCTAGGCATCTTGTCCTATTCTTTGATATTGTATCCAGCTCACCCCATATCCTTTCCATCTCTATAATTTTTACTCACTAGTTCCCTTGTCCATGAATTTTTTTTGTCTGCCTTTATTTATATGCCCCTGTGTGTTCCAAAGAAAGCCATTCTAGTTATATTGTTATCGGTTTTTCTCAGCGTGTGTCTTATCCAACACCGGTTTTCTTTCTTTACTTCCTAATTGCCTGGAATTTTTTAAGTTCTTTCCCAGAGCTACACATCAGTGATTCTATAATACAAGGGTTCTCAATCTGTGATTCGCAACACTTTTGTGGGTCGAATGACCCTTTCACAGAGGTCGCCAAAGACCATCAGAAAGTACATATTTATTGAAGTTATGAAGTAGCAACGAAAGAAAACTGTATGGCTAGGGGTCACCACTACATGAGAAACCGTATTAAAGGGTCGCTGCATTAGGAAGGTTGAGAACCACTGTTATAATAACATGCAACTCCCTACATTCTGCACCAGTGCCAGTTAATGAGTTTAACTGTTTTAGCTCTATCTCTTTCTGCTCCATACAGCAAAACTGATTTGAAATAAGAGTTCAGTATTATAATGTTAGTATTAGTTTTTATTTTTCTTTGACTTCCAAAAATTTCCTAGTGCCACAAAAGCTCCTCTTGCCTTTTGTATTTGTATTTTAATACCTCTCTCAGTGTCTCCTATCTATATCTACATTACTGTCTAATCAGTGTGTGATCAGATAGGGATATTATCAAGAAATATTGAATGACTATTTGTCTGGTTTATTCTAATGATCTTTGCCTTTTTCTTAAGGATTTTTAGATTTAGCGGTTTTGATCTCTCATTGAGTATGCTTAATTTATCTAACATATGGTTTCATGAGAACAGAAATATCATCAGTTCATCAAGCTGTATTTCAGGGATCCATTAAATTCCATTCCTGGTGTTAGCTATTGCCAGTTAAATAGTCAAGGTGACAAATGATATCCTTGCTGCACACTTGTTCTTATTTAAAAGGTATCGTTTAGTTTTCTCCTCACAAAAAACTCCATATTTCATGTCTTTATGTTGCCTTTACCAAGTTAATAATTTTCTGTTGGAATTCGGTAGTGGCCTGTCAGTTTCTAGAGAAATTCTTTGTCAATGTTCTCAAAGGTTTTTTTATAGTCTACCAATCCAAAATAACATGTGAACCACTGCTAAGAATGCGAGAACTGGGAGTAAAGATTGGCACAACCAGGCATGAGAGGCCCACCAGACATACAAGAAGTCTTGTCAACCAGTAAAGGATTGGCACTATTAACCATGGAATGCTAATGTATATTTTGAAGGACACCTATGGATCTGTCCAGAGTGTAGTGAAGATAACCCAACACATAACACATGATTACCTACCTCTTTTTTCAACCCATACATATCCTCAGCGTGATATTTCTCCTCAAGTGTCATAGCAAGACGAAAGTGAAGGTTTGGATCATTAGGTCTGAACTTGATGGCAGTAGCCAAACAGTAAACTGCATTTTGTAGGTAGTCTATCGGGGACTCCCCAACACTGTATTGTCTGTGGTACTGCCCTGTATGATTTTATATATATATATATATATATATATATATATATATATATATATATATATATATATATATATATATATATATATATATATATAAACGCAAAAGTAGGAAGTGAAAAAGTGTACGGAATAACGGGTGGCTATGGACTAGGAGAAAAGAATGTGAGAGGTGACAGATTAATAGCATGGGCTGAGTCGCGCAGCATGATAATAGGTAACACCTGGTTTAAACACCATCCTCGAAGATTGTGGACTTGGAAAAGTCCTGGTGATAATGTCCGCAATCAGATTGATTATATTTTGATTTCAAGAAGATCTCAGAGCAGCTTAGTTGGAGCTAAAACTAGACCAGGGGCAGACTGCTTTAGTGACCATGTTCCAGTTGTAGGAAAAATTAGAATAAAACTAAAGAACATTAGAAAAACACCACAGAACATCAAGTTAAATTTAGGAATTCTTAGAACGGATAAAGAAATTAAGGAACAGTACAACGTCACTGTACAAAACCGGTATAATGCAATGGAAATTATACAAACAATTGATGAACAGTGGGATATGTTGCGTGAGTCAATTCAGCAGACATCAAAAGAGACAATCCCACCAACCCATACAGTTGCAAAAAAGAAATGGATGTCAACCGAAATTCTGCAGTTGATGGATGAAAGAAGGAAGAAAAAGAATGATAAAGAAGAATACTCTAGAATACAAAAAGAAATAGTGAACAAATGCAAAGTGGCTAAAGAAGCCTGGCTGAATCAAATGTGTACAGAGATTGGGGAAAATCACGGGAAAGACTCACATTCCATGTACCAACAGATAAATATGTTAACAGGAAAGATGACACGTAACAGCACTGGATGTTTTATATCAAAGGATGGTGACTTATTAATGGGACATAGTAATATAATTAACAGATGGACAGAGTATATAGGGGAATTGTATGATGATAATAGACCAGACGTAGAACTGCAGAACAACAATGATGGTCCACCAATAATGACTGCAGAAGTTGAGGATGCAATACATCATATGAAGAAAGGAAAAGCACCCGGGCCAGACAACATCTCACTGGAAGAAATCGAAGCACTGGGAAATTTTGGAATTGAAATAATAACTAAACTTTTAAATGATATTTATAACAGTGGGTATATTCCAAATGACCTTTTAAAATCCATATTTATAGCTCTGCCGAAGAAACCAGGCACTTTAAAATGTGAAGACCATCGCACAATAAGTCTTATGAGTCACATGACTAAGATTTTACTGAGAATAATTATGAGAAGAATAAGAAACAAAATTAAACCAGAAAATCAGCGATGAACAATGTGGATTTGTAGAAGGAAAAGGTACAAACAATGCCATATACATCCTAAGGACATTGTCAGAAAGAGCTATAGAAGTAAAGACTGATTTGTACTTATGCTTCATAGACTATACAAAAGCATTTGACTGTGTGAAGCATGAAGAAGTAATCAAACTGTTAGAAAAATTAAACATTGATGGGAAAGATCTAAGAATAATAAAGAATATATATTGGCAGCAAACAGCAGCTATAAGAATTAACAACTGTTTAGGTACATTTCAAAGCATAAAGAGGGGCGTACGACAAGGATGTGTACTTTCACCTGATTTGTTTTCAATATACAGTGAATATATTATGAGATCTTTAATTGATATGCCCGGAATCGTGGTTGGTGGGCACAATATAAACAATTTACGTTATGCTGATGACACAGTCTTGATAGCAACAAGTCAGAAAGAATTACAGGAAATGATAGACATTGTGGTGTTAGAAAGTGGAAGAATGGGCCTCAGTTTGAATAATGGGAAGACAGAAGTAATGGTGGTATCAAAGAAACAAATTATTCCTAAATGTGTAATAAAAGTCAATGGTGTTATTTTAAGACAAGTACAGAAATTTAAGTATCTGGGCACATGGATAACATCAGATGGAAGATGCATAACTGAAATAAGAAACAGAATAGGACAGGCAAAAAAACTGCATTTTATAAAATGAAAAACATCTTGTGCAATATATCCTTGTCATTGAGAGTTAGAAAAAGAATTCTTGCTTGCTACATACATCCAGTTTTAACATATGGATGTGAATCCTGGACAATCGGTAGGCAGGCCAAACAATTTTTAGAGGCCTCAGAGATGTGGTTTTACAGAAGAATGCTTAGAATACCTTGGACAGCCAAAAAGAGCAACCAAGAGGTTTTAAAAGAGGCGGGAGACCGAAGACAACTTATCACTGACATCAGAAGGAGACAGTCATCATTTTTCGGCCATGTTATGAGAAGAGGGAAAATAGAACATGTTGTGACCACTGGAAAGATTTTTGGAAGGAGGGATAGAGGAAGACAACGAGAGAAGATGCTTGACAGTCTTGTTGCATGGCATGGAGGTGTGTCGGCACACGAACTGATACATGCTGCAGGAGATCGCGGATTGTGGAGAGGCATGATCGCCCACGCCAGTCGGCAAGGCACCTGATGATGATGATGATATATATATATATATATATATATATATATATTGTGAAACTGGAAAGTCATTCTCTTCACTACTTAACCAACAATGTACACCTGAAGAGCTTTCTTTCAATCTCTGGGACTCCGAATTATTGACACTCAATGTGTCAACATCCATCCCGAACCTGGGAAACAAAGATGCTGAGCCCGCTTTAGTGAAGAAAGCACTCACAATGGAACACCTCAACAACATGTTTCCACAGGACAGCTGGACAAGAATCTACACAGATGGATCAGCAAAAGAGGCAACTACGAATGGTGGGGCAGGTGTTTACATAAAACACCCAGATGCCACTACTGTGTCCCTAGCAGCCCCCACCGGACGAACTTGCTCTAACTACAAGGCAGAACTCTCAGCTCTATTGATGGCAGCACAGTATATGAACAATCTGCAAATCACCGCAGGCAGGATAGTTTTTCTCACTGACTCACTGTCAGCTGTACAGGCCCTTGAGTCCAAACCTACCGACAGCACACTACGAAGTCTAACACAGGAACTTGCTATGTTGTCAAATAAGGCAGAAATTCACTTGCAGTGGATTCCGTCTCACTGCGGCATCAAAGGCAATGAAAGCGCAGATGCTTTAGCCAAGGAAGGCAGTAACAAACTACAGACCTACCAGCCACTATCTTTTCCAGAAGTCAAAACTCTCATTAAGAGAAAATCAGAAACAGATTGGAAAAACAACACTGGTTATAACTACGGAAAAGATTTTCTGAGGCACTTGAACAGAACAGACCAAGTCACAGTTTTTCGCTTACGCACTGGACACTGCAGACTCAATAAACACTCATATAAATTAGGTATGAGCCAAACAGCTCTCTGCCAGTGTCTTCGTGCTGAACAGACTCCAGAACATGTCCTGCAAGACTGTCCTCTCCTGACGGAGCTGCGGAGCGACATATGGCAACACCCAGTAGAACTGACAACTAAGCTTTGGGGAAACCTAAGAGACCTTGAAAAGACATCCCAGTTTATGACCCACAGTGGATTATGCGCATGACCAGAGATCGCTGAAGAAGAAGATATTGTGAAACAAGTCTTGCACGTCCACATTTCATTATATTTCTTTCTGACACCACACAATTTAATGGCTACTGAAGATAGGGACAGAGCACTTATGGGAATGTCCCAAGTGCTGTTATATCAGATCTTAACTCAGCTGAACAAACTGTAAATGTTATAGTGCATACACTGAATGTTGAATGTTGAATTAAGTATCGACATCATAGCACTCGGGACACTCTCATAAGTGCTCCGTCTCCGTCTTCAGCAGCAAACCAACAGTTCCAATTCCGATGGCACCAGTAAATGTCTCATTATACATCCATCTCGCCTTTCCCTTGAGTGTTGAGCATCAGCCAGATCATCTGATAACTCCTCACAGTGCCATTCTCCTCAGACCGTAATGACCTATCTGTGCCTCCAAAATGTTCACTAGTTCCAAAAGGGCCCTCAAAACATCAAGCTTGTATTAAGACTTAGATATAGTACTTTTTTTTCTATATTTCTTAAATTTTTAATTTTGCATTCCTCTTTTTATTATTATTATTAATATTATTGTTATTATTATTAACTATGAAATGAGGTACAAATGAAAAATTGTATGAAAGGAGCAGAGTTGAAGGGCAGAATGTTAGACGGGCCTGCGTGCCCTTAACTTAACCCTTTGAAAATAAAGTTTGTTCGTTCGTTCGTTCGTTCAGTTCACTACCAAGTGGTGCAGAACCGGCCAGTCTGCTCATTTCCCAACACACCGGCATGACTTGGAGAAAATATCAAAAGGATGCTAACAACCCGGGACTTCTGAAGAGAAGTGCAAGCACTGTAAAAAAGCAAAATGAATCAGGTGTCACATATCCTTAACCTTCTTTTATATTAAGGTACACTACTGCAGTAGTTTTTTTTCTTTTTAAGCGTGTCTTGACTGTGACTTCTAAGAATGTTGAATGCAGTACTTAGAATTTGCCATGTGGAATCGCGAACCAGGATGAGATTCTTCTGAGTTGCATAGATTGTTAACAATTGACTAAGCCGTTCTCCCAACATTTAAAGACTTCTGATAACATTAAATCTTTGGACAGTAGTCACTGTGCCTATATAACAGCTTTGGTATTGGCTGTACCTGCACAGTGTGTAGACATGGTGGGTATGACTAAATATACCCCCTTCTCCCCACTCCCAAATGTATGAGATATTTATTATTAGGGGTACAAAAAAGGCATATTTAAAAACTGTAATGTCATTGTTGTGTCAAAATAATCTCAAATGACTTCACTTGCTTCCCTTGGCTAAGTGAAAAACAAACAAATTACTCATGTTTATCATGGTAAAAAGGAAGGAAGGTGGGTAATTCTTTACTTCATTTGTATTTAGTGATATTACCAAATTGTTTTACACATAACAATCATTTAAAGCAGTTAATAGGAATTATTTTAGTGATCGGATGGCCACAATGTGGCTGCAGACTTCACACAGATCTGTCTGCTATGTGATGTAGGGGTTCGATCGTCTGGATGTTTATAAAAAAAGAAAAAATCTGCACAAGACTCCAAATTTCTTCAGCTTCTTCTTCTTTCCTTCCTCCCCTAGTTTCAAATGGTAGGGTTTCCAATAACTGTAAAAACTACATTTCTTTCTTTTGAAATTTTCAAACCGTTCACATTTTAAGATTTTTTAGGGTGAGAGTGACAAACTTTTAGGCAGCAGACTCAGGAGATAAAAGACACAGACAGAAGCACAACTAGAAAATTCTTCATCATCATCATGAACAGTTTGAAGAAAAAAGAAAATCGCCAGGTTCAACCAGCTCCCTCCGAAAAAAGGAGCTTAGGGTCATAATTGTGACTTTTATTCTTGTGCCAACTTTTGCTGGCTAAAATTGGGATCATATGCCATATTAAATAGCTTAGTGTCCTTATCTATCTCTTGGTGTCCTTTCCCACTTGTCCAGGGCTGGGGCCTTAGTCCTGTTATGGGTTTTATGGTTCTTCTGTCTGAGCACACATCCTGTCGTTTGGCCATTACCGAAGTATTTGCATGTTTCTTTATTATTCCTTTTTTTATTTTGTGTCCTTATCATGTGTTATTATCTGTAGCCCAGATCTGTTTGTTTCTTCCTGCTCTACGTTTATCCTCATTCAGTCTCTGATTTCTAAGTCTGGCTTCTTCTATAAATTAGAAAATCATTCCTCTCTAATCCACTTTTATATTGCTACATTTGCATTCAATGTAGTTTTCAAATTAGGATGATTTTCTTATTACTACCTGGTGAAATAGAAGCTGTGAAAGCACGTAGCTGGGTCTTTCATTAAAGTCTTGGGTTTGTAGATGCCCTGCGTCTGTATAATCATCTTGTCTGCAAGATCAATTCAGTCTGAAATTGGTACCATAAAATGTCTTGGGAAGTAAAGGCAGCTGGCAGGATGTTGATCACTCACTGAATGCCGGCCAGTATGTAAAAATATAGATCTAGCACCATAGTCTAAATGTACCAATGACATGACAAGGGTCTTTTACTTTTCACTTCTAAAAAATTCAGTTATCTTTCACTAAAATAATAATACAAGCATTCGAGAGAATTAAATTAGGTTGGAAAGATCTTAGGGAAATATTATAAACAACCTTACCAGGTTTAGGGATCTGGGAATAATATTCTTTCAGGAAGTTGTCAGATGAGAGCAGTAAGTTTGCAGGGTTGTTCTCATCGAAGATCTGCTCAAGTGCTTTCTGCCATTTATGCTCCTGTAAATCACACGCACACACAAACAAGTCAAAATAAACACTGGGTATTATATATACTTTACTGTTGCTTCGCCTTCTTCTGCCCCCCCCCCCCCCCCCCCCCATCCTTTCCGTGGAGCAGAGGCATTCAACCAACTCATGCAAAATCATTCTATCCTTTGCTATTGTATGCAGCTCACCCTATGTTGTCCTTTTTTTTTTATATAACTTTACTCTCTAGCTCCCTTCTCCATGTTTTTTTTTTTTCAAGTGTGCCTTTTTTTGTATGTCCTTGCGGGTTCCAGTGCAAAGACATTTCAGTTATATTGTTCTCAGGTTTCTCAAATGCCCTGTCCAGTGCCAGCATCTCTTCTTCACTTCTACTGGAACTTGTTTAGCTCTCTCCCAAAGCAACATTAGTGATTCTATTAAACCATTTAATTCCCTATATTCTGCACAGGCCCAAGTTAATGAATGTTTGCAGTTTATTAGTAACTATTTCAGTTGTTCTCCATGTTTCCCCTCCATCCAGGAGTACTGATTCGACATTAGAATTAAAAGTTTAAAGCAGTTTTAATTTCTTTTAACCTCCAGAAATTTCCCAGTGCTATGAAAACTTATCTTGTCATTTGTATTTCGATTTTAATATCCCTATCAGTTCCACCATCTTTATCTACATTACTGCCCCAATAAGTGTATGACTTGGAGAGAGATACCATTAACAGAAACCAGATTACTATTTGCCTGGTTTATTTTCATTAGCTTTATCTTTCCCTCATGGATTTTTAGACCTAATTTTTGTGATCTTGCCTCAGGTATATTGCATTTTTCTTGCATCTTATTCCGTAAATGAGATAGGAGAGAAATAACATCAGCGAAGTTCAGGTCATCAAGCTGCTTTGTAGGGGTCCACTGAATTCCATTTCTGGTGTTAGGTTTTGCTATCTTCATAATCCAGTCTAAGTAGAAATAGGAGAGACAACAAAAGACATCCCTGTTGCGCACCTGTTCTTATTTCAAATGCATCTGTTGCATTCCCTCATGAAGATCTTAGCATTTCATGTCTTTATATGTTGCTTTTACTAAGTTAAAAATTTTATAGGATTTCTCATAGTAGTCCATCAGTTTCCAGAGAGATTCCTTATCAGTGCTGTCAAAAGCCTTTCCGTGTTCTATGAATCCAATGTAAAGTGGTGAGTTTAATGCAGTGCTCTGCTCTGTTATTATGCATAGTGTGGCTATCTTGTCAGGATCTGTTTGGCTGAAAACCTGCCTGTGTATTTCAAAGCTTTTTTTTTTTTTTCAATAGCATTGTTTAGTCTTTCAAAAAAAATCCTACTTAATATTTTTCAGGACCTGTTGTTGTTTACTGACTACTTAAATATTAATTACTGCATTTAATTTGATATGTCCAGTGCTCTGCTTGTTTCAGTGTCATCATCAAGTCAGTTTTATTCCTCTTCTTCTCAGTTCACTGGATAATTTTTGTTATTGTAATAATTGCACTGGGCCTGTTTAAAGTACAGCTGTGATATTTGGACCTAGCAGCCAACTCATCTAACTTCTTTGAGCATTTCTTGATTGGGTTAGCCTTCCTATTCATTGTACTCTGTAGCGATAACAAATGAGGTCATAAGAGAAAAACATTGGCACAGACCAAGTCTAAATTACATATAAAGACAAGAAATCAAATGGTTAGTCCACTTAAAGAGAAATACTTACCATACAAAGCATACACCAAAACAAGGAAAATGATGCACAGCAGAAGGCAGACCAAGAACAAGATGGAAAGATAACATCACAGAAAGTCTACAACAGCATGATGTGTCTGTCTATGGTCAAGGTGGCCAGAAGAGCAAGCACAAAGCAGAACCTTATACCTCTTTCAACCCTCAACATCTGAAGCAGCAAAAGAGGAAGTTAGTTAGTTAGTTAGTCGAAAGATTATCATCATTGCACATCGAACCATCCAGTCCAAAAGTGATCAGATCCCTTCTTCAGTATCTCCGTCAGTGTGTAGCGGCTTATGACACCAGCTTTGTGATGGTTTACTATTCTTTTTTGACTCCTGTGCAGCACTCTTGTCTGGCCTCACCCATTTTTATGTGATATTTGTGTAGTCTCATCAGTATTGCAGATTCACAATCATCACTTGATTGTTTAATCGAGCTACCTCTCTGAGGGCATTCAGTATATTAGCCCTGTCCATTGCTCACTGCTCGCCCATTTTCCACATGAGCACCACTTGTAAGTCTGGCAGTTCGTTCATTGCCCTTTACACGTTCATTGCCCTAGATCTATTCAGGGAATCCACCCATTGCAACCATTCTTGATAGTAAAAGAGGAAGTGAAGAAGAATAAGTTAGCTTTCCTAGAATCATGTTTTGAAAAAAGAACACGAATGGCCACACTACTTAATTACAATCTCTACTATATGTTGGAGCCTAACACTCTGCAGACTAATGGTATCTGCAATATGGTAACTTTACCACTCGTACGACAACTAAAGCTTTCAAACTTACGTGCTACAAATATATTCTTAAAAATAACTTGGATCAAGAAAAAGAAAAATACTGATATTCTCCAAAAATGTCAATAAAACAATATGTCAATTCAAGTGAGTAGTAGAACAACTATTCAACTTCATAATACCAAAATAACAAAATGAAGATTGTATCTAGAAAAGCTTCATTGGCATACAACAAAAATGTTAAACAATACAAGCTCCTGACATATCCTGATGATAAAAAGATATAAATAAAACATAGAGATTACAATAAATATGTGACATGTTGGCACCTTTCCATCTTGCCAGGCAATAGTGTTATGTTACAGGCAAGCATGGAAATCCCAGCCTATGATGATGTCCATGTCACTAGCAATACTAGCTTAAGTAACAAACAAAAATCTTCTACAATAAGTTGATGAGATTTCAGGACCATTGTTCTCATCACATATATCTGCCATTTTTCTTCTCAAATGCTCAGTTCCTAACCTGTCCGCAGTCTTTTTTCTCTTTTATTCCTATTCCCACCTAATTGTTCCCCTCCATGACATGTGATTCATGGCAAACAGTTCCCATGAACCCACCTGTATCATTCATGTCCCTCTTGCTTATTCTTCTTCTTTTGTCCTACTGCTTATGCTGTAAAGTGTTAACAGAGAGGAGCTAGGTGTAGTTTCCTGTCTGTTGCTAGTTGGGGAGCTTGTGTTAAAGTCATATTGTGTTTCTGCAGTGTTTCTTTTACTCCCTCGACCCACATTTTCTTGGTCAGCCTCCTACCTTGTAGCCTGCTGTTCTCATGTCATTTCTCTAGCTGCTGACTGATTTTGCTCCACTCTGACATATGTCCCTCTTGCACATATTTTTTAAATCGAAGTAGAAGCTGACCTCAATGTTTTATGTAATTTGTAAATAAGAGAGGCTGTGGACAAATTCTGAATGCCTTTAAAAAAATGACTGCACTGTTTTCTCAGTAAATTCCACCACATAAATATTTTCTCAAAAATGGTTTTAGCATCTTGATACAAGGCAGCAAGCAATATGAGCTACCACCACAGGAACTACATCTAAGAGAAAAATATATGACAGGGTCATTCAAAATGATGGATATACTTTCATTCAGGTACATATCCTTGAACGTACACTGAATATGAATAAAAAACATACAAGAGAGAGGTGAAGGTCTAAAGTTTACAAATGTACAAAACAGGTTTCAGATGTTCAATATGGCTACTGTCTGATGCGCGACAAACATCTAAGCAGTTGCCAAAATCACCCCACACACAGAGAAGCATCTCTTGTGTAAATAAGTATATTCCAGCTGTGATACAGAGTGGTTGGTTATGCACACTCTAGCGATGGTATTCGAAACTTGAGACCTTCCTCTCTCTTTCTTGTGTGTATATCATTGATTAGTAATACATATTAAAAAAAAAAAAATTTACATCAATGAAAATGTATCCATTATGTAAAATGTGACCAATTTCCTTTCAAGTCAGAGTGCATCTGCCTGAGTAGGAGGAACCAATAGTCTGCATTTAAACAATCAGGATCAGTAAAACATATATCCATGCAGAGGTCAAGTTCTAAAACAAGATCAAAGTCCAGAAGTGGAGGAACATCCAAAACATTTTTGCCAGAGTTTACAGCTGGTGAATGCTAAGAAGAAGAAAAATAAGAAAAAGAAAAAAAATTTAAAAACTGAAAGATTAGTTTGGTCACACTGGGATTTAAACCTGTCTTCTTCAAATGACGATAGTGTATCAGCCAAGGAGCAGACACAAGAGGCAAATTCAAAGGAAAAGTGTTCGGAAAATTAAACCCATTAACATTTTAAAGTGAACAGAAAATTAGCAAACAAGTACTTAAATGGGAACCAACTGAACCGAGGAAGAAAGGACATTTAAAAAAAGAAAAGGCCTTAACTCTTTAAATCCCAGGGGGTTTAGAATCAAAGGCCCAGTGGGTAATAAAATCGGCACATCATGCGTTCATTGGGCTTCTAGGTAGGAACCTATGAACGTATGATGCGTTCCTTGGGACTCAAAGAGTTAACATACACGCTGATGAGAGATGTCTAAGGTGCTGGACCGGATTTCTTCAATGATGTTAAAACAATTGCAGAATAGAACAGTATGGAGGAATAGACTACAAGCCCTAAATGATGCATAACAACAAAGCAGGATGATGCTGATGATGACATTTGAAACTTGGAGTCAGGCTAGCATTGGTCAGCCATATGTTCCTGTTTCCCATGGCAGAGATTTTAATCAGATTGATCTGGATTTCTATTAGACTCTGCCTAAAAACTGGTACCAAGAAATGTTATGTGATATTAAAGAAGCCGGCATAATAATGAACACATCCCTCAAAAAGTATGGGATTAGCACCATATATCAGATACATCTCAGGTTTTGAGGTTTAGAGGTTTAAACAACAGATCAACATCATCACACAAGGGTAGTAACCCATAAGTGCTCTGTTCTACTTCTAACTCAAACCTGAGTCTGAAGAATCTCAGCACAATGGATGAACTCTATAGCACTGATGAAGATCCTGAAATGCTCTGGGTAGATTTTTAACTATAAATTTACCCCGGGCAGCACCGTAAAACTACTCTTTTCGATTTCCAACTGCCAAGGGATTTTTTTACGTGTGCACCGTTACACATGAGCATCTGATCTTACTACCCAGAGACCAGGGCAAATTACTAGAAGTCCATGTGAAAAAAATCCCAGTCTTCACTGGGGCCTGTACCCGGGACCTCTAGCACTCGGGACGGATGTCATGCCTCAAGACCACTCATCAGGTTGACCCAGCCTTGAGTGGGTACCAGGTACATTCCTGGGAAGTAAACATGGCTGGCATGATGCTGACCACACTAAGTGCCGTTTGGTCTATAAAATATAGGTCGGTTCTATCCCTGTAATTCACCCCAAACAAGGAAAATCTGCAGGTCAGGGGACAGTCTAATATTTCAGGGGGTGTTGTACAGTGTAGTAATTTGACATTTCATTTGTTGTGCAGTTTTATGCTGTGCACTTTTCAGTTTAGTGTGCTTCTTGTGGTGTTTTTTGGTGTGAATTTTCTATGTGTTGGTGCAATCGGGAGGATGCAGTTTTTGTGGGTGTTTGTTTGTTTTTTTGCTTGGGAGGAGGACCTTGGCTGCTGCACTCTGTAGATGTTTTGGGGTTGTTTTTTTTTTTTTTTGCTGACGCTGCAACACTAGTTGCTGCAGAAAAGGCAAGAAATGCAGAAATTCACACATTTTGTTTTCTTGCTAGATCCACACTGAATTTCTAAATTCACACATGTTATTTCTTGCTGGATCCACACTGAATTTCTAAATTCACACATATACTCATGTTATTTCTTGCTAGATCCACACTGAATTTCTAAATTCACACATGTTATTTCTTGCTGGATCCACACTGAATGTCTAAATTCACACATCCTTACTCATGTTATTTCTTGCTAGATCCACACTGAATTTCTAAATTCACACATGTTATTTCTTGCTGGATCCACACTGAATTTCTAAATTCACACATATACTCATGTTATTTCTTGCTAGATCCACACTGAATTTCTAAATTCACACATGTTATTTCTTGCTGGATCCACACTGAATGTCTAAATTCACACATGTTATTTCTTGCTGGATCCACACTGAATGTCTAAATTCACACAACCTTACTCATGTTATTTCTTGCTAGATCCACATTTAATAACAACAGTTTTCTAGACATACACAGTAATGATCAACACTGTTAAAAAAAAATCCAGTGAAGAAAATTAAACATACCTGAATAAGTCAGCGGAATAACAACCATTTCTGCTGCCATCTTCTTTTCCAAATCAAGGTCGCAAACATCCCACCCTGGTTGCAAGGGTTGTCCTGTCAGCGGGTCAACCTTAGATGTTCTGGTCAACTCAATTATTGAAGGACCACTGTATGTGCACTTTGGATTACTATTTTTGATCGTAATGGGGCAGTACAAAGGGCTTAATGAAATGGGACATTCATACTCGATGGCCGATTTTGGGTTTGTGAATTTGACATATCTAGGAATTTGTTTCCTCACTAGGTCCAGTTTGTAAGCCTGTGAATCAAATTACAGTTAGAAAGTAAGTTCAGAATTCAGAAATATTTAGGAATAAGTTTCAACAATTATTTTGTGCTAAAACTTATTTACTTTTTAAATATTCTAACATCATCATTAATCTCATCATCACCATCATGCGCCATGATGATAAACATAGGTGGAGGAGTCTACTAAAAACCACAAAGTAAAGTTTTACACTTCTTCTACATTCACCCTTAAAAGGGTGGCTGGTAGGTTTTTGAGTGGTTTGCAACAAGGCTGTGGTATCAGTTTAACACTTCTATTTTCTGTTCTTAGTTGCCTTTTATGACATGCTTGTTAGTCCCCCCCCCCCACCCCTCAGTGGGGCCCTGGAACTCATGTGGAGAAAATATTATTCAAGCCAGCTGAAGAGATTTGTCTGCATGTCTAGGACTACATTTGTAAGTCAAGTAAAGGACCCTTTTGCATGCCTTCAGGCCTATTGGGTGTATAAGGCTAGAACTATATTTTATAAACCAATCGGCACTGGGTGGGTGATGTGGTCAGGACTATGTGGTATATAGAATTCTATAATCTTTAAAAAAAACCATTGTAAAAAACAGTAAAAGACCCCTTTTGTAACTGGTATGAAACATATAGAGTACATGATGCTAGCCCCCACATTTTAGGATCAGTTGGCACTCGATAGATAGTGTGATCAATATCACACGGGAATTATTTTTTTTTCAACTTTACAGGAAATTCCCTACTACTATTTGAGACAGGATCAACCTAAAAGACTAAAATAGGAAAGACTTAGTTAATAATAGGTAAGTAAAGTTTCTGGAAGATAATCAACACTGAAGGGGAAACACAGGCAGATTTTTAATAAGGTTGTAACTGATATTATTAACATGATGACTCTCTATTGGCTACTGAGGAAGAAGATGGAGCACCCGTAGGAATGTCTCAAGTGCAGTGATGTTAGTTCTTGATCATTCATTTACTCACTAATAAAATATGAGTAAAGTGAGGACCCTTTTTTATGCCTGAGACGCAGAGGGCATATGATGCTAGACTCATGTTTTTGAATGGACCAGTCAGCACTTGATGGGTTAGTTGGTTAGTTTAGTTAGTTAGTTAATAAGTTAGTTTAGTCAGTTAGTTAGTTAGTTAGCTAGTTAGTTAGTTAGTTAGCTAGTTATTTAGTTAGTTAGTTAGTTAGCTAGCTAGCTAGTTAGTTAGTTAGTTAGTTAGTTAGTTAGTTAGTTAGTTAGTTAGCTAGTTATTTAGTTAGTTAGCTAGTTAGCTAGCTAGCTGGTTAGTTAGTTAGTTTAGTTAGTTAGTTAATTAGTTAGTTTAGTCAGTTAGTTAGCTAGCTGGTTAGTTAGTGAGATAGCAAGCTAGCTAGCTGGTTAGTTAGTTAGTTTAGTTAGTTAGTTAATTAGTTAGTTTAGTCAGTTAGTTAGTTAGTTAGCTAGTTAGTTAGTTAGTTAGCTAGTTATTTAGTTAGTTAGTTAGTTAGCTAGCTAGCTAGCTAGCTAGTTAGTTAGTTAGTTAGTTAGTTAGCTAGTTATTTAGTTAGTTAGCTAGTTAGCTAGCTAGCTGGTTAGTTAGTTAGTTTAGTTAGTTAATTAGTTAGTTTAGTTAGTTAGTTAGTTAATAAGTTAGTTAGCTAGCTGGTTAGTTAGTGAGTTAGCAAGCTAGCTAGCTGGTTAGTTAGTTAGTTTAGTTAGTTAGTTCATTAGTTAGTTTAGTTAGTTAGTTAGTTAGTTAGTTAGTTAGTCAGTTAGTTAGTTAGTTAGCTAGTTATTTAGTTAGTTAGCTAGTTAGTTAGCTAGTTAGTTAGTTAGTTAGTTAGTTAGTTAGTTAGTTAGTTAGTTAGTTAGTTAGTTAGATAGTTAGTTAGTTAGCTAGTTAGTTAGTTAGTTAGTTAGTTAGCTAGTTAGTTAGTTAGTTAGCTAGTTAGTTAGTTAGCAAGCTAGCTAGCTGGTTAGTTAGTTAGTTTAGTTTAGTTAGTTAATTAGTTAGTTTAGTTAGTTAGTTAGTTAGTTAGTTAGTTAGTTAGTTAGTTAGTTAGTTAGTTAGTTAGTTAGTTAGTTAGTTAGCTAGTAAACTAGCTAGCTAGTTAGTTAGTTTAGTTAGTTAATTAGTTTAGTTTAGTTAGTTAGCTAGTTAGCTAGTTAGTTAGTAAGTTAGCTAGCTAGTTAGTTAGTTAGCTAGTCGACAGATTATCCTCACTGCACATCACGCCATTCACTCCATAAGTGACAGATCCCCTTCTTAGTAAATCCCGCAGACAGAGTATAGCAGCTGATGACACCCGTTCTGTGTTGGTTTCTTATTTGTCTTTGGCTTCCTGCACAATGCTCTTGTCTGACCATACCCCTTATAAAATGTTGTTCTTGTAGTCTTGACACAGTTGCTGATTCACAGTCATCGCTTGGTTGTTACAAACGTTTCACTTCTGGCAGGGCTTTCAGAACATAGGCCCGGTCCATTGCTCGTCCACTCTAAACAAGCAGCTTCGCCTGCAAACCTATCAGCTTGCTTATTTCTTTGCACACCTGCATACATTTGCATGAATATGGGTAAAGCGGTCAACATCACACTGACCACCTTTACTTCCAATGCCTTTTCCTTGTACCCATTTTGAGGCTGGGTCGACGTGGGAGCCAAGATTATTTCAAGTCCAACAGGGAGTGGATATTATTAAACTGCCATATTGACTAAACGACAAGTAAGTGCATGTTTTTGGGTTAATCATCATTTTCATTTATGAGTGCTCTTCTTTCAATAGATCAATTCAGGACACTCACAATATACAAACTCCTTAGCTGATCATATAACCCGGACCTGATTAAGACATGACGTTCGCCTAAGCTACATAAAGACATGAGGTCCCTATTGTTTTAAATTACACCAGCTCATCTCAAAAGGTCATTTTTGAAAAAAAAAATAAAAAAGTTTGGCTCCACCAGGGAGCAAACCCACGACCTTCCGATCCACAGGCGAGTGGATAGAAATATCATCATCATCATGTAGCAGGTCCTTTGCAGAACGTCGCTCTCATCACAGTCTGCCTGTAAGAAACTCAGTCTCTCGCCAGTTCTCCTGCCTCATATACTTTCATACTCAAGGAGTCACTTATATCCTGTGCTCATCTTCGTGTCAGTCGGCCCCTGCCCCTCCTTCCTGGTACCATGCCTTCTGCTATAGTTTTTTCCAATCCGTTGTGGCGCTTGATATGACCAAAATATTTCAGCGTCCGAGAAAGGATGCTGTTTATTAGCCAATCTTCCTTGATGTTCAGATCTTTTAAGATGTCAATATTTCTCCTCTTTTTTGTCCAAGATATTCTGAGAATCTTTCTATGACATTTCAGCTGAAAAGCCCCTATTCTCTTTCTTAAGGACTGAGAGATAGTCCACGACTCACATCTGTATGTAGCCACAGGGAAGATGCATGCTCTCAAAATTCTAATTTTTATCTCCTTGCTGGTGCTTAACCATAGACCTTTAATGCTGTTCAATCTTTGCATTGCTAAGGCCATCCTCCTTTTAATTTCTGTTGAACAATCTCCATTGCTGTTTATTATAGATCCTAGATATTCAAAGTTTGTGACATTTTCAATTTCTTCATTATTTATTGTTATTTTTGGGTGACAGCCAGTTTTATCTGTGGACATTATTTTTGTTTTATTTAAATTCAAGAACAGATTTTGATCTTCACTGTGCTTTTGGACAGACAATATTAAATTTTCGATTCCCTTTATGCTGTTCGAAAGGAGGACTGTGTCATCTGCGTAGCAGAGTTCCGGAATAGGGTTGCCACCAATTTTGAGCGGATCATAACTGTCACAAGTCTGGTCATTTTTGACATTTCTCATTATATTTTCTGAGTATATATTGAATAGGTATGGTGAGAGAATGCACCCCTGCCTCAAACCCTTTTGCACCTCGAACCAATCAGATGTTTCATCAGCTGCTCTGATGGCTGCTTATTGTTCATGATAAAGATTTTCAATTAAATGCACTAAATGCGCTGGAAACCCCATACTTTTAATAATAGTCCACAGATTGTGGTGCTGGACACAATCAAATGCCTTGCTATAATCAATAAAACAAGCATGAAGATCTACATTGTATTCTCTGCATTTTTCAAAAATTATTCTTATATTAAAGATGTGATCCCTAGTTCCTTTACCCTGTCTGAAACCCGCTTGTGCTTCTTTTAGCTCATATTGTAGTTTCCTTTCAACCCTTTTCATGATAATTCGTAAAAGAATTTTGCTAGCATGACTTATTAATGCGATGGTACGGTAGTTAGAGCATAGTTTCAGATTTCCTTTCTTTGGGAGAGGAATATAGACTGTTCTTTTCCACGCTTTAGGCCAAATGCCACTGTTTCAAATCTTCGAGCACAGTGTATGGTAGATTCGGACGCTGGCCTCTCCTCCTGCTTGAAGTAGTTCTGCTGGTATTTCGTCGCAACCTGGTGACTTTCCTTTCTTCAGGCTGTGTATTGCCGATCGTACCTCATGCAGTAATGGCTCTGGTTCTTTTTTATAACTTTCACAAGTCATTTTTGAATTACTTGTCACATCCTTATACATTTCTCTACAGTATTCTTTCCATCTTTTTAATATGTCTTTGGTTTCCGTTAATGTGTTACCGTTTTTATCCCTTATTACATGAAAAGAAGGCGGATAGAAATATACTGTCCCTAAATTTTTAGTACAAGGAATAATAAAGAATGTGTCTGCAAAATAACATACATTTTATTACCTAATCCTCTTAACGGCTACATTAAAAGAACACTGCATTTGTAAACAAACAAACAAAAAACAAAAACAAAAATAGTTGAGGCCCTACACTGCAGCTTAATTAGCTTATGTCTAAATCCACTATTTCATGCGACTTTTCATTTATCATTTGGTCATTAGGAATATGGAAACAAGACTATACACTTAGTACACCTTCTGTCGCAATAATGTAAATAATCTAACCAGTGCTTTATTAATATCCTACCCCAAACAGGGGAAATCCACAGGTCAGGGGACACTCTATTATTTCATGGGGTGGTAGATAGGCTGCATGCAATTGTGGGACCTAGGCTGCATGCAGTCGTGGGACCTAGGCTTCACTCTCTCGTGGGACGTAGGTGGGCTGAGGTTAGGGCCAGTTCTAGATGATTTGGGGTCATTAAAAGCATCAGAAAGCCAGGAAACCCAATCTTACCACCCTCTAAAATGTTGGACTGTCCTGTGACGTCATCTGGGGTAAGTAAAAAAAAGTAAAGATCCCTTTCCACGCCTTTAGGCGTATCGGGCATATGGGAAGAGCGCCCACATTTTTACAGACCATCAGCATTTGGTGGATAATGTGGTCAGCATTACGCCGGCTGTCTTTACTTTACCAGGACAGCCCATTCTGGTACCCATTTTAGGCTGGGTCGACCTGCGACGCCCCGTACCATGATAAAAATCCACGCAGCCAGCAGTGGGTTTCGATCACGGTACGCTGGTTTACGAGTCGAACTCGCAACGCCTAATTGGGGTCGGGCATTAATAAAGAACCAACTAACCACAGGACCCTTTTCACATCAGTAGTACAATCAGACATTTGATGATAGACATATTTTTATAGAGGAACCAGCACTCGATGGGTCATGCTGTCATCATCATGCTGGCCGCCTTTACTTCCCAGAACTTTATGTGGTACTACTTTAGGCTGGGTCGATCTGGGTGCCAAGGTCATTGCTACGGCCATCCTCCTTTTGATTTCTAGTGAACAATCTCCATTGCTGTTTATTATCTTCTTCTTCTTCGCATTCACTGGATGTAAACTCAGGCAGGAAGTTCTGGTTGTTCGTCCATCTCTGGACTTTAGTCTTGCTCTGAACCTGAGTTGTGTGCAAATCTGTTTTACAGAACTGACTTATATGTATGCAGATTGCTAGTTCCATGCCTCTCAGGCAGATGCACTCTGACTTCGAAGGAAGCCCCTAGTTAGTTTACCTTTACAACATGCTTTTGGATAGGCAGTGGGCCGCGGAACCCACACTGGAAGCTGTTTATTATAAAGCCTAGATATTCAAAGTTGGTGACATTTTTCAAGTCTACTTTGTAAAATATAATTTAGCTACACAACCTTTTTATTAGACTGATCTGCAGAAGTGACCTCAATATTTGCAACAGTCAATCCCAGATTTAGAGAAATTGGTAAATTCGGTGGGTTTCCATTTATAGAAACATCATTTTTGGGGTCTGGAGCAACAGCAGTAACAACAGCAGTTACAGTGTTGCTGGGCAGCAGACCTGAAAGTAAAATAAGGAGCAGACAATAATGAACAGGAAGTAGTCTTAGCCACCACAAGATGACAATTATTTGATGTACTGATTTGTCTTCCTCTGTATTTGCCCACCCAATGGCGTATAACAGTTGTAGTTTACAGTTAGGCTGTGATATCTGTGCTGTTCTGCCCAACATATTCGATTTCAGTAAATCCTTAATTATTTGCCTTTTAAAATATGCTTGTTAAAGGAGTGGTGACTCTTTTCCACACACGAAAAAAAGAATAGGTCCAGGAACCCATATAGGCAGGGTTTTTCTAGAAAAAAAGGTTATGGTAATCTCCAAAAAATGTCTATTACAATGGCAGTGGAAAAATGATGCCTATAAAAAATGCCAGAAGAAAGCCTTGATTGCCTGCATGCTCTATATACTTTTGAAGAAGCCACACACACACACACAAACTTGCCCTTACTGCCTGTATGTAAGAGTATCTGAACCAAAGTCTCTCGGGTACAATAATGAGAAAATCCATTCAAGCTATGACAACATACGGAGTTGAGTTATATATTTTTTTCACAATACTTAATGAAGAAAATCAGTTTTTCTTTAATACTTAAATGTTAAGTCATTTAGTAACAAGTAGTCCACAAGAAGTTGATTGTGTTTTGTTTGAATGATACATTTTTCTCAACTCCTCATGCCACAATTTTAACACTAAATCTCACGGCTCCAAATGTTACTTTAACTCTTTCTCTCTCCTCAAAGTATTATTATTTGAAGTATTTTAACCCAAACATGTATTTCATAATTTAAAAATATTTTAGAAGAGAAAGGGCTCAATGAAATCTGCCTGGCAGTTCTCAGAATACCATATGGTTAGTCTCACACCAGCCTTCGAGACAAACTCAGGAGGAGGTTGGCACACTTATAGTCAAGTCCAATGTGTGATAAAGATGATCTTTAAAATAAACAATGAACACCGGCCATATTTACTTTCCAGAACATTTTCTTCTCCATGTGGATTTATGGCTCCACTTCTGCGCGAAGGGGAGGGGGAAGAATAAACCATCAGCCAACAAATTTTTTAATAAGTTTCTTGTGTATCCTTTACAGGACTTAGCAGAACCAACCCCAGTAGTTTTTAGCTGTGTGATTTCATTAGGCAATTTTATGATCAGTAGTTTTCCACTGCTTCCTGGACGGTCGGCTCTTGATACTACTGTCCTGAAACCAACACAAGGCAGTCTGCTACCATATCGCCAGCAGCTGGGATCGAACCCTGCACCTTGGAATTATGAAATGAGCTCACAACGCCTGAGCCACAGATACCAACAAGCAAGGTGACTATATATAAATATATATATATATATATATATATATATATATATATATATATATATATATATATATATATATATATACACACACACATACACACACATGCAGAGAAGGTAGTAACCTGTGAAAGCATTAAGCAAAGCAAGATTTCTGCATCTCCAGCTATGACTCCCATGGATCTTTCACAATTTGAATTATATTAAAGATAATTTGAAACAGACAACTAAGCAGAGAAAACACCTTCAAACAAAAACCTACAAAAGTACATCTCTTGGCCGGGATTGAATTCTGGCTCCAAAGTACCATTTTGGACTGAAAGTTTGGTAAGGACAGCATCCTTTGCTGATAAGCGTCTGGCATGGACAAAGTAATTTTTGACATGTCCATCTTCTGATGTCACTTCTATTTTGATATCTGTAGTGGCTCCCTCTTTTAGTGGAACATCACGACTGCCTCCACTATTCTAGAATGTGAAAAAGGAAAGTAAAAACTAATAAAGATTTACAGAAATAAAATTTTAATGTTCTGTCCTATAATAAATTTGAAATGAAGTGGAAAGACTTAGTCAATTAGGTTCAAATTCTTTGTTCAAATATTATTATAGTGTTAATAGTTTATTAAATGGTAATATAAGGTATTATTCAAGTAACAAAATATAGTTAATTTTATAATTATAGGCGCGTGCATGCACACACGCACACACATCATCATCATCATCATCACCATAATTAAAATGTAGCAATTTCTTTACAGAATGTGACTCTTATCACAATCTGCCCAAAAGAAGAAAAATACCAGCTCTCTCGTCTCATGCCCTTTCCTACCCAAAGTGTCATTATATGCGGTGTCATTATATGCCCAACTTTGTGTTAGTGTGCACCTGCCCTAAACTTCCTTTTGCAACTATTGTTTCCAATCTGCATGGTGACTGATATGGCCAGAATATTTTAGTTTCCGAGACACAAAAATGTTTACTAGCTAATCTACCTTGATGTTCAGATCTTTTAGGATGTTAACATTTCTTTTTTTCTTGGTCCATTGTATTCTTAGAATCTTTTTATAGCTTTCAGCTCAAAAGCCCCTATATTCTACCTTAATGACTGTGAGATAATCTATTACTTGCATCTTATGTTGCTACAGGGAAGATAAATGGTCTCAAGAAGTTGACTTTGATTTCCTTGTATACACCTTTAAATGTAATAGTATAATATTACTGTGTTCAGCTATATATCACATTGTATGCTATACTATAAGTGAAATTTTATCATCATCATCAAGTGCCTTGCCAGCTGGCATAGGCCATCATGCATCTCCACAAATCTTGGTCTTTGGTGTTTTGGATCAATTCCACTGATGATATTCCTCCATGCCACTGTCTTAGGCCATCCACCATCCCTTCTCGTGGTCTGCTTCTGCCTTTTCTACCAGTGATCTTTCCAGTCATCAGGATATTTTCCAGTGCTCCTTTTCTCATCATATGACCAAAGAACGCTGGTAGTCTCCTTCTCATTGTTGTATATAATGTTATATTTTCATTTGTCATTTCCAGGCAATCACTCTTAGTTATTCTGGCAGTTCAAGGTATTTGCAACATTCTTATCAAGATCCACATCTCAGTTGCCTCCAAACTCTTCTTAATTTGTTTGCTCACTGAAATCATAAGCATGATTTTTTTTTTTAAAAGGTGGAGGTGGGGTGGCACTTTTACAATTTTTTTAAGAAGCACAATGGGCCTAAGCCTTGTTTACATATTTAATCGAAAATAATAATAATATGTTGGTGGCAAATAGCTAAGACTGGTCCCCCGTCTGGCTCAACCTGAGTGCTTTATGCATCTCAGGAAGGAAAAGGGCGACCATGAATCCCAGATGGCCTGCATGGAGGTTGTAAGCAGGCAGCCCCTCTACCATGCAAAGGCAAAACAGGTCAATCACCTGTTTGCCTTAACTATGATTACAAATTACCAAAGAGAGAACCTTAATGGCGACAAACTGGCATGGCCAACGGACTACAGTTTACGGAATATGAAACATTCAAGGCATAATGGAAAGAAACATTAGATAACAGAGGAGACAAAAATGCAAAGTTAGAAACCTTGGCTCTAGGTGACACCAAGAAAAAGGGGCAGGGAATCATAGATCATGATGAAAACAGACTGCTCCACAGTGGTGTCCACATGACGGAGACAGACATAGGAAATGCTAGCTGTATTGTGGCCGGGAATCAAATTAGTAACCTCAAGGGATGTAAATTCATCCCGGAGGGAATTATGGTGCTAGATCTGAAAGAATTAGATACAGTTGTTAACTGTTAACAATTATACTAGAGACAACATTGCAGATTCAGATAATCTATTTCAAGCGAACGAAAGAAGAAGAAAAAGAAGTTGTTAATAATGTCACTGTGTACTGATCAATGAAGACGAGCGAGCAGATGTCAAAGAAGCATTATGTGAACTGCTCCAATGGACTTGGATGATTATCATGATGAAATTATCCTCGTCATAGATCTAAATACCAGAGTATTGAATGATTACTCCATATAGGGTGAACTGGACATATGGTGAAGACATTCTGAATGACAATGGCAAGCGACTTCTCAGATTCTGCAAGGAACTTAATCTTGTCTTTACAAACACAAAATTCCGTACACATGCATACACAAGATGTGAACCTTCACAGAATAAGAAATTCATAATCAAATATGCCATATGAAGGAAAGATTCACTCAAGTTTGTGAGAGATTCCAGAGTCACGAGAGGACCAGAGATTGGGAGTGATCACTATCTGGTCACAATAAAAAGAACTAAAATAACTGCTCTAACAAAGCAAAACCAACAATCATGCAAGAAAACAAGCAACTGAGAAAGAATGGAGATTAAGACCTACAAGCTAAGACAGCCATATATTATGACCAGGCATCAGGAGCATATAACAAAAGCAATAGGAACTGAAGAAAATTATCAGAGGACACTGAAACCTGTTGGGGCAGACTGACGCGTACGATTGGGGGATGTACCGCACATTTGCCAAGTGTCTAGGGGATTATTTATAAATGTCAGTCCTTCATACATACAAACAGGATTCCCTCTTTCCACAATCCGTGGCTGCCTACTCTTATTGGTATGGCACATGCTGATAGTGACTACTACTGGAGTAAAGGAGGGCCAACCAAAACAGGGAGCACCACACTAACCCAGGCACAAGTAACAAGTCAACAACCACAATATATCTGGCACAGGTTAAATGTCCTTTTGATTGACTGATTTGATTCAAGAACCGACATCACAGCACTCGGGGCATTCCCATAAGCGCTCCATCCCCATTTCAGCAGCCAGCGAAGAGTTCCGATACTAATGGTGCCAGTAGCATTCCGATTAAACCTCCGTTTTGCCTTTCCTCTGAGCCTTGAGCATCAGCCAGAACTTCTCGTCACTCTCCGCTGCATCAATCTCACCAGACTGTGGTGATCCATCTACTCCTCCAAACTGTACACACTCTCCCACAAGGCACTAACCACGTCGGCCTTATCATGTATCAGTATTCCACCAAGTTGTGCAGAGCCAGCCAGTCTGTCCGCCTGTTCCTTTTCCAACACACTGACGGTACCTGGTGAAAAAATACAGACAATACTCCTCACCTGTGTCCTCCGCAGCGAAGCATGCCACCTTGCACGAAGCATACCTGTTCTGATCTTCCTCAGCATGCTTTCTGAATCAGTTACAATCATGATATGTGTGTGTGTGTGTCATGTTCTCTAGCCAGTGGAAAGCAGCAGTGGCCGCCTCCACCTCCATTCTTAAGCTGGATGTTGTGGTGTCATATGCTAGACTCTCCTGCACCAAACGTCGACCATTAATTTTTGCTAAGAAGCCCCAAGCACTTCTTTTGCTTTTGACACTGAACCGTCTGTGTAAATGATCAAATCCTCTGAGCGAGCATTATCTTGAATCAATTGCTGAATTTCCACCTCTGTGGCACCTGCTGGCCAGTCTCTGCATTCCCGGTTTAGCGTGATTATGACTCTACACAAGTCTGACTGTTCAGGTGGCACTTTGACCCACTCCTCTCTTCGCCTAATGTTCTCAAGGATGCAAACCTGTCTGATTGTGTCTTCTGCCTGAGCCATCCATGACCTCCCCCTTATCAGCCACTGACCCTTAACTGCACCCAGAGCTTCATGCAGAGGTGGTCTGTGTCTGCAGCTACCCTGAGATATGACTTTGTCTGCAGCACCTTGTCCTACCTGCAACCGTCGGCAAACCAAGGATGTATCACATACACATGTCTTTTTGCAACCACTAACACTGAAACCCTCTGGGGCAGATTCAAGAGCATCCTCACAGCAGCTGCAGTAGAAGTATGTGGTATAGTCCAAAGTGGAGGGAAGGGACACAGGACACTCGTTCATAGAAGAAGTCAAACTGAAAATAAGAGAAAAGATAAAAGCAAGGAAACAATACCTGGCAGCTAGGAACACAGCTGAAGAAACAGAGAAATATAAATGATATGTTACACTCAGAACAGATTCCTAAAAATATAGTGCTTTCTGAAATCATGGGAAGAATTTGGTTAAAAGTTTCAAATAAAAAAGAATGCAAGATCAAATCAGAAACTGTTGCATAAGACATTCAAGAACTTGAGGAGAGAAAAAAGAGTGTCCACTGAAATTTATCAAAGACAATGAAGGGGCTCTGCTTACTACTAAGAATGAGGTTATGAGCAGATCGAAAGAATACTTCTCAGAGCTCTTTGGTGTTGAGGAAAGTCATGTTCTAGAAAAAAAAAAGGACCTTGCTACAGAAAAGGAAATCGTCCATGGTGATGATAACATAAGGATGGAAGAAATGAAGGCAGCTATTGAGAAAACTAAGCTGGGGGAAAAGCAACAGGGCATGATGGCATAACAACAGAAATGGTCCAATATATGGGAGTCACAGGTGAGTGACTTCTCTTGAAGGTTCTCTGGGCAGTCTGGTGTAGCAAGACTATACTGAAAGACTGTGAGATTGCCTTCATTATACCTGTGCTTGAAAAAGATGAGTTAAAGATATTCTTGAATTCTCAAGCCTAGACTAAGAGGTCTGGAAGAACCACAGCTGGATTAGGACCAATGCAGTTTCACAACAAACTGAAGTACTGAAGACTTCACCTTCAAAGACTTTTTAAAAGAGCTGCAGAAATTATGTGAGAACAGCAAATCCAAATTTAAGAACAATTTAAGACCACTAGTGGTGTTAGACAAGATGATATTCTCTCACCTTACCTCATCATTCAAAGAGAAGACAAAGAAGTACTTTGCGGGGTACTGGAAGATGAGACCAGTCTGTATATCAGAGCTGGCATTTGCAAATTCTGATAACAGCATGAGGGACAAATCTTTAACCTAGCTTACTTGTCTGAAAGGAAGAGTGTGAAAAGAGGGGGATGACCATCAGTATCTCCAAAATGAAAACCATAGTGATCTCAAGAAAAGAGAAAAAACACCAGATCATGGTGGGACAATATACATTGCAGCAGGTCAAATAAAAATACCTTGGAGTTGTAAAAGATTGGAATAGAGGCATAAAGTCTGAACTAGTTACTCTAAAAGGAGCAGCTGGGCCTTTTCCAGGTCATAAATCAAGGATTTTAAAGTAAAATAAAAAGTGGCAAAATGAAAAAAAAAAACTGTTTACCACGCCGCCTATGTGCCAGTCCAGACCTATGGGTGTGAGTCAATGGCAATGACAACAGCTCATAGAAGCTAGTATCAGGCCTCAGAAATGAGATATCTGAGAAAGGTGAACAGATGCAGAATGATGTGAGAGGCCAAGGCCATACCGACCTAATGTTGACCGAGAAGACACGATCTCAGCCGATCTGGCTGACTGACGGGGGAATGGAATAGAACCAAGCCAAAAATAAAACTACTGTTAGAGAAGTCTGACCATCTCACTGGCAAACATCTACACCCCATGATATAAGAGTAAGAGGATCGACTAAGTAAATAAGATTTATACATGTGGGGGGGGGGGGTGCACTTTAGCCCCTGTTAGTATTTGGGAGGGGAAAACTCAATATGCCTGTGCCACTGTTACTGTAGCGTAGCTAAATGGCTCACCGATATAGAAAATGATGCTCCATTATCATTCGTCTGAAGATCAAACGTTATTTTCTCTGCGTTGCTAGGTACTGTCACGCTATAGTCAGTAACATCCTTGTGGAAAGCTGGAGACAATGTTCCTTGTTTCGCCGTTAGTTTAGATAAGGTACAGTCGTCCATCTTGAATCATAGGACGCCTTGGAGGGCAGATTAAAATTAAGAATTGTTTTCGATCACTATTGTTTTTAGAACTGCTAGTAATATGCAGCCAATATATAATTTTTATTTTCAATAATACTTTATATAATTTTAGAGTAAACTGTAATATTTTAATGAGGTTAAAAAAAAAGAAAAAAAATAACTTTATCAAAAAGTATTGTTTCTTGAAATTTAAACCATGGCATAAATTTTGATTGATAAGTTGCATATGAACGGAAGCGTTGTTTTGTAAACAAAAATTGGGCGGTTAACCCCTTGAATCCACTCCTCTGATCTCGCTGAAGTGAATATTAAAATACCGGCAATGTCATCGTCACACAAGCAAAAACACAGAACTGGTATTCCAGTTTTTAAAATAACTCCCAGAAATGAATGTGAGGATGTCAATGTTTCATCTGCCCGCAGCCAACAAACGTTGCCATTGGACTCGCAACAACAACAGAGTCGCAGCACATCTAGAAATCAACAGTCACAGAATCAGAAACGCGACAACACAGTAGTACAGCCTAAGTTAAAGACGACGAAGAAAAATCAGGGGTACTTTTAATATTTTTCAGAATTTCTAATCTTAATCTTTTTTGGTAATCACTACTATCATCTTCTCTTTATAGTAACGGTATTTTTTTTTTCTGTCTTGAGTTCTTCCCTCATGTCTAAAAGTAAGATAAAGTCGGGAGATGTGGAATGTGAACCAGCGTCATTCATAAGTGCTCTGCCACCAGAATGGACAGCTGATAAGAATTGTCCACCTGTGTCGCCATTCGCACGTAACTCTGTAGCTACAGTGACGTTCCTCGATTTACCCCAGAGTTTCAACTCTGGCTCTGGTACCCATTTCCTAGAGGCTGGGTGAACCCGGGTAACCACCTGGTTTTGAACACCGACCTTGGGCTGCAGAGAGTCACAGCTGGATTTGAAAGTGAACCTCCTATCGACTGCGCTTACGCGGCACTCCTGTCTGCTACCAGACAGTGTAGGTAGAGAGTGTACAATACAGTGCACACCCTTGAGACTCATGAGTACTGTTATTGCAGCACTACGCAAGGAAAGCAAAGAATAGTGTTATTTCATCATTGTCCTGTTGTGCCTTTATGCGTCACATAGGCCTCACAGTCGATTCCTCCATTCCTTTCTGTCTTGTGTAATCTCTTGGATATCATGGTTGGAATCCAGTCCAGCACTTTTGGCCTCTCTCGTCAATGTTCATTTTGTTTCTTTTGGACATCCTGAATTCCTTTATTTCCTATTCTGTGTCTGTTTGGTGGTTTTTCTGCTTGTTTCCTTTCATGATGTGTCCAGTATAGAAATTGCTGGCTCTCCTCCGAACTTCTACCCGGCATTATGGCGGCCAAACAAATATCCTAACAGGGCCTCACTCCTATTAAAAATATGTTACGTGCGGCACGGATGGGGGGCTAAACTAGTTGCCTGGGACTCATGAGCAAATAAATTGGAGGAAGTTGCAGGAGATGCGGTAGCTGCTGCTCGTGAATCCCATCCATCTAGTTTAACCCCCATCCACGGCGCGGTGAATACGGTCGGCGGTGAGGCATAGTCACAGAAACAAGTCCGCAATTAACATATCACTGAGACCCTGTTAGAGCATTTGTTTTGTTATACGGAGCCGATCCTAGTTTTGCCGCTCGACAGGAAGTCCGAGAAGTCCACATTTTTCATAGGACTGAGGCCCTGTTAGGATATTTGTTTGGCCGCCATAATGCCGGGGTAGAAGTTCGGAGGAGAGCCAAATTGCTTTATCATATAACTGTTGTTACCATTAGTATTATCATAAAAGGCGACTAAGTAAGGGTGACCTGAGATTTGCTGATGTAGAAAGCTTAGCTGCAAAATCTAAACTATCATGAACAAAAGTACATAGGGTTGATTGGAGTTAACTGACTCATTGAGGGCTTATACTTTAGCGAGAGAAGAGTAGAAAAGGAATAATAATATAAATATGTTGAATGCATTCTGAGTATAGAAAGTAAAATTTGTTTAAAAAGCTATAATCTTAATGTTAATAATCTCACTTCCAGTACCATTGCAATACAACAAATTATAAAAATAATAATTCTGGCTAATTTGAGTAATATATGAGTATGGATTGTTCTGAGTATGGATTGTTCTGAGTCTTTTCAGCAGAAAGTAATATCTGGGTATGGATTGTTTTGAGTCTTTTCAGCAGAAAGTAACATCTGAGTATGAATTGTTCTGAGTCTTCTTAGCAGAAAGTAATATCTGGGTATGGATTGTTTTGAGTCTTTTCAGCAGAAAGTAATATCTAAGTATGGATTGTTGTGAGTCTTTTCAGCAGAAAGTAATATCTAAGTATGGATTGTTCTGAGTCTTCTCAGCAGAAAGTAATATCTGAGTATCGATTGTTCTGAGTTTTCTCAGCAGAAAGGTCCAATACACATAGTTAACTGTTTCTTTTAGTTGGTACTGCATGGCATGTTTTAACACTTTTCAGTTTTAAATCCCAGGGAAACATTTCTTTGATTCAGATTTACTGGCCTAAAATAATTCTGGTTTAAATTTAAAATAGCTTAGATAATATCATTAGATCAGATGAAATTGTAGTCTTCTTCTTTGCGTTCAGTTTCGTTTGCTCAGATCTGACCATCTGATGGGTTGCCTCTATAAACTAGCATGTCAGCTGCAGATCCTTAATGGTTCCCCATCGCTTTCTCTGCACACTTTCCTCTTGAGGCCAGTTGTCTTTTCAAAGTTGTAGTTAGAGTGGGCAGGTCTGCAGAATGTGCTCAGGTGTTTGTGGTCCTGTCTGACAGGCACACTGCGGGGACTACAATCTTTATTTTATGGCCTAAAATAATACTGGTCTGGATTTCAAATAGCTCAGATAATATCATTGGGACTGGTGAAGTTGTAGTAACAACTGGGATAGAAAGAGTTAATATTACAGCTGGGAAGGAAGGTACAAGAGGATGATAAAAACGTATCATCTAAATACATGTGATGTTGCTTCTGGGCACTGAATGAGAAGTAGTCTCTCAACAGTTCCAAGATGGTTCATTACAGTACATCTTCACTTGCTGCAGAAAGAAGTCTCTTCCTCCTAGGTTGTTGTGTCTGTTCCCAAAACTACAGACCTGATAAGGAAAACTTGCATGGGACCCACGAAATAGTTTTTCTTATAAAAAAAATTCCTCTTATCCAGATAAGATTTCAAGTAAGAAAAAAAATTGCCTGGGATAAACAAATTGTTTCTCATAAAAAGAAATTGGCCACATCCGAGTTCACCTTAATCTGTCTTCACTGTAATTCCATTCTCCTGGCAGTATGTTTGAATTGTAGTTATAGATGTTTATCATTTCCCAACTGCTCGTAGAGAATCTCCTCAATATACAGCAAAACCTTAAGGGATTGAAAAATCAGTTCATGTTCAAAAGATTCATGTTAACTGGAGATTCATAATAATAAATCCCAGCTAGAACCAAAGTCTTATTCATGGTAACCTAATAGTCTTCTTAAGCGAGTTAATATTATCAAGCTTTTACTGTACCTTCATCTGGCTTTCATATATGATCCTTTTTCATTATGGTAGAACTTGTTACTTATAAAAGAGTAAAAGGAAAATCATTAGTGCCTTTAAATATGCAGTTGCTTAAGGTAGAATGGACTTCTTGTCAAATTTGGCACCCATCTCGGAGAAAATAAACTGAATGAGAATACAGTGAAAAGGCTTCATGAGTAAACTCCGAGGAAAAATCTGGCCATGAAGGCCTTACCGCAGTTTAAGGATGATTCTCAACACAGTTGTGGCACTCATGCAAGGTCATTGATACCAGACTGTGTTAGTTATTGTCATTTCTTTGTATCTGTCCATAATATTGAAAAAGAAAACATGCTGTATGGGTAGCATTTTGTTCTCCAAAAAGACACGCCTAAGCTTGTGCAATGGAAAAGATATTACAGATGCAGATGCAATTAAAATGCAGATCTGACAGGCAGCATCAGCTTGCTTTCCATTGAAGCAGAAATGGTCCTGCAGTGGCTACCAGCTCACTATGGTATCTAGGAAATGGGAGAGCAGATGAGCTGGTAGTAATCTTCCACAACATCCTCCTCCTCATCAAGCTGCAGAGAAACCAAAACAGTTCTAAAGCAGTCCTTCAGTGGGGAGGGGAGAAGGCAGACCGGAGTTTGACAGCATAAACAACCTTAACAGGAAAGAACAAACAACAATTATTTGAATTCAGACAGAACTTATAGCACACTTACACATTAAATGCATTATAGAATCTGCCACCTGTGAGTGCAGAGCAGACTCCTGAGCATCTACTACAAGGTTGCCCTAACTGCCCACAGAAGTTTGGGGTCTGCCATAACTGATCTACATTACATTACACAATAAGTGGGGGGGGGGGGGGGGTGTTTTAACCTTAGATGCACCATTGTGTCTGTGACCTAGTCAGGACTAAATGTTTAGCTTGGCCAATGTCACATGCGGAAGGAAAAGAAGCCGTTAACAATTTTTTATAAATGTTTCCTTGTGTGCTCTTTTCAGTGCAGAAACCTGGGCAGATGAAGTGATTCAAAGCCAGGGCCAGATCTTAAGAAACATTTCTGTGAGTGACTCCAAGAGAAGACGGGATGATCTGGAGAAGCAACTGCATGAAGCTGAGGTTAGATCAAAAAAGATGTTATTAATTAAGCTGCGTTAAGGTTAAAAAAATATATATATATATATATATATATATATATATATATATATATATATATATATATATATATATATGCCATATAAATATATATATATATATTTTAATATATAAAACATGTCATAAAAAGCGACTAATTAAGGGTTTACACCAGTTTGGTGTGTTGGGTTGAAAGGTGCAGATATTGCAGCCTAGCTGTAAACTGCAAAACACATCATACCTTTTAAGGGTGAACACAGAAGATGATCACTTATTAAGCTTGAGTTAGAAAAAAACATATGTGATAACTCATCCAGCTGGGGTTAGATTACAATAGATGTGATAATTCATAAAGCTGGAGTTATATAACAATAGATGTGATAACTCATGAAGCTGGGGCTAGATAAGAATAGATATGATAACTCATGAAGCCGAGGTTAGATCAGAAATGATATGGTAATTAATTAATTAAAATTTTGTTTAGAAACTTCTTTCTTTGTTTTGTCAACATCTGCTGTCTGCCACTAGGTGTCACAGTTTAACAAATAGGTAACTGACCTAGCATGCACTCAGTTGCATGGTACACTGTGATGTTGTGATTATTTAGGATGTCAATGACAACTTCAATCCATATTTTTCTAAGTCTCCTTCTGCCTCTTGGCATTTTCATTTTCATATTATATGCTCTCACTGCTGACCATTTTCGGATTTATTGTTACTAGGTGGCAGAGCAGTGTTAGTCATTTTTCCTAAGTTAATATAACGATGGGTATGGTTAAGGAGTTAAAATAGTTATTGTTTAAGCACAGACTATAAATAATTTTTTGGGGGTAGCAAATTAATATTTTGGACATTTGACTTTGTTTAATGTTCACTGTATTTTCAGGCTCAGTTAGTGACGATGGGCAAACTTCTTGAACAGCGTGAAAAATTGATGAATGGTATGTCTCTGTATAAATGTGATTTAGAAAAAAAAAATTTGAGACATTAGACGTAAACAGTCTGTGTTTTTCAGAAATGCTATGAGAAGGAATGGGCCAGAGAACTTAGTAACAACTGGCAAGATTTATGGAGAGCAAGGGGAAGGCAAAGAGATAAATAACTGAATTATTTTTTTTTTAAATGGACCATGTCTTCTAGGCCGACCCAGCCTGAAATGGGTACCAGGTAATGTCCTGGGAGTTGATGATAGCTGGCATAAAGTCGACCACATGCTCACTAAGTGTCGGTCTATGAAAAGATAATTGTAGCATTATATGAACTCTATAAAAAAAATGGGCCTTGTCTTCTAGGCCGACCATGCCTGAAATGGGTACCAGGTAATGTCCTGGGAGTTGATGATAGCTGGCATAAAGTCGACTACATGCCCACTAAGTGTCGGTCTATGAAAAGATAATTGTAGCATCATATGAACTATATAAAAAAAAATGGGCCTTGTCTTCTAGGCCGACCCAGCCTAAAATGGGTACCAGGTAATGTCCTGGGAGTTGATGATAGCTGGCATAAAGTCGACCACATGCCCACTAAGTGTCGGTCTATGAAAAGATAATTGTAGCATTATATGAACTATATAAAAAAAATGGGCCTTGTCTTCTAGGCCGACCATGCCTGAAATGGGTACCAGTAATGTCCTGGGAGTTGATGATAGCTGGCATAAAGTCGACTACATGCCCACTAAGTGTCGGTCTATGAAAAGATAATTGTAGCATCATATGAACTATATAAAAAAAAATGGGCCTTGTCTTCTAGGCCGACCCAGCCTAAAATGGGTACCAGGTAATGTCCTGGGAGTTGATGATAGCTGGCATAAAGTCGACCACATGCCCACTAAGTGTCGGTCTATGAAAAGATAATTGTAGCATTATATGAACTATATAAAAAAAATGGGCCTTGTCTTCTAGGCCGACCATGCCTGAAATGGGTACCAGGTAATGTCCTGGGAGTTGATGATAGCTGGCATAAAGTCGACTACATGCCCACTAAGTGTCGGTCTATGAAAAGATAATTGTAGCATCATATGAACTATATAAAAAAAAATGGGCCTTGTCTTCTAGGCCGACCATGCCTGAAATGGGTACCAGGTAATGTCCTGACAGGTAACGATAGCTGGCACAAAGTCAACCACATGCCTACTAAGTGTCAGTCTATACAAATATTATGGTAGCATTACAAGCCTGATGCAGGACTGGTGTAAAAAAAAAAAGGGGGTACTTTACTCTTTGCTATACTCTAACCATAGAGAGACCTCACAGCGGTTAGAGATAAGCTACAGTTGTTATTGAAATGAAGTAGCCAGTCTCACACAAATACTTCTTAGTTGCCACTTGTGACGTGCATCGCAGGTTATAACTTTACATTCTTTCAACACAGTGTTTTCCCATAATGAATTTAAATAATGTGGACACAAACAATACATTTGCGCAATTTATTGCCAGGCATATTTCGCTGTATCTCGTCAGGTGTGTTACTACAGAGTTAAATCAACATATGAATGTGTTATTATTTTGTGGTCTTATTGATACCAGGTTGTAGCCCAGTGATGTTTTCTGTATTTGTCTTGAGCTTCTGGGTGACTTGGGTGATGGCCTATTTTGCAGGTATCGGCTACACCATTTGTCCCTCTCTTACTTGGTCTTCCTCTTGCCTTCCTCCCAGATGTCCTGCTTTAAAAACTCTCATATGCAGTTTGGCCTGGCTGTATTCTCACTAGATGGTCAAACTATTTCATTCTTTGTCTTTCAATGTAATCTAGACATGGTCTTATTCCAACTTTCTTTCTAATGCTGGTATTTGTAAACCTGTGTTGTCAGTGACCTTGCGGAGACAGCACATTTCACATATGGTTATTTTCTGTTCTAGTGCCATATTCATTGTCTATGTTTGGCACTGATTCAAACCACACCTCCTGGGGGTGCAAGCCAGAAAACTGAAGCTAACAGGGCAGTGGCTCGCCTAGAAAGAAATCGGCACCAACCAGGTCAGATTTTTCCCCACCTACCACCCGACAGGCCAAGCAAGCGCACAATAATAGTGTAATTAATTGCTACTACACAAGAAATATTCAGTACATTTAGGATGTGAATATGATAACTAAAAATAGCATTTGGGGAGAGGGTTCATCTTGTTTATTTGGTAAGAAGATAGATATAGTTGCTTTTGATATGAATGTATTATAAATTATTTCTTGGTAATTTTGATTGGTAAAAATCTTCATATATTTTCAAGCCTTATATTCTTTCATCAGAGGCTGCTGAGGAAGCTGCAAAAAAGACAGCAGAGTTAGAGCAAAAATTGTAAGTCTGTTGTGAATCGTGGACTCAAATGGTGAAGAAATTTATTTTTGCGGGTGTGCGTATTTACATGCATGTTTTTTATTTTAAAATGCTCCTTGTGCCAGTGACATTATTTTTTTTTATACATAACTGGTAGAAGAGCATCTGTTAAAACCATACTTACTTATTTAGTCACTTTTCTTCTACCTTTGGGGTGTAGAGATTTGCCAGAGAGATTGCCAGACTTCTCTATTAGCAGTTTTCTTTCTGGCTGTGTTCCATTCCAGTCTTCTGTCAGCAGGGACTGTCGGATGTGGCCTTCCCAGCAGAACCCTGGGTCACCCTGGAATCCACAGGGCAAAAGAAATAGGAGCTCTACAGTCACAGTGAGATAAGACTGAGAATAATATAGGGTGAGATTGTAAAATATAGGGTGTTGTGAGTTGGTTGAGTGCCTTTGCTCAACAAGGGGATGAATAAATGAAAATAGGAACTTCTTCTGTTCTCATGAAAAGCACATTTTACTGTTAATAAGCCTATAGTTTCAATAAGCGAATACTTAGTCACAATGTTTTTAGATACTGAACAGAAACTCATATAATTCACTGGATTATACTTAAGCACACTGAACACGTACCATAAAATGCAGTATACAAGTCAGTTTTCAAGCCTCAAAAATATGTCCAAAAACTTGGGGTCGACTTTCATGCGGAGTATCATATGCAAACTGTTACCACCTAGTTGTAAACAAGTGGGACAGCACTCTTAACAATCAGTGTACACCACTGACTATACTTCCAGCAGGCTACAGTATCCTGCTGATAGTGTTTAAATCTAAGAACGGAATAACTATAAGTGCTTCACACAGGAACCCACAGGGGTATACACATGAAGAAAGGCAAAATAAATGAATAAAAATGGAGAAGGGTACTAGAGAGTAAAGTTAAAAAAGAATGAGAGGAACTGGGTGAACTGTATGCAATGGTAAGGACAGGATGGGTTGACTGAGGGCCTGTGCTCAACTGGGAGATTTAGCACAGATGAATAAGAATAGTATTAATAGAAAATGAAATAAAATTTTTATATAATTATTTTGTAATAACTTCTGAGTTCACTAAACATCAATTTTAGTGGGATATATTTGTGGTTGAAGTTTTGGCCCACTGAAAGCCAGCCTTATATTTTGACGTCAATCTCTGCGGCAGGAGTTTTCAACCTATGGGTCAGGCCTTTTTTAGGGGTTGAATGAGCCTTTTACATGCATCGCCTAAGACCATCGGAAAACACATATTTACCGAAGTTATGAAAATAATTTTATGGTTGGGGATCACCACAACACGAAGGACTGTATTAAAGGGTCGCCGCATTGGAAATTTTGAAAACCACTGCTCTACGATATGTAAAGGCCTAACTCAGAGTTTTAAACTAAAAATCTTTAGGTTAATTAATGTTCCAAGTTGACTTGCACTCTGCTATTTACCTTCCATTAAGAAATACACATTTATTATGTTTGCTGTAATTGCTGACCTTGTATAATTGAATGATGAAATGATTTTTCTGTACATAGAATTAATCAAGATGGACATTTGGTGAAATATGGCATAGATCCAGGTAGCTTTATGTGTTTTTGTTGTAGTTTTGAGTATGTGTGCATATTTACAGTGCTGTAATTATATTAGTTTTAGGTGTATGTGCATGTTTACAATGCTGTAATTATATTAGTTTTAGGTATATGTGCATGTTTATAATGCTGTAATTATAATAAATATTCCCCGTATGAGTTCCTGTGCCCCACTGTCGGGGTAAAATGAGAGTAGACCCACTGCCTTCCTAACAAGCATGTCATAAATGTAAACTAATTAGAGATTTCCTTCAAAGTCGGAGTGCATCTGCCTGAGATGCAGGGAAATAACAGTCTGCATTAAATTATGCCAGATCTGTTAAACGAATCTGCATGCAGAACTCAAGTAATGGAACAAGACTATAATGTCCAGAATTGGACGAACAGCCCGAACTTTTCGCTAAAATATTCAGCCGGTGAACACGAAGAAGAAGGTAATAAATGTTACAGTGACATCTTCAATTTTTAATGTGATTTTTTTGGGGGGAGGGGGCGGGATAAAAGTGATATTAAAGAATTTAAGATAGAACTAGCCAGAATGTAGGTTTGAAACAAAGTATACTGACACAAATGAGAAAAATAACTTAGAAAATATAACCTTAAAAAAAATTCTTGATCGCTGACATAACCAAAACCTAAACTATGCAGAATGGGTGGTCTATATGAGTGAACAGACATTTAGTGTTAAAGAAATAGAAACGGCGATAAGCAGTATGAAGAATGGAAAGGCATCAGTTGTAGACTGAATTAGTGCAGACATGTTGAAGGCAGACCCACAATTTACAGCAAAAGCATTACATTGAATATTCAACAAAATATGGATAAATGAAGTGGTCCCGGCAGACTGGGAAAATGTTATAATCATCCCACTACCAAAGAAAGGTGATCTCTCATACTGCAACAACTGGAAAGGTGTATCATTATTGTCTGTACCCGGAAAGACACTCTGTATGGTGGTATACAACAGAATGAAGATGTTAATAGAAGTTTTTTTGGAAGATCAGGCAGGATTCTGAAAAAGAAGAAACTGATGTGATCATATTTTCACTGTCAGAAATATTGTGGAACAAGCTTTAGACCCGAATGCCGCATTTTCTATAAACTTTATAGACTTTGACAGTCTAGATAGAGCAGTAATATGGAGGGTCCTTGCTGCGTATGGGTTACCAGATAAAGTTATGGGTTACCAGATAAAGTTATGGGTTACCAGATAAAGTTATGGGTTACCAGATAAAGTTATGGGTTACCAGATAAAGTTATGGGTTACCAGATAAAGTTATGGGTTACCAGATAAAGTTATGGGTTACCAGATAAAGTTATGGGTTACCAGATAAAGTTATAAACATATTTATAGGAGTCTATAAAGGACACCAATGCAAAATTGAAAGTAAGTCTCGTGGAAACAGAATGCTTCAGGGTAACATCAGGTGTCTGACGAGGGTGCATTCTATTACCTTTTCTTGTTTCTTATAATGATAGATTTTGTTACGAAGAAAGCAACCACAGGCATTCAGACGGGCCTTCAGTAGAATCTTCTCAAACATATGGAATATTTGGTCTTTGCAGATGATGTCTGTGTCATCAGCCAAAGTAAAGAACATCTGCAACAAAAGACAGATAAGATCACAGAAATAGCAAAACAGACAGGGTTAAGAATCAGAATAAAAAGAAGAAAAAATAAAATAAAAAGAGTAAAACAAAACTGCTGGGGATAAACCCCAGAAGTGAAGGACCTATAATAATAAATAATGTAGCTTTGAAAACAGTAACTAACTTCACTTAACCTAGAAGCAAATCTCCTCGGATGGAAATGTAGTGTTGGGAGGTAAAGCAGAGAATTGCAAAGGCAAAAACTGCTTACGACAGACTTCAGAATGTCTGGAGATCAGACATCTACAGCACTAAAACTAAACTCGGTATATGCAAAACATGCTTTAGGACAGTTCTCCTCTATGGAGGAGGAACTTGGAAAACAGGCAGAAAGATAGAGAGCTTGCTCAGAGGTTTAGAGAAAAGACTTCTTAGAAGATTGTTGGGGTTCACATGGGAAGATACAATCAGAAACTTTTATATTACAACAAATGACAGTCTTAGAAGATGTAAATTTAGAAATAAAAAAAAACGAGATGGAGGGGGATTGGACACGTCCTCAGAATGAAGAAAGAGAGACGGCCGAGACAGGCAGTGCAATGGACATCACAAGGACAGCCAGGAAGAGGCAGGCCCAGAGATACTTGAGGGTGAACCTTTTAGGCTATTTGAAGTATAAAACTGGAGATAGAGAGGATGGCTCCGGATCGAATTGATAGGTGGCAGTTTTTCTCTGCCGTATGTGCCTCTGGGTGCGATGAGGATTGATTGAACAGACTGAATGTCAAGTCGAGGCAAACTTGAACTTTACAAGGCAAGTGGGAATTTTGCGGAGGTGGCCAAAAGTCATGAGCAGCAGGCAGTGCATGTTTTACTTGAGAAAATTCTAGAAGGTACAGGAAAAGGCCATGAGAAACTGAGTTATGTGAGTCTTGTTTCGAATTGAGCATGTGATTGTTGTAAAATAATTAATCAGTCAGTGTTTTAAATACTAATATTTAGTCCACTGCATCTGTTTACTGGCTCCATTTGTTTCTCTCTTTAGTTACAGGAATGCAAATTACTCTCGATGAAGAAGGAGAGAAGAAAGTAGAAGCTACAGAGAAATTCACTAAGGTATGCCTATTTCCTTAAAGTACTGCTTTTAAAATGAGTAACTCAGAAGTTTTGAAAGAGCCGAAGGCCTAAAGACAGCTTATCACAAACATCAGGAAGAGTCTTTTTTTTTTTTTTTTTTTGGTTTGTGTTATGAGAAGAAGGAAAGTAAACCATGTTACCACTAGAAAGATCTATGGGAGAAGAGACAAGAAAGACAACAGGAGAAGATTCTTGAACAGCCTTTTATCCTGGCATGAAGGGGTGTGTGCAAATTGACTGATACGTGCTGTTGAAGATCTTAGGTTGTGAATAGGCGTGATTGTCCACACCAGCCGTCAAGGTACTTGACAATGAAATGTATTTCTTTTTACCCCGCCCAATACATTTGAATATATGCATTAAGACCCTCAAATGCATGTCGGTGATGTCGAAATCAGCCTCTGCTGCAGTATAAGGATATGTGGAAAGCAGGGCATGAATAATACTGATATTGAGATGTGTTCATGGGAATGGGATAATATAGATAGCAAGGAAATAGGGAAACAGAAAAAAATGATTAAATGTAGGTTAAGAGCTGAGCATCTCAGAATAAACATATCATATACATGTGATACACTGAGGGAAGTAGACTGCAAGATCATTCAAACAGGCTAGGTTCAACATGCAGAAGATATAACATGAAAATAAAGACTACTAAAACTGAAGTATTGCAGGTCAGCAGAATTGCTAGTCTGCTATGTATCGGGTTGAATGGTACTTGTCTGAAGCAAGTTAAAGAATTTAAATATCTAGGAGGTATATTCTCGGTGGACAGGAGAAAAGATCAGGAAATAGAAACAAGATGAGAATGAAACAAGTGCAGTTATATACCAACTGACACCATTATTAAGACATCCAGACATAAGTATGAGCACCAAGAAACAGATTTTATAAACAGAATATTCATACCAACACTGTTCTACCAGTGACAGACTTGGACATTATCTGTGAAATGACCAGAAGTGCAGTTAATCGCTAATGGAAGCACAAGTTACATTAGTTCAGTAGGTGTACAGAGAATTAATTGCGTAAGGCACCACTAGTTTTCTTTGGCAACAGGCCCTGCTCTGTTTTCTGAATCTACAGAATTTGTCTCATTCAACTGGATTATATCCTTTCAAGCTACATGTTGAGGAAACTTGAGGTTTTAACAAAGGATCAACATCATGGCACAGGGGTAGTAACCCATAAGTGCTCCGTTCTACTTTTAAACTCATGTCTGAGTCCGAAGTAGCTCAGCGCAGTGTTCGAGCTCCGTAGGACAGGCGAGGATCCAGAAATATTTTTGGTAGAGTTATACTGATATTGACATGGGTTGAAATTTTGCCCGGGCAGCGCTGTTAGGCTACTCTTTTCGATTTCCAACTGCCAAGGGATTTTTTACGTGCGCAACAATACACAGGGATGTCCAATCTCACTACCCAGAGACCAGGGGAAATACTAGAAGTCCATGTGAACAGAAAAATCCCAGCCTTTACCGGGGCTTGAACCCGGGACCTCTAGCACTGGAGGCGGACACCATACCTCGAGACCCTGCATCCGTCTATTTGAGGAAACTGCAGTATCTAACTGCAAAAGCAGAAAACTTGAGAAGAAGAAAAAATAAAAATTCAGCAAGCTGCCTATACACCATATTGACAGGAAACCTCTCTTATTGTGAAAGGCTTTTCTGAACACAGAGTTACATTCGTGATTGCTGTGGACTGTTGATTCCCGCGCCTCCCTATAGCATAGTATCATCAGGAAAGATGTCATCTAACATCGTGTGTGAAGACTGCAGCACAACACCATATCTCCTCAGCTCTGTAGCTTCATAATGGGGATCCGACAGATTAGGTGCCTCTCTGTGTCACATTATAGCATGCCTAGACTCAACTAGAGCTTTGTTGGTTTCACTAGAAGTACATTTCTTAAAACTATTAATATTTGTCTTCATAAGTGGGGATGGCAAAAAGTGACCTGCGATCTTGATCAACCAAGAGTAGATCTGTTTTCTTTTTCTTCTTTGCATTCACCGGCTGAAAACTTCTGGTTGTTCATCCACTTCTGAACTCTAGTCGTATTCCAGAAACTGGGTGTTGACTGAACATCTGTTCCACAGATCTGACTCAGTTTCATACAGACTGTTGATTCCTTGCCTCTCAGGCTTATGTATTCCGACTTTGAAGGAAGCTTCCATTTAGTCGACTTACAACATGCTTGCTTGTTGGGCAGGCAGTGGGTCTATTTTTGTTTTCCCCACAATGGAGCCCTGGAACCCACGTGGGGAAGCAGATCTTTAAAACCGAGTTTTATAAAGTTTGCATAAAAAAGGTTTTAAAAAGGAAGCTAATTATCTAAACTCAACCTGAAAGTCTCAGCTATCCCTAGGGAAACATACATCTTAGCATTGTTTTTACTTATTGAAATATAGTACAAATGTGTGTATATAATAATAAATTTGAAAATCTGACCACAAAGTTTTTTTTTTCCTTTTTTTTTTTCAAGTGTAGGACCCTTTGGTTGGCGTCTGGTTTAGGCATTGCGAACAGGCTTTATAATGCCAGGGTGCAGGGTTCAATCCCTGCTGCTGACAATTTGTTTTGCGCTGGTTTCGACAGTAGTATAGAAAGTTGACCATTCAGAAAACAGTGGCAAACTACTGAACTATTTGCCTACAAAATCCACAACAGCTAATAAATGCTGGGGTTCGTTCTGCAACGTCCTGTAAAGGATACGCAACTGACTTTTAAGAATTCTTTTAGCACTGGTGGTTGTTCCCCGTGTAGACAAACAACCAGAACCTTTCACCAGGGTTTACAGCCCGTGAACACGAAGATGTGGGGGAAAAAGAAAAAAAACAATAACGCCAGCAGCAGTAACAACAACAACAACACTGGTGGTGCATTGGGCATATGATGCTGGACTCATATTGTCATAGACCAATAGGCACCGGGTGTTTTCATGTGGTCAGTCTTACACCAGCCACCTTTACTTCCCAGGACATAACCTGGTACCCATTTTAGGCTGGGCCAACCTGGGAGCCAAGGTCAATCCCTGGTGGTGCAGATTCAAACTGAAGACTTTCAGGCCAGCAGGTGAGCGTCTAGCCATTACACTGCCATAGTTTGACCTTGATAGTGCTCAAACATGCCCTCGCGCTCACACACACATTCATGTATAACTGGGAAGATATAAGGTCATTGATTGTATATTTAATTTCAGTTTGTTTAGCTCACCAGTTTAGATCTGGTGCCAGTATCACTTTGTCACAACAGATCATATTATGTTTGTTTAGCTCACCAGTTTAGATCTGGTGCCAGTATCACTTTGTCACAACAGATCATATTATGTTTGTTTAGCTCACCAGTTTAGATCTGGTGCCAGTATCACTTTGTCACAACAGATCATATTATGTTTGTTTAGCTCACCAGTTTAGATCTGGTGCCAGTATCACTTTGTCACAACAGATCATATTATGTGCAGCTATGCACCTTTAGCACACAAAAAAAAAATGTGTGTGTGGTTTTAGTCACAGAATAATGAAGTATGTCAAATTGTTATTTTACAGAAACGAGTTCAGGAGATGAGAGCAAAACTGCAGCAGATGAACAGCCAAGCTGAGTCCCATCTTTCTGATATTGAGGTAAACATATCTCATCTTATTGTACCACAAGTGCCAGCTATAAATTAGTTATTGTGTTGGAAAAATTTGTGACTGCAGTTGAGCTGATACTAAAAACTAAATAAACTAAACAAAATATGTCCACAAAGCTCAACATGTGGGGGGGGGGGGTGTTAAAATGTCTGCATTTTTTTTTTTTGGGTCTTTCATTGAACATTTTTGTCATATTTTGTGTTGTCTGCAGTGTACGTACATTAAAAAAAAATAGTTATTCGATTGTTTAGTCTGGATACGTGAGCTTCTGATTTTAATTTGTTTACATGAGTCACAATGAAGCCAAGTGGATTCAAGGTTTAATATCTGCTTCTGGCCCAAGCAGGTCTAGTAAACCTCACAGTCTAAGCTGAATTTTGAAAAGAAGAAAAAAGGATGAAAGCACAACAAGGAAGAATACTGATATGACTATGAATGCTGGACAATTAGTAATCAAGCAGGAACAACAAAAATCCATTGACATCACAGAAATTAGATTTCACAGAAGAATGCTGAATTTGCAGCCAGAATTAAAATGAGTAAGCTACATGGCACAGTAGAGGAGAAGAGGCAGACCAAGAAAGACCTGCGTACAGAACTTGACTGACTGGGCAGGTCTTAGGCCTGCAACCATGAAGTCCAACACATCTGACCACCAAAGGTGGAAGGAGCTGATCTGACAGTCAACAGCAATTGGTGACCCAACGATGCCCAGTGTAATGGGATGATGATGAAACTGCATGTATTGGAAGAAGCTAAGACAGCTTATCAGGAGTTTCAGAAAGAGTCAGTAATTATTGGGGGGGGGGGAGGGGGGGGGGCGACATGAGAAGATAAAAACTGAACCACAAGTAACAGCTGAAGTCACGGAAAGCAAGAAAAGATTCTTTAGGCCTTTTATCTTAGCATGTGAAAAATGTCAGCACATGAATTTATACATTGTCCTTGAGACTACGGGCACTGTCTTTGAGACTGCAGGCTGATAGATCATGATTGGGCGTCAGTTGTCAATGCACTTGATGTAAGTGATGAGATCTATCACCTGGGAAAGGAAGGGATTTTATTGCATCTAAAGAAAGGATAATTTGTGTCTTAGTCTGAGGTTTCTTGAGTTACTTATACTGACTGAATTCAGTAGAGACACTGACTTTTTAGATGGTAACCCAGCTTTTTTTCTGAAATTCCTGAAGTGTCTTTCAGTGTCTGATGGTAGTTAATTATGTCAGTGGGTAGATTTGGGAAAGACCAAGAGAGACAGACATGACTTAGTCTGAGTTCTTGTGAATTACTTATACTGACTGAATTCAGTAGAGACACTTAAACTTTATAGATCGCAACCCAGCTTTTTTCTCAAATGCCTGAAGTGTCTTTCAGTGTCTGATAGTAGTTATTTATGTCAGTGGTAGATTTGGGAAAGACCAAGAGAGAGAGAGAGAGAGACAGACACAATGACAAAATCATGGGTGCAGTACTGACAAAATGTAGTAAATAGTTCTTTTTATATTGCTTCTCATGTAGCAGAGGTTAGTTAGTATGTCTATCCATCCCCATTTGGGTTCTGAATGCCCCATTTTTGTAGCCATCTTCTTTGTCTTATAACTGTTGATACTAGCTGTTGTCCAGACATCTTTTCTGATGTCTTTGCTTTTCTTCACTTTACCCCATATTATGCTCATCCATTTATAGTTGAACATGAATGGATAAAATGGCCCCTTAACAAGCATGTAAAAGGTTACCAATTACGAGTTTAGCTTAAATGGGATGTATTTAATTAAAAGGTGCAAATATCGTAGCCTGCTTGTAAACAATAGCGTCATGAGCCAGCCACCCTCTAAAAGGCAAATGAAGAAGAAAAAATGTCTGTCCATGCCCTTCATCATCATCAGTTTTGATTTTTAAAAAAAAAGAAATCGTCACGTTCAACCAGCATCCACAAACAGGGAGCTTTAGGTTACAATTGTGACTAGGTTATGTGCGCCATATAAAATGGCTTGGCATGGCACGCCACCAAGAGCCCTGAAAAGGACTCTTGCCGTGTTGATGCGATCAAACGAGATAGACCTAAATACTGTCCTGACCGGCGAGGAAGCCGTCTACCGGCGAGCCAGTGGGGGGACCTGGTCGTCATGTGTCTGCCCTTCTGTCTCATGTAATGCTAGTTATTTCTGATACGGATGTACTTTTTATGCCACATTGCCAAGCTGCTATCATTGTCTCTCATGGCCTCCCTTCCCTCCAGATTTCTAGTTGCCATATCTTTCTGCAGTTTTTCCCCTTCTTTTGCTTGCCCATAGAATGGGGATACAGTATATACTGGTATGCAAAATAAATCTATCTAGATTTATTTGTAATCCCAGGTGAAATAATCATAGTGACACTTTGAGTATTAAAGCAGTGTTTCCCCATTGTAAATTTGAACAAATAAGACATAAACAGCTCACACAAATTCCTTTATCAGCTATTGCGTCATTTATTTTGAATTCTGGGCACATTGTAAACAAGGAAAATATGCATTTAGACTTATTTACACTTCAGCCAGCCGTAGATTATCGAAATGTATGGAAGTGACCACGATAAGTCAGTTTAGTCCAGAAATTTGCAGACAAAATGACATGCTCTTCACCTTGCTTTTACCCTAGTGAAACGGACAGTTTTTTAATGTAGTTGATGTTTTGTTTTAGTTCAAAGGATTCATTTATTTGCTTCATTTTAATTGTTAGTATGCACCTGATGAGATACAGTGAAATATGCCAGGCAATAAATTGTGCAATCTTTTGTTTGTCTTCTTTGTTCACATTAGTATTGTTCTGTCACATAAACAGTAGTTAATCACAAATTGTCTGTTGTTTGGAACAACAAGAGTTAATAATTAAAAGTAACATTCACATTTGGAATGTCATGTTACACTTTACTTCAAGAGTTTCTATATCTATTATTTCTAATTTGCTTTGTACAGAACACGCTGCAATTTCTCAATGGTTTAGAGTTGGCTGTTGACAGAGCTGGGCAGTCATCAGGGAGCGTTCTACAGGGATTTGATATTGATTATGGAGACGACAAGCAGTTAGATCAAATCTGTCATCAACACGCAGGATCTGGAGTGTGCAATGCTGTTGTCAGATCTGTGCTCGGTGAAAAGAAGCCGCTGTTAGAAAATGTTAGTATCGGTGTCACTGTGAATGATGATGATGGTGATATTGCTAACTGTCGGTACCTTGAAGATCACTGTGATAAACTAGGAATTGTGGAACCTGAGAAACTAGGGAATGTGGATATTTTAGATGCCGAAAGTGCTGTGGAAGAGAAAATCTCCTAAGTTTGGTGTGTACGTTTTATTTATTTATTTTTTTTTATAACTTTCTGGAGTATATAAAGTATTATAAATTTTTTTTTTAAATTGACAAAACAATTGAGTGAGTATTCAAAGGAATGGATAAGTGGCCTATACTGTAGCAGTGTATCACTGTCTCACTCTGTGTCAGTCATGTTTACATCTCTGGGTATCCGTCTTATTCTGTATTTCTATCTCTATTACACTTATAATACTATCGGATTCTATGCATCCATCACATTCTGTTTCTCTCTCTCACTTTTTCACTCATATTCCCAATCTATTTCTCTTATATTATATTAGTTTGTAACCCTTTAATTCTGTGTATCTGTCTCTATTTCACTCATTTGTCCATCCCTTTGTATCTATCTGCTTTCATTTATTTTGTATCCACCTCTCTATTTATTTACTCATTCTATTTGTATCACTTATCTCTGCATGTCTCCTTATGTATCTCGTTCTCCATTTATATGATATTCTGCTCATCTCACTCTGTACGTCTATCTCAGACTCACTCGTCTATCTATCTCAGACTGTCGCATTCACTCTGGTGAATGATTTTCTGCATATCTCTCAGACATGAGTTTGTCACCAAGTAGTAATGTAATTCACAACGCACAGTATTTTCCCAAGTACAAGACGCACCTTGATTTTGGGACCAGAAATTTGGAGCAGAAAATATGATTACATCAACTTATTGAACTCAAATTTTCTTTTTATTCACGGTAGGCGGTGAACGGCTGTAAACTCTGGCGGAAAAGTCTGGTTTTTCGTCTATTTCTGGATTCCAGTCCTGTTCCAGAACCTGAGTTTTGCGTGTGCATCCGTTTGACATATCTGACTAATTTGTATGCAGACTGTTGGTTCCTTGCCTCTAAGACAGATGCATTCCGACTTCGAAGGAAGTTCCCAATTAGTCGACTGTTTTGGGTGGGCAGTGGGTCTATTCTTGTTTTTCCTATAATAGGGCTCTGGAACCCACATGGGGAAAATATTATTCATCATAGAATCCAGAAAACTCATCACCATCAAAACTGTTATCCCTGTATTAGTTCTTTAGCATATCCTCGTATGTATCTGAAGACACATCACTGTCTCCATATATTGCCTCAACCTTAGTTCCCCCTGTGGCATTTGAAGTGCCGCACTTCTTGAATGATTTGATGAGTTTTAAAGAAGATTATTCTTCAGAAGAGAATAATGAAATCAATCAAAAAGTCACCAAAACCGGCACAAGACAATTAACATATAATGGACAGACCAGAGCAAGTCATTATTCTATGCCTTAGAACAGGACACAATCGACTTAGCACCTGAGACAACAGATCACGTCCTCCAAGACTGTCCCAAATACAGCATATCAAGGCAAAACTTTTGGATAGGAAAAACTCAGGTGCAAAGTAAACTTAACGGGCTGCTGACTGAACTACAACAGACAGTGCAGTTCCTACTAGAGACAACATTGCAGATATAGATAATCTTTTTCAAGCAAATTAAAGAAGAAGAAGAAGTGGTAAAGTTCTCGGTCGGTGTCTGTGACTTAGGTGTTGCAGACGCATTGCGTAATTCAGATGTACTTGTTTGCAATTCCAGCTGCTAGCAATTTGGCAGCAGACAGCTGTGCATTGATTTTGACAATTGTTAAGAGCACTGCACTTTCAGGAAGCATTGGCAGACTAAAGTTAGTTGTGTATCCTTTACAGGACGTTGCAGAACCAACCCCTGAATTTTTTTGGCTGTTGTGGTTTTTCTAGGCAAATTTTACGTCCAGTAGCTTAATTGGCAGACTACTGAACGTAAAATTGCCAAGTTAAATCAAACAGCCTCGCCCCCAAAATGCTGGGTTGGTCTTGCAACATTCTGTAAAGCAGTGGTTCTCAGCCTTTCTAATACTCTGACCTTTTGATACAGTTCCTGATGTTGTTGTAATGACTCTCCCCCCCCCCCCCCCCCCCCCCCCCCTAACTATAACATTATTTTCGTAGCTACTTCATAACTTCAGTGAATATGTGTTTTCCTATGGTCTTACGCGACCCCTGTGAAAGGGTCATTAGACCCCCAAAAGGGTTAAGAACCGCTGCTGTAAAGCATGCTCTTCAACCCAGCGGTAGTTCACAGACTACTGATAGTCCACCAAAAATATCTTCCTGATTATGTTTGTTTGACTTCTTTTTTGAGTGAAAAATGCTTTCAGCAATAAAATCCAGAGAAATCCAATAGATAATATTGCAGTGCTTTGTCTGTCAGAGTCAGAAACAATTTAATCACCTGTCCTAGAAACAGGTTTTTTTCTGGGAGCCTGGTCAGTATAGGTGATCAACATTTCCTTCAAAGTCAGAGCACATCTTTTTGAAAGGTGAGGAACCACCAGTCTGCATACAATGAGTAAGGTCTGTAAAATAGATCTGCACACGAAACACAAGTCTTGGAATAAAAATCCAACCAAGACTTATAGGTGGTGAACTCAGAAGAAGGAATCACCCTGTATCTAGTTTTTTTCCCTTCTCCATCTTGCGGTAATATAGTGGCTAGATGCTCGTCTTCCATCCCACATGGCTTGAGCTTGAAGCAGCATTGAAGCAGATTATTTTCAAAACTGATCATGGTTTCTAGGTTGATCCAGCATAAAATGTGTACCAGGTAATGTCCTGGGACAGTGATTCCCAAACTGTACCCCGGGGAGCCGCGACCTCTTCACAGGGGCGGCCCAAAATATTGGAAGATAGGCGAGTTTTTTTTTTTTTTTTTTTTTTATCTCTTACATACGAATAGTCATACTTTTACTTAGGTTAGGGTGCCGTGGAAAAATTGTATTTTAAAAAAAGGCGCCGCAACTAAGAACAGTTTGGGAAACCCTGTCATGGGAGGTAAAACCAACTGGCATAACTAGGACTATATAACTGTACAGTTTTGATTAGTCTATTCTTCTTCTTTGCATTCATCAGCTGTAAACTCCGGCAAAAAGTTCTGGTTGTTCGTCTGCTTCTGGACTGCAGTCCTGTTCCAGAATCTGAGTGTTGCGTGTGCATCCGTTTTACAAATCTGACTCATTGGTATGCAGATTGCTGGTTCCTTGCCTCTCAGGCAGATGCACTCCGACTTCAAAGGAGCTCCCAGTTAGTCGACTCTTGCGACATGCTTTTGGGTAAGCAGTGGGTCTATTCTTGTTTTCCCTATAACAGGCCCCAGAACCCACACGGGTAGATTAGTCTATTAAAGCTGACTAAGATTTTGTAACCTCTGAGCAGCAGCAGATGTTGCATTAGCTGAAAACTGTAATTTTATGACATCGGGTTTAGCAAAGAAACATTTTGTTTTTTGATTAGCTGTCCATAAAAAAAATGTCTTTCAAATTGCCAGTTCACTGGTGTAAAATGTTGAAAAACACTGCCATACAAGATATGTAACTATCATAAAAGTTCCTTGGTTTCCTGTGTTTAGCTTTGCAATCTCTGCCCACATTACTTTAGTTTTTTTGAGAGTTAGAACTTTTAAAACTAATTCTTTGCTTTTCATTAGTAATTGTAAATATATTGAAAATATAAAATTAAAAAAAAAAACGTTTCTGACCATTTGTTTCAGAGTAGTTTTATTTCTTTTAGTCATATTGTATTTTATGTTATGCATGAACACAAATGTTCACATATATATGTACATACAGTTGTGCATATGCACAAGATATTGTTACCGTCTTCGCTTGCTGGTGAAGATAGGGACGGAGCACTTATTGGAGTGTCACAAGTGCTGTGATGTCGATTCTCAGTTAAACATTCAAAAACTTTAGATATTGTTATTTATTACTTTTTGTGTTACTAAGTATCCTTCTATACGGACTTTCAATACTTGACTTTGACGCCGAGCTACTGAGTTAAGTTCATGGAGTACAAAACAGAGCTGTGGATTTCATCTGTCCTCAGGGTGGTTTGTATGTATTCAGAAAATGACAGCTAACCGGTTGCCACAGAATTAGTCGTGCCTTATGCGATAATGCATATGCCGCTGCTGGTTTGACATGGCTGCTGCTTTCATCATGTTGGTGCCTCTGGCAGCTACCTTATGCATGTGTGGGACAGTATAAAAAGTATACAGTTCATATAAATGTGCACATTAACACTACATGCAAACGTAAACATGTATACACACACGACGTGCCTTAGCTCCCTTACAAATGTGTACATAGTTGTTCATAGCAGGAGGTTCAATGAGTCTAGGTCCCTTAGTTATGCCGCCCCTGGTACGAGGTGAGTCAAAAATATGGCTACATCATGTTTACATGCATTTGTAGTTGCCCAACAGTAATATAGCTACATACATGAGACCACTAGAACTGCAATTCGTCAAATAAAAAATAAAGAAACTACAACAATGCAACAGTACACACACACACCCCCCACACAACCCACCCCCCCCCCCCCCCCCCCCCCCATGAGACCTCTCAACCTAATCAAAAAAAAAAAATCGCGTAGGCTTTATTCATCATCATCATGTAGCATGTCCTTTGCAGAACGTCGCTTTTATCACGACCTGCTTAAAAGAAATTCAGTCTCTCGCGAGCTCTCCTGCCTCGTGTACCTTCATATTCAAGGAATCGTGTACCTTCATATTCAAGGAATCACTTACTTCCTATGACCATCTTCGTGTTGGTCGTCCCCAGCCTTGTACCATGCCTCCTGCTATTATTTATTTATTAGTTTGTCCAATCCGCCGTGGCGCTTGATATGACCAAAATATTTCAGCTTCCGAGACAAGATGCTGTTTATTAGCCAATCTTCCTTGATGTTCGGATCTTCTCGTTTTTGTGCGTGGTTTTCTGATAATCTTTTTATAGCATTTCAGCTTAAAAGTTCCTACTTTCTTTCTTAAGGCTCAGTCAGACAGTAGCCTGTCTTTTGCAGAACCTTGCTCTCATAACAACCTTCCGGAAGACTTATCGATCACAAGCAAGATGTCCCACTTCCGATACACATCAGGAGATCATCCGCCACATCCTGCACCCATCTTCTCTTTGACCTTCCCCTTCCTCTCTTTTTTTAATGTTTTCTTTCATGGCCGTTATGGTTTCTCAACAAGTTTTGCAGAAGGTAGTTTGTCATTGCTTTCCTTCTGGTTAGTGACTACTATTCTGTGGCCACAGCCATTGTCTCTATTGATGAGATCATTTGCATATCGCCGCAGAGTGCACGACCATAACCAACAATAATCGGTCTGCTGCTCTCACACGCCATCCACCACCTGCTTCCATAGCTTTACATAACCCTGGTTGGGGTGGAGAAAGGGGGGGGGGCTACACGGGTACTCCCCCTTGCCAAAGGGTGCCCCGTAAGGTTTAAGGCTAAATGACATAATTAATACACGCAAAACTCAAGTCCTGAAACAACATCAAAGTCCAGAAGTGGTCGAACAGATAGAAATTTCCGCTGAAGTTTACAGCCGATGAACGCTAAAAAGAGGAAAAGAATACCAGCTTGGATATAGATTCTCCTTTTCCTATGAGACTGAACCATAAGCGTCTATGCTTATCGGCACAACGGGGAGTCGCCGTGGCATAGCGGCTAGACGCTTGCTTCTGGATCCGTAGGTTGTGGGTTAAAAAAAAACTTTGGCTGCCAGGTCAACCAAGCCTTACATTTGTACCAAGTAAAGGTGGCCGGTATCGTGCTGACCACATGGCCGGTATCGTGCTGACCACATGGCCGGTATCGTGCTGACCACATGGCCGGTATCGTGCTGACCACATTGCCGGTATCGTGCTGACCACATAAACCACTAAGAGCTGATTGGGGTGCTCACCTCAAAGTGTCTATCACAGTTACACTGAAAACAATGATGCACACATAAGGTGTTGGTACTGCCTACTGTTGAAAAAAAAAAACACACACTTTATTATTATTTTTGTAATTAAACAAGGTTTAGGCGTCCCCTAGAAATTTTGCAAGACAGTGAAGACACCCCTCTCCCTTTCAACATTGTGTTTTGGTCAGCGCTCCTGGTGTAGTCCCATCTTTCTCCACTATATGATGGAGAAGGTTGTAATGAAGCTTATATTGTGTCCTCCCTATCTGATTCACCTCCGACTCTCTAATTATCCGGTGGGGGTTGCGTGGTCTGTGTCCGCCTCGAGTGCTAGAGGTTCTGGGTTCAATCCCCAGTAAGGGCTGGGATTTTTTCACGTGGACTTGGACTTCTAGTAATTCCCACTGGCCTCTGGGTACTGAGATCGGACGCCGTGTGCATTCTTGCGCACGTCAAAAAAAAAATTATTTGGCAGGGGGAAATCGAAAGCGCCATGTTTGTGATTTATGCCATCCATTCTGCGTGTTTGCGTAATTTAATATTGCTGGTATCGTTTTGTGCGTTTGGTCAAGTTTTTCTCCAAATGTATATTGTCAGTACTTTACTAAGTCTCTGTGTGGGTTCTGAAGTCCAATTGCGGAGAATGGGATGGTAGGCCAACTGCTCTCTAATGAGCATGTCGTAAAAGGCGATTAATTAAGTTTGTCTTGTAATCAGATGTGTTGCGCCGAAAGGCACAGATGTCATATCCTAACCTTAAGCCACAACACAACCTAAGTAAAGGACCTTGTTCCACGCATTCATGCGTATTGGGCAAATATGACTAAACCTATATTTTATAGACCAATTGGCACTCGAATGGTGACGTGTTCAATACCATGCTGTCTGTATTTACTTCCAAGGACCTTGCCTAGTACCCATTTAAGGGTGGTTTAAAAAAAACGTTACAGGTTCGATTCCCGTCACGGCAACTATAAGGTTAGTTGCTTATCCTTTACAGGACGTTGCAGAACCAACCCCAGCGGCACCTGGCTAAGGCAACTATAGCTTTCAATTTTTATGTTGTCTAATGTATCCTTCTATCTTTTTACTTCTTTCTATGAGTGTCGCTCGACAAATTGTCTGTTTGTGAAAACATCGTTTTTGAAAACAGTCATGCCCCGTCAGGACCGGAACTCACAGCTCTCGGATCCACAGGCAAGCGCCTAGCCGCTACACCACGACGACTCCCACAGCACAACCCGCCAGCGAAAAGCAGAAAAAGCAACCCCCCCCCCCCCCCCCCCCCCGCTATAAGTAACAGACGTAATAAATACCTTGACTGGATAATCAAAGGGACGTCACTTTCACGATAGAAAATACTAAAGGGCAGAGAACTCTAGGTTTGTTTACAAGTTTGTTGATACCGACGCCGAGCTATAACTAGAAGGCGTCAATACTCAAAAGAGCGCTTTACGAGAGGCGGTGCGGACTGAAGCATGGAGGAACTCAGCGCCGCTTTACACAAGTTTAATCAAAATATTGTTGAAGTTTCTCGACGTGTATCTAGAGATACTATAACATGCTGTATGACTCAAGTAATTCTGCCTTTACTGGAGAAAATAGGAGAGATTGACGTTCGATTCCGCTGCGCTTCTCCTATGCCCAATGAGGTGTATTTCCCAGGAATGAAGTCTTCGTGCATGAACGAATTTGAACTGACCATAATACTCACGAATCTTCTAGCAGCGAAAACTTTTGAAGATGGGGGTTCTCACGACGGAAGTTTATCGTGTTATGGTCGTGTTCTACCTTTACAGTCGCTACATCAGATAGGGGACGTTCTCGTGGAGGCTGGTTCGAGTCAAGGGGTGGTGTCTGCTCACAGAATTAGGCAGATATTTGCCCAGTTGGCTAGTCAAGCAGTCAGTTTCCTGCCAGTTGTCAGCGGAATGTCAGTGGATGTTTCTGTCAAAGGTGAGTACCGTGTCATTTGTTCTTTAGATGATAAAGATACTTTGCAATTACTGTGTGTATTTTGTTTTAATATTTTTTTTTCTTCTTAACTGAGACTCATTTGAGAAGTCTTTCTTTTCTGGTTTCGTAGACTGCGCGAAAAGGGGGGGGGGGGGGGGAGTGTGTCCACGGAACAAATTTAAGAAGTGCATATCCTTAATCTCTCACCAGGCGAATGTCTAGCCTCTACAACAAGGCGGCTCTCACAAAGAATACTACGTTTTAATGTATTTTGGTGTGTGTGCTTGTGTTGATACTGTGTTTATGGCATCCAACGATGAGTGCTAAATGCCCATAGAAAGTTATATTTATTACCACGTTGTTGTATTTAAGTGTAGCTGAATGAAGCTAGTTAATTTATTAACACATAGAATAAAGCACAAGACTGTTCACAATTTAATTATAAGGATCACATAAAGTCTGTCTGTTCTTTTCCCTACTGGATAATAAGCATAGAGATATTGATTGACAGCTTGTGTCTGAGTGAGGAGCGGAAGATAGGGTGGAGGTGGTATATATATATATATATATATATATATATATATATATATATATATATATATATATAAGGTATACAGAAGTAGATAGATAGATAGACGAAAAGACAGTCAGATATACATACACACATAAATGCTTATACATACACACACACACACACACACACAGCCAGACAGAAATACAGACATAATGTGTAGACAGACAGACATGTAGAAAGTGCAGCTTAAGACACCTTTCTAAGTACCACCATCGTCCCGTAACATTGCAACTCTTTGGGTCAGCAGTTGCTGCTGACGATCTGATCAGCTCCCTCCGCCTTTGACAGTCAGATGCAACGGACTGCATGGTTGCATGCCTAAGGCCTGTCTAGCCGGTCAACTTCTGTATCCAGGTCTTTCTTGATCTGCCTCTTCTCCTCTACTGTAGTATACTGTTTCTGAGATGCAGTTAGATCTTATTGAATTGTCCGTCTTTTTACTGTAGGTACCTAAATTTTCTGGGTTAAAAAAAAACAAGGCCGTAGTGGGTGGAGCTTGACTGTTTATGCAAGAATAAATACAGATTTCTGCGAATTTGCGTGGTAAATAAAATGCCTTCTCCGTTGCCTCTGGACTTCTTTTTTTTCCCCCTTCTGCTTCTTCCTATTCTTCTTTTTTCCTACTGCTGCCAGTTGCGTTGCTTCACTTAATGTAAAACTGCTTTTCTGCAGTGTCATTAAAAGGGCAATTGGCTGTGTGGTTGCTTACAGATTGGCTGCGATAGTCTCTTTGACATGTTTGTTAAGAGGTGGGAAAAGGCATGGGAGGAGGGGGCGGATTTTCAACATATAGCATGGACTCCCATCAATATAACCTACAGTTAGTACGGGGAAATGTTGTGGGAAGTAAAGACGTCTGGAGTGACATTGACAGAACATTTACTGGCACGCATATTAGGCTAAGTCAATTAGGGATCCGTCAATTTGTTGAAACAATATAAACGCCTTGATTGGGGAGGATGAGGGAGGGGGCGGGGGCTACGTAAACACAACCACTGCTAGGGCACCGACTCAGTGAATACATGTGGGAGCTTGAACCCGGGACCTCCAGCACTGATGGCGGGACGCCTTGCCTCGAGACCACCCAGCTCCCCGTATATCCAGGGAAGCCCCTAGGGATCCCAAGGAATTCCTTACGAAATCTCGAAGCCGACGAGATATGGTGTATAAAATTAAAGTACTGGCGAATAACTAAGTTTTTTTTAAAATAAATTGGGTGTTTCGGAACGAAAGGCGCATATATCGTAGTATTTACAGCGACCCACAGTATCTCACAATAGCCTGTTTCCAGGGTAGTTTATGGGGTCCCATGGCTGTATAGCCACTGCTCCCAACACTGACGACTATTTTTTAGGTTTATATAAATTAAATGTGCAGACGTCTCAGCCTTGTTGTAAACCCCAACACGATAAGCAAAGGATAAGCAACTAACCTAACATTATGCTAGCATCTACTTATAGCACTACCCGGCTTCTGTCAATACAGCCACCTGACAATTTTAGCAGTCGATAACTTAGTGCACGTTTCTCCTGGCTATGCCCGTCTGTTTTTCTTAAACAACCATTGAAGAAATCTTCCAGAAAAACACAATGTCCTTGACGAGGCCACGGTTGCTGGAGAAACCAGGACACGGTGAAACAAATGTTGGAGTTATTGCCAGACAGGATGTAAACACAGAGTGCAAAGTTCAAGTGACGTCTCTCCACTATTTCAGCGCATTCTTTTTGGGTTAATAAACAAGACGGGAGTGGGTGTAGCTTAAGTGTGTAGATGTAAGCATGTTTCTACTAAGCGCGTAGGTTAGTATGTCACATCAGTCAGGTGCCGTCTTCAGAATGAACATTGGCTACAAGAGATTTAAAACACACTCTGTCTTTTCAACTGGTTGCACTTGCTCTGGTAATGCTGTTTTTCCACCTCTTGATGTTATCCCTCCACTTGCGTTGATGTCTGCCTTTTGCCTTCAACCCCCCCCCCCCCACATTATTGTTTTTCTAAGATTGTTGCTTTCAATATGGCCGAAATTTTGCACTTTTATCTTTTTTAAAATTTACTTTAGCAACTATCTTTCCCGAAAGAGATGGTTCTGTCTTTACTGCTGCCCTGGTAATGACAGGCAGTCATGTTTGATAGTCGGCTCTGTGGCTAAGTCGATGCGAACGCTTCGGGATGCCGGGTTCGATCTCAGCTGCGGGCCATGCGCCTTGCGTTGGTTTCGACAGTGGTATCAAGAAAGCCGACCGTCCAAAAAGCAATGACAAACTAAGGTTAGTTGCGTATCCTTTAAAGGACGTTGCAGAACCAACCCTTACAGCCCCTGGCTGTTGTGTGGTTTTTCTATGCAAATTTACGTCCAGTAGTTTACCATTGCTTCTGGACGGTCGGCTTTCTTTATATCACTGTCGAAACTAACGCAACTCGCATGGGCCGCAGCTAGGATCGAACCCGGCATCCCGGCATTACGAAGCGTTCGCATCGACTTAGCCACAGAAATAATAAACTTTTCGACGTAAATTTGCCTAGAAAAATCACACAACTGGTTCTGCAACGTCCTGTAAAGGATACGCAACTAACCTCCCCATGTTTAATTGTTGTTGAAATTGTACTTCAGTTATAAAGGATTCACTTATTTGCTTCATTTATGTAATTGTTACTGTAGTATGCAACCATCGAGATACAGCGAAACATGCCAGGCAGTAAATGTACAATCTATTGTTTGTGTCTTCTTTGTTCAAACTATCTTTCCATTCATAGTCTTGTAAGGACCTCTGTACTAATTTGCTGCTAGAAAAGAACATGTATACACGACACTAGTAAAACGTATTTCTTTCTGGCGCTCAAATATTTCTACTTGGACGCCAGGAAACAAACTTAATGCTGCAATTTTGCCTTTACTACTTTTCCAGGCTCACAGTGTCAAACTGGCAATCGCGACCACAGGCTGCCTGTCAGCAATTCGTTCCGTTTTCTGTTAAAATTTCGCAGCGTAACTATCGACTACGATATTGATTGTGAAAACAGAAACAAATTTGGCCTTGAACTGTTGTTTTCGTGTACTGGCCTCTTGTTTTTCGCAGTCTGGCACGGTAATATGAGCGGTAAATGCCAAACGAAAATAGATGTGAACGTCTTCGAACTGATACCGAAGTACAACACAAATAAAAAACAATGTATAACTTGAAGCTTTGAAAAACAAACACGAGAGAGAGAGAGAGAGAGAGAGAGAGAGAGAGAGAGAGAGAGAGAGAGAGAGAGAGAGAGAGAGAGAGACAGAGAGACAGAGAGAGAGAGAGAGAGACAGAGAGAGAGAGAGAGGAAGACTGTCAAACAGAGAGGAGGAGGAAGAGAGAGGCGGACGTGTCGATTAAATTTTTTTTATCAAGAACAACACAACCTTTCAGATCTTAGCTAGTTTTGTTTTTGTTCATTAGCCAGTTTATTGAAACAAGCTACGCTCTTCTTGATTTCTTCGTTGGCAAAGACTTTTGAAGAAAAATGTGTGTCTCTCTTTCTTTCTCTCTGTCTTCCCTCTAGCTCTCTTTCTCTCTTGCCGCCGAACTTTCTAATTCTCTTCCTCAGTCTTCGCCTAGTTTCCCAGTTTTCTCTCCTTCTCTCTTCGCCTAGCTTCCTACTATCTGTATCTCTTTCTCTGTTTTCGATTAGCTTCCTACTTTCTCTTTCTCTCTCTTTCTCTCTCTTTCTCTCTCTCTCTCTCTCTCTCTCTCTCTCTCTCTCTCTCTCATTTCGCCTAGCTTCCTAGTTTTCTCACGGAGAGAGACCTCAAAGGGTAGAATATTAGACCAATTCTTAGCCCTTTAAAAATAAAGTGTGTTCCTTCGTTCTCTCTGTTTCTCTCTTCGCTGAGCTTTCTAGCTCTCTCTCTCTCTCTCTCTCTCTCTCTCTCTCTCTCTCTCTCTCTCTCTCTGAATGTGTGTGTGTGTGTGTGTCTTGCTTAGCTTTATTGATAAAATACAACTGCTGTGTAAAAAATGGATGCTTGGACGGGCCAAAATGGGGATCTGAGCACTAATGGACTGGGTGGTTTGATGTGCGTTGATGATAATCTGTCGACTAACTTAACTGACCAACCAACCAACCAACAGACCAACAAGCCAACCAACCAACCAACAGACCAACCAACAGACCAACCAACCAACCAACCAACCAACCAACAGACCAACCAACCAACAACCAACAACAAACTAAAAAAAAAAAAACAGACCAAAAAATGACCAACCAACCAACAGACCAACCAACCAACAGACCAACCAACCAACCAACCAACAGACCAACCAACAGACCAACCAACCAACCAACCAACCAACCAACTAACTAACCAACCAACAGACCAACCAACCAACCAGCAAACTAAACAAAAACTAACCAACCAACAGACCAACCAACCAACAGACCAACAGACCAACCA